GAGAATTCGAAGACCGAGAACAGATCCTGCACCCATCTAAAAGAAATATGATATCATGTCATAACGCAAGAGGGGAAGAAAAGTAGAAACAAAGACACCAAAAAAGAGACGGGCAAACATGCAGAAAAAGACCAAATGGGAAAAGACACAACGCGATGATCATCAAAACAAGATCAAGAAGTGAAGATGGATGAAGTGGGAAAGGAAGAATGGGGAAAATGGGGGGTAAAGAGCAATCACCAGCGGTTGAACCCGCCGCCTCCATACATCATGGTGGGATTGTACCCACCTTGACCCTGACTCCCATACAGCGCTTGCCCAGCAGCAGCATTCGCACCGACCTGGTGCATCCTTGCCTGCAGGATACTCGGGTCCGCAAGATCTACTACACCGCCTCCACCGGAGGAAGTGTTAGCGTGTCTCTGCTTCTTCCCCTTCTTCTTCTGCTTCTGTGGGCCCGTCTCGGAGAGATTCCCGGATTGGGCGCCATAGAAAGAGCTCAGAAGGCCATTGGCGGTGGGAGTCAGGGGAGGGGGGGTCTGGTGTTGCTGGAGAAAAGGAAACATAAACTCACGCTTAGCGGCCTCCTGCCCCTGTAAACCACCGGCGTTTGTACCGCTGCGGCCGCGCAGCAGCTCGCGCATCAACTCTGGATTGGCCTCCTGCTTGCCGAGGTTGCCTCCCAGGGCCGTGTTGGTCGTGAACCCGTGGCCCTGGGCGAACATCCCACCCCCGCTGATCGGAGGGGTTCCGGCCGTCTTCAACCCGGGGGGCGGCCCTTGCACCCCACTGGTGTAGAAGTTGTTGGCCAGCCCGTGCTGGGGACTGGGTGCGGCCAGCGGGTTCGGCGTCCCGGACTGTAGCATCGACGCCTGCTGGTTCAACATGCGGACATTGGGAAGATTCTTCGAGCCGGCCTCGTTGCTGAAGGAGAAGCGGGAATTCTGTCGGTTCTGGGCCTGCATGGCATTGAACTGAGCCATCTGGGACTGGATCAAGCCCTGGCGGACCTGGGCCGCCTGTTCCAAGGAAGCCGGGCTGATGGCACCCTGCAAGGGGTCGATGGCCGCCTGCTGGTTGCTCGCGGACTTGAGCAGCATCAACTGTTGCTGCTGCAACGGCGTCAGGCTGCGACCACCCAGGTTCAGATTCTGGAACTGATGACTGGCGGCGGAAACGGGGGACCCGACCACCGAGTTCGTCGTCGTGCCTTGCTGCGACGGCGGCTGAATGGCGCCATGGGACTCGCGGCTGATCCGGCCGCGCGGAGGGTTCAGATCGTCGGGTTCCCCGCCCAGTTGCAGACTGCCGCTCTCGCGACTGTCTTCTTCGGCGACAGCCGTCTGCACGATCTCCTGGTCGCTCCGCGCACGCTCGTGTTCCGCTCTCTCGCGCATCGCCCGGCGCTTGACACCACCATACGGATCGATGAACGACGGGTGGTTCTCGATGCGGGCCGCTTCTTCGGACGAGAGACCGGCCGGGGAGAAGATGAACTTGAAGTCGGGGGAGTTGACCGCCTTGATCAGGTTCTCCAGGATGGACGTCATCGGGTCGGTCGGGGTCCGCGATTGGCGCGGGGAATTCGCTGCCGATGGGGCGGCCTCCTGAGGGGGCGGCGTTTCACGACGGTCCGGTGCGCTGGCGGACTGCTTCTCGGGCCGCTTTGGCTCATCGGGCGGAGGCGTGGCCACTGCTGCGTTCGCGGGCCGTGGGCTCTGCGATGCCTGGCTCCCGGTCAGACTCGCGCGTCTCGTCCGATTGATCGCGCTGTCCTTGTTCGCCCAGCTCGCCGATGACGGGAGCGCCGGCCCATCCGGAGCGCGGCCACCGTTCCCGTCGTCTTTACTCGGTTGCCGGCGCATGGGTTGCGAGATCGGCTGAGCGGACGACCGTGCGACATGGGGAGGGACGGTGTGACTGGGCCCGCTCGGTGCGCCGTTCGACCGTTGACTGGAAAGGGTGTTCATCGACGAGAGGTCCTGTCGACTGTAGCTCTCGCTATCCTCGCCGGTCTCATGCAAGAAGGTGCAGTTCCGATTGTGGCATTGTTCGTTGCGCAGGAAGGACGAGCAGTACTTGGTCGTGCCGTATTGTGCCCTAGCATCCCGTCAGCACATGGGAGGGGGAATGGAAGAAAGGATACCTTATCACCTACCGGAGAACTCGATCACCATTGGCCGACCCATCCACCGCAGCAATGCACGTGGCCGCATCGCTCTTCCTCGTGTACGTCACATAGACGCCGATGCCCTGGTTCGGATTGCCGCCCGGCTTGGCCTTGCTCACGACGATCTTCTCGATATCGCCATACTGCCCAAAGTACTCGGGGCCACGCAGGGTCTGCAGGAGTTGGTGCTCGTCGCGTATCGTCGGATTGAGGCCGATGACATAAACGAGGTTCTTCTGGACCACCCGCACGCCAGCCAGGTTTTTGCGACTGGAAGCCTCGATCTCGCGCTTCTCGGCTTCCTTCTTCTTCGCGGCGGCGGCCTTTCGGTGTTTCAACGCCAAGTCTGCCTTGAATCTAGATTGGGAGATTGGGGGTTAGCGCCAAGGACCGGGGGGGCGCAAGGAGAAATCCGGAACACCACGTACTCATCGGCATCGGGCACCTTGTACTGGATGGTACTTTCATCATAGGGACGTCGGCAGTTAGGACACCGGCCTTCTTCGCTGTGGGTTTTGATATTGTTGTAGCAAAATTGGCAAATCTACATTCACCACGTCAGAAATGGTCCAATCGCGTACGTGTCGAGTCCCGAGGGCGACTGGGAAGGCGGTGGAGGCGACCACGTACCTGATACCCACACGGACACGGCTTGAAGTTCTTGTCGGACAGGTCGAACTCCTCGATACAGAGGGGGCTAGAGAGGACAGTTCGTCAGTCCAGGAATAACCATCACGCCTCAAGACCACACATACCAGAACTCATCGTCATCGTCGATGACGGAGTCGATCTGTTGACGATTTGACATTATGTTCGTGAGATTATGAGGATGTACAGTCAAGGAACGGCAGTCGCGATACGAAGCAGCACGCTCGTCAGGCGATCTAGAGAAGCGGCAGCAGGGGGGGAAGGAGGGGAACGGTTAAAACTTCGTCGCGGACCAAAGTAGACAAGAACGAGAGCTCAGGGGGGAGGGGAAGAAACCGAGCAAGGGAAGAAAGAGCGGTAGAAAGAGAGGGGAAATGTGTGGAGACGAGGTTGCAGAGAGGGAGTTGGCGAAAGTGAGATGAAGAAGTCGATGAGCGGCGAAGAGAGAGAAATGAAGAGACGAGAAGAGGAATCGAAGCTGGCGTTGGGTTTGCACCGGTTTGCGCGGTTTGCATGGCTTAGGTCAGATATTATGTAACACACACGTGATCAAATCACGGGACTGCACTCGAACCCGAAAAGCTCCCTGCAATCAATGTCCCTCCACTCCCTCCCTCGCCGTCGCGCTTTCTCCCCTCCATCCGCTCTCTCCACAATTGTTCGTCCATCATGGCCTCTGCTCGCTCTTTGATGCGATTGGGCTCTGGCCGGTCGCTGACGGCCGCTGTCCGGTCGCCCCGGGTCTGCCGTCCCTTCTCTTCGACGGCTCTGCAGTACACCAGCGAGCCTCCGAATTACCGCACGGTTGAGCGTCCCGGTACGTGGAAAGACAATTGACATTGGTAATTGGCAAGGGTGCCTTTCTAATCAGACAGTGTTATAGCCCCCGAAACCCTCCGTCGACCCGTCGTCAACCCGGCGGACAAGCACCAGGACAAGGCCGAAAGCCTGCACAGCTACGGCCAGTACGTCATGTCGTGTATGCCCAAGTACGTGCAGCAGTTCTCGGTGTGGAAGGACGAGCTGTCCATCCACGTGCCTCCGTCGGGGATCATCCCGGTGATGAGCTTCCTGAAGAACCACACGGCGGGCGAGTTCACGCAGATCTCCGATATCACGGCGGTCGATTACCCGACCAAGGACCAGCGATTCGAGGTCGTCTACAACATGCTCAGCGTGCGACACAACTCGCGCATCCGCGTCAAGACCTACGCCGACGAGGCCAACCCGGTCCCTAGCGTGACGGGCCTGTTCGAGGGTGCCCTCTGGTACGAGCGTGAAGTTTATGACATGTTCGGCGTCTTCTTCTCCGGCCACCCCGATCTGCGTCGCATCATGACCGACTACGGCTTTGACGGCCACCCGCTGCGCAAGGATTTCCCTCTGACCGGATACACGGAGCTGCGATATGATGAGGAGAAGAAGCGGATTGTCATTGAGCCGCTGGAACTGACCCAGGCGTTCCGGAACTTCGAGGGTGGCAGCACTTCTTGGGAGCCTGTTGGTCCTGGTAATGACAAGACTCCTGAGTCGGTAAGTTCACCCGGTTCTCCTGCAGTATGATATTGTGACCGAGACTAACGTGAGCAGTTCAAACTCCCTACTCCCAAGCCGGAGGAAAAGCCTGAGGAAAAGAAATAGAGCTCTCAATGTATTCGTAATTCAGTTGCTTTTTCTGTATGTATATATCGCGCCTACTGGATCGTCACTTCAACGGGATAAGATGTAGATCTAAATGTAGAAGAACAGCTTCTATAATGCTAGGAAGTTTTTCATTGTCCGTTTTGTCTCTTCTTCTCTCTTCCTTTTCTTTTCCTTTTCTTGTATTTATTTTCCAATGATCAATTTCCCATCTAATATATCATATCATATCATTCATTGTATGTGTTTAGTATAACAGTACATATAATTTCACACCCAATGATAAACCCGCAAAACCAATCACAGGCCCGGCATAACCAAGCGCCAACCGATCTCCCAAACCAGACGCCAAATCCGCTTTAGGCAGTCCGCCGGTCTTGGCGCCGAAAAACTTCCGTCGATCGATAACAACAAACTTCTCTCTATCTTGATACTCCAACATCAAGCACATCACACGAGTCGCATAAACTACAGACAACCGCCGACAAAAAGCTCAACTTACACAGAGATCAGTCCAGAAAAACGAAACAAAGAAAACAAAATGCCCAAACGCAAACTCGCCGACCTCGCGGAGCCACCCGCCCCACAGTCCCTCCAAGCCATCCGGCTATCGCAAAAGTTCGACCAGAGCGTGATCGTGCTGTCGCGCGCCTTCAAGGCCGCACGGATCTCCGAGCGCCAGAAGATGGGTCGGCGGGAGAAGACGGCGAAGGCGCAGCCGGGGAGTAGAAGGACGCTGGCGCGATTGGCGGAGGAGGTGCAGGTTTTGAAGGTATTTCTCTCTCTTTTTCTTCTTTCTTACTATTCTATAGGCTAGGGGAAAGTGGACTCACTGGATGTATTTGAAATAGACACTCGATTTCACAGTTGCGGCCAAAAAACACATTTTCAAACAACTATCGAGAACGAAACGCATCGCCGAGTCGACCACGTTCGCCGAGTTCCAGCAGTCAAGGAAGCTCGCTGCGGGTGGGCCCTCGTCCGAGGCGGAAGCGAATGTCATGGGGCTACTGTGCAAGTCAACTCCTGTCAAGAATGTCTTGCCGGGTATCATGGATGGGATAAGGGAGATCATGGGATTGGATGATATGTCGGCGGCGGGGAAGAAGGGCAGTCAGGCAGCGAAGGGTGCGCAGAAGAAGGACCAGGCGAAGCCGAAACGGAGTGAACGACCTACAACAGCCGACGAAGACGAAGACGAAGAAGAGGGTGAACCCCGCGCCATAGCAGCCGGCGACGACTCCGACGACGACATGGACCTAGCCCAATACTCCAACCAACTCGCATCCGACTCCGAATCCGACTCTGAATCCTCCCGCCCACCGCGAAACGCAATGTCCATCTCCCCATCGCGCTCCCCCTCCCCTACATCCCCCCCGCAAAAGCAACAAAAAGCCCAACCCCGGATCAAACCAACAACAACCACCTTCCTCCCATCTCTAACAATGGGCGGCTACTTCTCCGGCTCCGAATCCGAGCCCGAAGACGCAGCGGACAGCGGGGTCGCCGCGCCCCGCAAAAACCGCATGGGCCAGCAGGCGCGCCGCGCGCTTTGGGAAAAGAAGTACGGGACGGGTGCGAACCACGTTAAGCAGGAGCAGGCGATGGCGAGACGGAGCCGGGATAATGGGTGGGATATGAAGAGGGGGGCGACGGGTGGGGAACGGAGACATGGTGGTGGGAGGGGGGGGTACGATCGGGGGGATGGTCGTTCTTCGTTTCCCTCGCGGAATGGCGGAGATGGGAATGGACACATGGCGAGGAAGCCCCCTCCTCCTCAAGATAATAAACCGCTGCATCCGTCTTGGGAGGCGGCGAAGAAGGCGAAGGAGCAGAAGAACATTGCTGCGTTTCAGGGTAAGAAGATGGTGTTTGATTAGGTGGGTCAGAGTGTATATATCCAAATATCTAACAAGCGTGAATGGTACTATGTACCACGGGAGTATATGATTCGTATGATATCACTTTTGCAGTTATTGCAAAACATATATATCACTATTGCAGTTATTGTAAAACATCTCTATCACCAGCTCAATTATGATGCGCTCCCCCGTCCAACCTTTTCACGCAATGCTTTCATAGTCACCTTGCTCAAGCCTCCCACCGTGCCCGCCTTGGAAATATCCACCGCACTGACTTCCAGGCCCAAGTTCCGACGGAACCAATTCCTAATCTCAATAGTCATCAGCGAGTCAATGGGCGTATTATCCCACTCATCCGCGGAGTATCCCTGAGCGTGAGGAACGTGCGAGCCAATCAACCGGCCGAGTTCCTGTCTGATCAATTCCTCGCTCGACTCGTTGTCCAGAATACTTGGATCAGCTTCCGCCTGGACGAGGAATTCCCGAATCCGATCTATCTCGGATACAGGCGTCTGGTCCATGGTATTCTCGACGTTAGCGTACTGCCCGAAGCGCGCGTCGTTGCACCATAGCGGTCTGACGCCTAGTTCGGAGAGCGGCTTGGTGTTGCTGAAGCCTATAGGGAGCACGGATGACTTCAGCGCCTCTGACGAACGATCCTCAACAAGGCGAGAACGGCGGATTGCAACGTCGAGCGCCTTCAGCACTTCGTCTTCGTCGACGAATCGTAAGGACCCAACCCTGGCCCAGTCCATCAACTTGCGGTCTTTCGAAACCAGCCCGATGCCGTCAATGACTCCTAGGTTCAGAGTTGATGCAACGAGCCCCTTGGACCGACGGTAGCTGACGAGAGAATCCAAGAAAGAGTTCGCCGCAGCGTAGTTGGCCTGGCCTGAGTTACCACCGAGGCCGATGACAGAGCCGACCACCACGAAGAAGTCCAGCGGGGTGGATTGCAGTGCCTGGTGTAAGCGCCATGCCCCATCTGCTTTCGGCTCCACGCACTCTCTCCATTCCTCATGGGACATCTTTCCAAAATCTCTGTCCTATACAGGTTCGTTTCATCAGTACCATGCACCTATCGGTCTTTGTCAAAGATGGAAGAATACCTTAAGCACCGCGGACAAGTGAATGGCACCGGCAATCCCATTCGGACACAGAGCCACTGCCCGTTTGATATCGTTAATATCAGTGGCGCTTCCCACTACAGGAATAACATGGCAGCCCTGGGATTCTAGATCTTCAAGGAAACCTCGATCAGAGTCACTCTGGCCCGCCGTCCTGGAGAGAAAAACAAAATTTCTCGCTCCGCGGTCCACCATCCACTGCGAGACAACCCTACCGATGCCCCCGAGCCCACCAACGAGCAAGTATGACGAGGTCGGAGATAGGGTCAACGATGCCTCACAGGCCTGGCCAGAGATACCTTTGTTGCCGTGCATCTCCACGACTATCTTTCCCTTGTGAGTCCCAGTTTGCATGTACCGAAACGCCTGCGTAATATCGGCGGCAGCAAACACACTGACTGGACGAATAGGCCGGATATGGCGCGCTTCGTAGAGAGCAATCAATTTTCTGAACAGCCTGCAAGAGTCTATTGTTTAGCGCTAGTCGCCTCACGAGCAACACGGCACGACACGAAAGCTTGCTTACCTCTCTATTTTTTCAGGGCATTCTTGGGCTAGCTGGAGCACATCCACGCCGATGAAACTACGGTTTGAGGCAAAATTCGACATGGGCAGGATTCCATGGCCGAGAAAATCTCTCTTTCCTAATTCCAGCATCTTGCCAAATTTGGCGACGCAATTCCAGGACGCGTGCAGCAACTCGCCCGCCAAGGAGTTCAACACAATGTCAACACCACGGTTTTGGGTTTCTCGCATTAAGTCTCGAACGAAAGAGTCGTCCCTTGAGTTGAAGATACGGTTTTTTGGGATCCCGATCTCACTGGTTAAATAGTCGGCCTTGTCGTCGCTTCCGACGGTTGCATATATAATGGCGCCTTTCATCTGGCAAATCTGAATGGCTGCCAGGCCGACCCCGCCACAAGCAGAGTGTATCAACACCGACTATTGCCGTTAGCATCTATCATATTCCAACAAACGTAACTATCTATATATGTCTGGGGAGGAGGAAGGGGTGGGGCGTATACCTGGCCCTCTTCGAGTTGACCGACATCGATCAAGGCGTAGATCGCAGTGAGAAACACTGCCGACATGGTGGCTGCGTCTTGAAGGGACAGATCGGGTGGAATAGGGACACATTTCTTTTGCGATGTGACTTTGCGTTCACAGAGCGTACCGAGATCGAGAACAATGACTCTATCTCCTTCCTGGAGACCTTGGACTTCGTTGCCTATCCGAGTGATGATACCTGCTGCCTCAAAACCAAGTTCCTCCTTACTACCCATCACCCCCAATGATACCATCATGTCCTGAACATGGTGATTAGCAAGTAAGCCTGTGGGACACTCCTGGAAAGGGAACCGGTACTTACCCTGAAATTAAGTCCGACATATTCGATGCCAACCTCTACCTGCCCATCCATCGGATCTTCCACGTTGGTAGGCGCCCATCTGACAGTGTCTAGAATGCCGTAACTGCCAATGTCCAGTGTCTGCGTAGCAGGGCGAGACAGGTAATTTGTTGGAACATCCTCCAACGCCAGCCATTCGAACCGAGAGATATGTACTTTCCCTTCGTGTATCATAAACTCATACTCCAACTTACCATCGATGACACCCGTGGATCTCGCGTCGAGCTTACGCACGATCTGGGATACGCCGTCTAGAGACCGTGGGTCCCAATGGTCCATTTCAATGACGGCGAAATCGAGACCCAGTTCGTAGCGTATGGTGCGAGCGAAGCCGTGAATTAGACCAAAGTGGGGATTTGGACAACTGAATTGCGCTGGCTGCGTCACCCAAACGATCCTGGTACATTTCTCATCGGCTAGTATGCGCTGCAAAAAGCCATATTCATCAGGGGACATGGTAGCTAGGAAGGGGCGCGTGGCGTCCAATAAAGACAGGATGATGCCAGTTGATGGAGGTGGCTGTTCTAGAGTAGTCCAGAAAACCTCTAGACCCTCTTTCTGCAGCTGCTTAGCTATCAAGTGTGCCATTTCGGGGAAGCTCCCGTCGTGCAGAATGTACACAGGGTTAGGATCAGGTAATGAGGAAGGTCTGCGTGAGATCATTGTGGTGCTCAGATTGAACGGGGGCTCGTTGTCGAAGCTCATAGCATCAATGCCGCTGAACCCTGCGTCAAGAAGCTTCGTCTGCCACTCGCTCGGGGGAATGTATGGTTCTTTCGTACGGCCCTCGTCCTCTCCAACCCACCATCCTGGAAGAACACCCTGGAAGATATGTCAGTACGTGACAATATACCGTTGCTGTAGAAATTCAAATACCATGATGTAGTTGATGTATTTCAGCTCTGTTTATATTAGCCATAGGATAGCGCAACATTGGCTTCGTAGACGTCACTCACCCGGGGATAACTCTTGTAACAGCAGGTACCCTCCAGGCCGGAGAAGGGTATGAACGTTCACCAATGTGTCATGGATGTTAGGCGTAGCATGGAATACCTGTGGATATCTCGGCGTCAGATCGACTGCGAAGACCAAAGGAAGTATGACTTGAACTTACATTGGAAGCAACTATCAAATCAAAGTCCCCCGCTTGGAAACCTTGCTCTAGAGGAGGCCTGCTGATATCGAGCGTCCGGTATTCCATCCCAGGAGTCCCTGCCAGCTTCTCTTTGGCATGCACTAAAAACCCTGACGATATATCAGTGTACATATATGTCGAATAAAGGCGAGTCCCAGATTGGGATTTCAAATGATCAAGAAGCAAGGACGTTGTGCTGCCTGTTCCGGCCCCAATCTCCAATATCCTGAGCCTGGGGTTCGAGTGACCCAGTAAAGCAAGGAATCGAGACCAGTCAGTCCAGCCGGCTTGCAATTTGTATAGTCTGTCTAAAGCGCCTCCTTCATGTAAGACATCTAGTGCATGCTTTCTTTCTGTCATGATATCTGTGCAATTTTCGAATAGCTTCCGGGCTGCCTCCGCAACGGCGCCCATATCCCCGGGACCAATCTCATGGTGAATACTCTCCATGAGTTCGCATCTAGCACCGGAGGTAAGACCTAACCAATCCTTCTGCTTTGGGAACATACTATTGTTTGAATGATTAATTTGCTCCACACGATGCAAGATCCATGATTTGTACCGATCCAGATGATCCGCCGAGGGTTGAACATGCATCAGGTCCTCGGCCGTCTGGATGATATACAACAATGAAAGCTTCTCCCATAGGGCAATCTTATCGTGTCGTTCGTGTGAGGGCAGCGGTAGTAGAGACTGAAGCGGCACGGTGTCGATATCCTGCCTCCAGTAGGCTTGGCTCGCCAAGGGAATCTTTCGTGCAGCATCGTCATCGTTTTCCAGAGTGAAGAACAGCGCGTCCTGGATTGACATTGCTAATTCATTGGCGACGGAAACAAGAACATCACCACGGGTCATAGCTCCCTTCATATCGCTGGTTGCACTCACTGCCATATCCAAGGCTCCTCGCCCTACATACAACCGGCCAATCGATGCCGGCACCCCGCGCTTTCCTGATCGATATGTAAGTCCCTGACAAGACGCAACACTCAGAAGCTGCAAAGCATGGTCAATAACGGTTGGATGTACAGTGTAGTTGCTTTCGTGAAGCGACCTATCATCGGAGATCGTTGCGTGAGCTTGAGACTTGAGGGGGCTAGCCGTAACAGCCTTTAGACCCTGGAAGCGTTGACCATAGTTGAGCCCCCTTTTTCTCAAAGCCTGGTACCAGTAGTCGCTTGATACAGGGCGGTTGAATGGTCGGATGTTAGGGGCAGCTTGGGGCTGGCTGCATCCCGGTCTAGCTTTCCCCGAGCAATGCCTGACCCATTTCTGGCCATCGTATGCCGCGACATTGAAGTCGAACCAACCAGAATCTGCAAAGTCGCTGAGCTTCTCACATCGGAACGTCGTGAGAATTTCAGTGGAGGCCGTGTCCTCTAGGATGAGTAGTGACTTGAGAATCAGGTTTTCGATGGAATAGGTCTCCGAGGAAGTGGTCTGTCGAATAGCCTCGCCGATCATTGCCACAAAAGCCGCACATGGGAAGACAATTTTGTTGTCCAGCTTATGTTGCCAGACCCATGAGACAGTGTCGATCCGCAGCAAGTTACGCCATGCTGGCTCCAGCGTGCTGGATTCGAGACACCTACTCCCTAGAAGTTCATGGTGGGGATACTCTCGAAACCTCCAAGCGTGTGTCATCCGACTTTCGGACCACAACTTGATATCTCGTTGCCACGGATAAGACGGCACATTATTCAAGACCGTACCTGGGCCATTGATCGCAGCCAAGCGGACTGGAACAGATCGAATATACAGATTTCCTGCCGCTTTTAACATGCTTCGAGATGGGTCATCTCCCCGGACAAGTGTCGGAATATAGTCAATGCCTTTGCCTCGTTCAACGGCCCCCTGGATTGTCTGCCTGATCGAAGCCGAAAGCGCCGAATGGGGTCCTATCTCGACGAGGAGACTCCTGTCGGTACCTGACTTGATGCGATTGTGCAGTGCGCGCCAGAATTGGACAGGCTGTTCCAGGTTCCTGCACCAGTATTCAGAATCAAGTTGCTGGGGATCTTCAATCACCTGGCAGTCGACACTGGAGTACATGGCCACCATCGATGAAGAAGGGATGATGTGAGGCTCTATACACTCTTTGTACCTTGCACCAACTGCCTGCATGTGGTCTGCACAACGTTAATATAAACCACACCACCGATGGTATGCTGGCTAGGAGACCTACAGGAATGATAGGCCACCTTTACCGGTAGTCGTCGACAGAATGTGTCTGGTCGAGACCCGCGGATAGACTCAAGGACGGCTTCAAGGGCATCTCCATCACCTGAGAGTGTGACCGATTCAGGACTATTCACGCAAGCAATCTCCACGCCATCCTGAAGATGTGAACGGGCCTCGGGCTCGCTCATGCCAACAGCTGCCATTCCCCCGCAAGTGCTGAGCTGTGACACCACAATACCACGGTAGTAGGCGAGGAGAATCGCCGCTTTCGCGGTGATTGCCCCGGCCGCATAGGCGGCTGCGATTTCGCCGCTAGAATGGCCAACCACCGAGCTCGGGCGAACGCCCCAGCTTCGCATCAATCTCACCAGTACGATCTGCAGCGCCGTGCAGAGAGGCTGGCTGAGATATGTTTCATTGACGCGGCTGCCATCGGCCAACTCTTCTCTGATGCTCCAGGATGGGGGCTCCTGTATGGACGAAAGAATGCAATCAAGTTCCTGTATAGTCTCGTCAAACACAGGAAACTGGCTGAGCCCCTTGCCCATGCCGGTCCATTGAGCCCCTTGACCCGTGAAGACAAAGCACACGTCGTGCACTGGATGCTGGGATTTGGTAAATGACTCAGGTAGCAGTGGCTGTTTCGGATCCAAGATTGCAAATGCTCTGTGGCTCAGGTGTTCTCGCCTCTCACCAAGAGTATAAGCCAAGTCGGCCTCGTTCGGCTCGTTTTGGCGGACGAAATGAGTCAAGCAGTCGATCCGTCTGCCCAGTGCGTCCTGGTCTTTTGTCGATGTAACAAGTAGTTTAATCGCTGATGAGCCTTCTTGTGCTGCGGGATTGAAGTAAGAGGCTGCTGAGTCCAGAATGACCTGCACCAGGTAAGTAACACTGCTCCGACTCTGCCGGCTGGGAAGTCTCTTACATGCGCATTAGATCCCCCAATGCCAAAGCAGTTTACACTGATTCTCTCGAGCCTATCCTCCGGCCAGGGTGTAGCTTCGGTGGGAACCTGCAGTTTGTAGTCCTCGAACGGGACTATGGGATTGTTGAGCCTCGCCTCGTATGATCCTCGTGGCGCTGCACTTACTCTTGGGGTTTGGTTCTGAGAAATGAATATTTGGCGGAATTGTCCTATGCTCCAGCGCCAACACTGCCTTTTGAACGGATGTTATACCAGAGCTTCCCTCTGAATGGCCCACATTAGGTTTTACCTGGTACATCAGTCAGATCATTGCTATTCCTGTGGAAGATTGGTTAGAGCAGCTCACAGCTCCAATGAGAATCCCACCCTTTCCGAATACGCGGCCAACTCCCGTGGTCTCTGCCGTATCGCCCATGATGGTCCCTGTTCCGTGGCATTCAAAATACGCTGTCTTTCCAATCTCTTCTGGGCGAATTCCGGCTTTGGAATAAGCCATCTTCACCAGCTCAACTTGCGAATCAGAGCCGGGTGTGGTTATGCTGGGTGTTCTCCCATCGCAGTTGGTCGCGGTGGCTCGGACGACAGCTCTGACCGGATCCCCATCCCGGATAGCATCATCCAACCGTTTGATGTACAAGGCGTTGATAGCCTCCCCGCGCCCATATCCATCCGCCTTGGCATCAAATGTTCTACAGAGTCCACTTGGTGAAAGGACCATATTATCAGACATGGTGGTCGTCATTGTAGGCGAGAGAATCAGGTTGGTTCCGGCAACAATCGCCGATTCACAGTCGCCTGCCAGGATCGCCTGGCAGGCGTCATGCATTCCCACGAGTGAAGACGAGCAACCGGTTTTCAAAGTAACACTGGGAGCCGCACCATCAGCTTTAGTTTGCAAGCAAAAGGATTGATCAACATACCTGGGACCGTGGAGATCGAACTCATAAGACATCCGGTTTGAGAGTGCAAAGTCTCCCGTGCTCAGGACGTGATACCGGTTGATCGCCTGAGTGTCCTTGCTCGACATATCCAGCCAATCCTCCCCAAACACGCCGACGTAGCATCCGATGTTTTTTCCTTGCCATCCGACCTGCCCCCCATTTTCCATGCATTCCCAGATCACCTCCAGAAGAAGCCGTTGTTGGGGGTCCAACTTGGACGCCTCGTATCCACTGATGGAGAAGAAGGCATTGTCGAATCTGGCCGGATCGTCCTGCAAGAAGTAGCCAAATTTCGTTCGAACCGAACCTAGTTTGTTGGGGTCACAGAACGCCTCGACGTTATACCGGCACTCTGGAACCTTGCAGAGCCCATCCCTCTTGCTGTTCATGAGATCCCAGAAAGATTCCGCGCTATTGACTCCTCCTGGTAGTCGCATCGCCATTCCCACTATGGCGAGTGGCTCCGACATCGTTGGGGGGTGGATTTTGACATTGTTGTCATCTGGAGATTTGGTCAAGATGTAGTTCCGTAAATTAAAGGATCTATTGTACACATATATATATTTTTTTTAAAGAAGATAAGAAAACAAAAAGCTTACCGTGAATATGATCATCGCCTTTACACAACCTGTAGTCTTCGGAGCAAGCTTCATTTGTGAACCTGCCAGTGTCGGTTTTAGTGGGAATGGAGGGCATCCTGGCCAGCACTGGGATGGAAATTCTGTAGAAATTACAGAGACAAATAACAGATACAAAAACAGAGCATGATGAATAGGAAACAAATAGTTAGATTTTGCCTTTGATTTTGTAAAGTGCTCGACCTTCCCTGTCTGCCATTATGAAACTGAACAGAGATTCTGACGTATAATATTCTTCCCACTTACAATTTCTTCACCATCTCATTCTCCTAATACGTGTCATATCTGTCACTTACAGTCCTCAAAGTATGCTGCAGCTTTCACCGCTGAATCAGTTGCTGTGCAGCATGTCTAACATGTCGACCGGCAGGGGTCAATCATCGCTACCTCGGATCCAGCACCGCCCAGCCAAATGGTGTACTTGCAAAATCGATGGTACATTTTATTTTCCCAAGAACCGTTTCGTTCTTGCAGCCCTCCAAATGACAACATATAGCTTCAAAATGTCTTATCATGATGAACACGACCTGCAGACAGGGCGCGTAATGTGGCACGTACCTGTATTTAGAATATCACTCAACCAAGTTCACCAGATAGTGTTTTGATTATCGGGACCAGGACACTAGCAGTCTACCCTAATTAACACAGAAGTAGTGCTGGATAACAGAGAGCCTTGCAGTAGCAAGATGGGTTATTCCTGATATTCATGCCCACGTCCGGATCAGCGATCTCTCCTTGCATAGACTGACCAAGCTTGGGGGCACCTCAAGGTCGCGCAAGTACAGTTCCAGTGCTCGCTCAGAATGTGTAGCCACTTCGATTCACATGCTGAAAGGGACGTCTAGCCCGTGTCGTCCAAAATACAGAGTCAAGGGGTTACAAAAGCCGGGGGATTGTTGAACGCGGCGAGGTCCATACTTCCAGGCGGGTGATAGTTAGTGTGCCGGGAAAGTGCAGATATATCCGATCTATTGTGCCCTGACTACAGATCCAGGGATAGACTCTGACTTGAGCATCTCGATTTCACCCCCGCCCCTAAGGACTCCGACCCTGTGTCGAGCAAGTATGGTATTGGCGTGGTTAGAGTGATCGTACACCCCGCCAGTAAACATCGCAGTGGCATCCTTCCCTACCGCGGACTGAATCAAGGCTCGGCCTCCGGGGTGCTCCGTCACAAAGTCGGAAATGTCATGCACAAAGCCTGCAATTGCTACAAGTGATCGGCCATTCAGCGTCTCGCAGATATACTGATCCCAGCTCATTACGGGTAGTTGGCTCGCCCGGTCATCATGCTTCTGATCGTAGGACTTCTGCCGCTGTTGGAGACGCACCGTTGCCACAGTGTCGTCGCTGACCCGCTGCAGATTCGACGCCAGCCCCAAAAACTGATAGCACGCTATGGCCCATTTCCCCACATCCGCGTCAAACCACCGAACGCCATTTCGGTAATCCGAGGGGAACTCGTGATGGAAGTTATGGTAGCCTTCTCCGAGGGTGAGCAGGGCCGTGAACAGCGAGTCACGCGGTGTATGCCGATCCGAGAACGGCTGGGAGCCAGAATAGTGGGCCACGGAATTGACGCAGAAAGCACAGTGCCAGGAGATCAGGATCCTCAATGCGCCTGCGTAGACAAACCCGCCCATCCAGTCATTCCAGCCAAGGTGAGCGACCGCGGCGGGAAATACCAGACCCGACAGGAAAGCCAAAACAAGGTAATAGCGGCGTTGCCAGAGTGCCACTAGATCATTGACCACATCGGAGATGTCCACCTTGCCCCACGAGGCGGGAGAATGACGGACAAGGAGCCAGCCGATGTGGGAGTAAAACAGACCCCTGCGGGCATTGTAGGGGTCTCGGTGGGTGTCCAGGTATCGGTGATGGGCTCGGTGGTGAGTAACCCACCATATGATAGACCACTGCCAGGAGCCTGCGCCGAGGATGGCGAGAAGATACTTCAGTGGAGGTGAGGCTCGGTACGCCTTGTGTGCCCACAGCCGATGGTAACCTTGGTATGGCTGGAATTTAGCTCGTGGCATCGCGTCATCATTGTAAACAGCTTGGAGCTGCAGCATACACACCAGTTGTTATGCCCAGGGAGCAGAGTATGAGGTGAGTCAGCATCAAGGCCAATGTCTTGTATTGAAGAGGCGCATAAGAAGATCTGACGTAGACGTAGGTCGGCAACAGCACCATAATGACAAGGTGAAGCCAATCAATATTTCTGCACCAGTTGAATGTACCCATGTCTATCTTCTCAATCGGAGACTGCTTATATTGAGAGATGGATTTTTGAGGATTTTGAGGATTCATTGCTGCGGGCTATGATCACGAGTTACGTTAGAAACCAAGTGAGGAGACGAAACTCTCGTCGCATTTTGGGCTTTCAGAGGCCGATACAGCGTGTCCTGACGCGTCCCTGTCATCTGTTGAGAGTTTGTGGCATTGCCTGTGCTTGCCCAGTTTATAGCCTCCTCAAGGATATGATACATCGTCGACCACACTCCGATGAAGGTGCGTGCGTATATATCAGGCCAACCCCCCGCTTGATCATGTTGGACGTATCACTTCTCTCGAAAATTCTGGTTCCACTTTGCAATGGATCACAGATTTGACCTGAAAGGTTTAACTTCCAAAACACGGTATCACGCCAAGGCTTGAGACAATCCCGTCCTCCCATGATGCCAGGGGAATGTGCATGTTTGTTACCAGCCACAATATGGCTATTTGCGGGTTCTTTTAGGAGATGAGACATGTCTAATAATCGGAGAAGGCAAGGGAGACACGGGCTTTCTATAACCACAAGGATAGAGCATCCTTGGCGAGCGTTATGATTGTACCCTGCTCAGATCAGTGTCAACTGTCTGATGGCCAGGAGTCAGCGTAGGCGAAAGCCAGACAACCAATCATTCATATTCCAATGAGGCCAGAAAATAGGTCGCAGGGTACATTCTTCCCCTTGAAAATTCCATAGTTATTCCTCGCCGGCGCATTCTCCATCCTTTTGGCATTGCTCGAACCGAGCACAGGGTTCATACCAGAGGAATAGAAAACACGGTACCGTGTACAGGTCAATGAAGGGACCATCATCATATCATACAAAAGGTTCAGGTATCCTATTTCCACCTGAATAGTCATTACGTGGTCCACTTATTACAGATTGCATATTACACTGCACTGGCGATTCTTCTACCAGCACGTTCACAAACACCACCACCGGTTCATCACGCCGGTTTCGTTCGCAGCCGAGTACGCGTATCCGGTCGAGCATATCGCGTAGAATATACTCCCCATGACGATCCCGCCTACGTTGCTGCGCGCACATATTCTGAGCTTCTGGGTATTCATGGCCGGGAGCGTGCTGCAGGCTACTTTGGCACACTGTGGGTGTTATACCTTTAGCGTGTTAGGTTGGGGATCTGAGGCGCATGATTTGCATCATGAGCGGTTTGGTGTGAATTATGGTATTCTTGGGTTACTTGATTGGGTTCATGGGACGAGGGTTGCGAGACCAGGAGGGTTAGCTACGAAAGATGAATAGATAGCTAGATAAATGGGTTAGGTGAGATACCTTCAATAGTTGATATATCTACAAAATTAATCCTAATATACATAGTTATATAAAGAAACCAACACAGCTTAGATCCCACTTTGAAAATGTTATGAAGCAAGTGTGGGACGAAATAACTAGAGTAGGTCAAATCCTACACTTTAATAGAGTCTATGCTGTAATGTGTGCAAGCATTTTAGATACGGGGTGCTGGTATCAGGTATACTCACTATCATTTTCAAGATGACTTGATTGTATTTGTGCGTCGATAGGTAGATATGTAGGTAGTAAAATCAGAGGCCCTGATAAAAAGAAGTGACAGACACGAGATAAAAGTCATATAACCAGTTGAAAAGAAAAAAGAATATCATGAATATCATGATAAAGAGATAACCATCCGTGCTGAAAAATCAAATCGCCAAACAACGTCAATCAGTGAGTCAAACTTCCAGTAACAATACCCACACGCCAGGGCCGTATATAGAGCCGAAACCAAACCGACCAATAAAAAAGATTAAAAAATATGAAAAAGAAGAGAAAAAAGTATGATCACTCAGTCATGAACTGGATCCACCTCGCATCCGTACTCGACCCATGATTCGGATCCGTCTCGAAGCATGGTATAGCCGTGAACTCGCCCAGCTCCTGCGGCAAGTTAGACACATACTGGTCGAAGCCGAACGCAGGCATTTCGGACAGGTTAGTGCCGTGGTGGGCTGCCGAATAAGCCGTTGTGCCCGTCAGGTCAGATCCCGCAATCTCGCCCTCCATGGAGTCGGCTCCGCCTGAGTTGCCAGTTATCGGTGTGATTGGGATGGCGGTAGGTATGCCTGCACTTCCTGTAGCTGTAGCTGGCCCGGTGGGATACGGTTGCTGCTGGTCTTGGAATTGGACACTTTCCGGCGAAATGGGCCCCGTCTTCCAGAGCATTTCCCAGTTCTTAAAGCGGTCGTAGGCGGATTCGATGGTGCCGGGATTGCCGGAGGAGTGCGTTTCACTGTACTCTTCGAGGCGGTGGATGGCTCGTTCGAGGGCTTCGATGACGCTGACTGCTGATCGGGCGGACCCGACGCCCATTGACATGATTTTGATCAAGGCCATGCCTTTGCGGAGGCCTTCGCGGAGTCGCTCGGTGCGCTTGGTTAAGCTTTGTGCTAGGATGACGAGGAGTGCGGCGCGGCAGGAGCTGAATTCTGTGAATGATGCGCGGGCGAGGCCTGTTTCGTCGCGGAGGAGCTGGCACAGGTTGATGATTTCCAAGGCTGCCTCGACGCAGTCGGTGACTAGGTTTGAGCGGTTTTTTGCTAGGCCGGAGGGTGTCTTGAACGGTGGGCCTTGGCTTGAGGATACGCTGATCGCTCGCATACTGCTGAAGAGGAACGGGCGGCCCAGGAAGATGCGCGTTAGGCAGTAGTCGAGTTTTAGATGTACGTTGGACCGAAACAGGGGGCCTGGGTTGAGATCCCGGCAGCTGGTCTCTTCCGGGAGTGTGGACCACCAGTCGATGAGGTTTTTCCGCAGGCTCAGCAGTCGCTCGATGCAGTCGTGCTGCTGGTTTCTTTGGGATTTTCGAAGGACGGATCTACTCTTTGTTAGACATGTTCCCCGAGAGGAGCGGCTGGGATAGAGGGGTTATTTGATGACGCACATTTCATTAGCCACCTCTCCCAGTTTCAAGGTCAGCTTGATGAGAGTGATCATGTTGGTGTGGTTGGACACTTGGCCGGCCGGCATCAATCCAGGAAAGTCCACCGGGAACGCGGCGTCCACATCCGAGTCCGACAAGGACACTGGTCGTCCGTGGAGGATGCTCACGCGCCTAGATTGGATTGTCAGCGACAGCAATACCAATGGATTGGAGGTTACCCACTTTTCAATCGTGTAGGCCGTCCAAAACACGCGATTCCGCACCTCGATCGTTCGCGGAGACAGGCCTTCCCCTTGATACTTTCGGTGCATACCATTCTGGATCGCCATTTTGAGCGCCAGGCCAAAGTATGTGTAGCAGAGGCCGGACGTATCCAGAGGCAAGAGGTAGGTTCCGATGAGCAGGCAGGCCTGCACGCTGCGGATCGACGCGGTCGCGATGATGTCGGGGAGGAGTTTTGACGCGAATTGGTAGAACGTTAGGCCAACCTCATCCTCCGAGAAGTGGTGGTCCTCGGGGTTCATCGGACCGCCGGACAACCGGTTGACCGGCGTGGCAGACTCCATGTGGGCAAACTGCGTTCCGACCGCCAGAACCATCAGGATCGAGCATACCGAACCGGCGTCGTTAGAGCTGAGGCTCGCCGGGTCCACGTAGCATCGGTTGAGCTTCTCCTTGATCCAGTCTTCTTCGACGTAGAAGTTGTTCGTCTGGGCGTATTTGAAGAAGATGTGGACCAGGAAATCGGCGACGAACCGCGGCGGGAGACAGGTGACCGATGCCGATACCAGGGACGTTCCAGACTGAAGCTGCGTCGCACGCCATCGCTCCTCGAATGGTTCCACGTCGGCGGGCGCCTGTGCCAGCCATTAGCCACCAACCCATCAAGAGCCCAGATCAAGACCCGTGTAGACTCACCTCCGGCGTCGTCGTATTCATCCACTCATCAATCTTCTTCCGAATCTTCATCGAAAAGTTGAGATAAGAAAACTCCCCGGAATATTCTGCGACAATTCACTCGACATTAGACAGGCGAACGGGGGGCAAGCAATGCGCACGAGGTAGAAAACAGAAGAGCATACGGGTCGTATTATCCGGCAAGGCCTTGATCGTAAAGTGCTCATCGTCAATCGCTAGGTCCTCAAAATCGTCACCTTCCATGCGGATCGACGGATCCGTCTCCGACTCGGAGCCGCGCTGTTTGTGCAGATTCTCGGCCATCTTCCGCAGCGAGGGGACGTCGAATGTGATGTTGGGGACGAAGTGCTGCAGGATGCGCTCCATGTATCGGAGGCGCTCCGCTTCGGCCATATCGTGACGGGTGATTCCGGCATTTCGTTCGAGGAGACTGTATGCGTCAATATGAGGATCCGAATAAACCGAGATCCAGAAGGAGAGCGTGTGGGCGACATACGACAGTGCAGACGATCGAGGATTCTTCTCGGTCTGATCAGGATGGGTAAAGACGCATTGCCTCCGATAGCGCACGCAGCGCCGACACGGGACACCGCCTTCGCATTTCTCTTTCACCCTGCGACAGCCATCGCATCTGAGCCAACAATCAGCATCTCATCTTGATTCTCTTCTCTCGGCCAGACGGAACCTACGCTCGCACGGCCCGCTTGCGATTCTCCTCCGCAACTCGGGGTCGTTTATGATGTCCAGGCACCGGGGACGGCGTGGACCGGGTATCCATGGTTTGTCGGCGTCAATATCAAGATCAGGTACAGTTAAGGAGGAGGAGGACGCAAGGAAATCATGTTATTTGAATAGGATATGGACCGTATATGAAGAACGAGGTTGGTTTAGGGGGGAGGGGGCCAAAGAGGACGAGGGAGCGTGGCTGTGATGCACCCCAATGATTGGACTTTCACTGCCAATTGGGGAAAGAATGAAGTAAGAGGTGATGGAAGAAGTTGAACTAGTCCGGTATAAGCCAAGGAGAAGAAGGAGAAGTCGAGGAATCAATATCCCAGTCAATCAGGTCTGCACGAGAGTTCAGCGATAGTCGAAGAAATTTCCCGTTCAGGTCGGGGCGTTGATAAGAAGGATTGAGCTTTGGGCTTTTTTGCTTCGTTTGCTGGCCTTGGCGGGGCGGAATAATACCCCCGCATACGTGTATTGTATGTATTGTGTATGATGCATGTATGCATGTATGTATTGTATTTTATTCAGCCATGCTACCAGTAGCTACACCATCTCAAGTATAGTAGATTAGATCGGTAGTAAGTAGATAAGTCCAGTGAGTTCAGCCATGCTTCCCTTTCTAATAGTATACTAAATAAACATATAATCGTACCTTAGAAGCAAATCAAAACCCATCAACCCCCATCCCCAACCCCCTCTCCACCCCCAACTCCAACAACTTCTTCCCAATCACTAAATCCATAATCCCCATCCCAACACACTTGTAAACAACATTACACCCCTCAGGCACCTCAACCGGCGTCTCACTCCCCACTCGCCCATACAGCTCCCCAATCTCAACCAGCTGGTCCTCCTTCACCTCCGCCAGGATCAGCTCCCCACTCTCCTCCAGACACGCCTCCTTGGAATCCACGTAGATCTTGCCTCCGCCGGAGAGGAGCGTCTCGGTGTCGATTTCCCGCATGTGAGGCTTGTAGGAGCCGATGAGGGAGATGAAGCGCTGCTTGCCCGCTTCCCCGCATAGGTAGGAGTAGGGGAAGTTGGGCTCTGTTGCGGGCGTGCAGCTGAAGATGACGTCGCTGGACCCGACCACCTGCTGGAGCTGGGCTTCGTGGGAGTCGGGCGTGGTGTCGTCTTTGGCGAGGGTGGTGATTGTGAGATGTGGGTGGGCGGATAGGAGGTCGTCGATGACGCTCTTCATGGCGGTCAACCGGGCACGACTGCGGTTGACGAAGGTGAGACGTTTAATCTGCTGGTCCGGAGTGAGGAGCAGCGCGAGTCGCGCGTGCCACTCGGCTTGTCGTCCCGAGCCGAAGATGACCACGTTCTCCTTCCGTAGCGAGACACAGCGCACGAAGAGCGTCATGATAGCCAGCGCGGTGCGGAAGGCGGTGATCTCCGCGGCGCTGAGCAGGCCCAGGAGTCGCCCTTCCGGGGAGAAGATGTTGATGACGCCGATGATACCGTGCGATTGCGAGGCTGTCACGATTTTGATCCCGGTGGTGTCGGTGTTGGAGACGGGCATGAAGAGCGAGAGGTTGTCATTTTTGGTGGTGATGGTTGTGCGGAGCGGTTGGTGTAGCTGGCGCTCCTCTTGGGGGAGGCGCTCGTCGGTGGTGAAGGTTACCAGGGCGTTGGTGAGGGCGTCGAGGAGGGTTGAGCATTGTGTGGGGGTTAATTGGCGGAGCAGTTGGGCCACGTCGGGTTCGGAGAGGAGGTGCATTTTAGATGGATTTCTCGCGAGCGTTCTTCTCGTCTGTTCGATCTCCGAGTTGAGTTGTATCTGTGTGTCTGAGAATATATATTTGAATTGAATTGCAAGACATCAAGTCTCAAGAAAGCGAAGTGGGATGTTAACGTGGGGTAAAACGTCAGGAGAGCCGGTACAGCCTCCTGTATCGGCCTCGTTCTGGTGGATCCCGGTCCCAATCCCGCCCCAATGGACCCCACGCGCTAATCCAGCAGGGCAAATGACAGTCCTGAAGACGGCAGTTGACCATGGTAGACATTGGTTTAGTTTCACTAGTTCGAAATCTCCGGATATTGGATTTGAGTTTACGAGGGATCGACCTGGTAAATTATTGGGGAGAATGAGATATCATGGTATTCATTATCGTGAGCTTATTAGCACTATCGAATGATGCTCTGCTAACGCCATCTATATGCATCTGGGTTATCACCCAGCAAGGGAATCCGGACAGTCACGCCAAAAACATGGTCAAACATGCACAAAACGGGGACAAAAAAATAGACACATAAGAATGAAAAAAAAAAAAGAGAAGGTATAGAAAGGGAAAGGAGTCAAAAGAAAGACGATTATTTCTCCGCGGCAAAAGCCTGACGGGCGCGACGCTTCAACTCCGCAAACATCGCCTCCTGAGACTGCTTGGTGCGACCGACGGCTTCAGTATTTTCAACCGCCCGCCGGAGCAGGAAGCCCATGCACTCCTTGACGGACCCCCAGGTCAGCAGCTTGAAGACGTTGGGGGTTTCCATGGTGACGGGGTGGGCGTGGGCATGCTCGGCGTCCTCGAAGCCCTGCAGCAGCTCACAGCTGACTTCGTCCGCCATGCCCTGCAGCTGGGCGTAGGAGAGATCCACATTGGGCGTCTCCCCCCGGCGGGCCTGCTCGAGGCGCAGGGCGTGGGCCTTGCGGACCGAGTCCCGGTTGTGGGTGGCGACGATGACGTGGACTGGGGGGAGATCGGTCGGGTGCTGGGCCGAGGCGGACTGAAGCATGTCGTTGTAGCGACGGGTGAGCAGGGCTTCGACGACACCGTCGTAGCAGGCGTCGGTGTCCTCCTTCTCGGCCCAGATCAGATGGCGGGGCTCGGTCTTGAGGTAGGCGCCGCGCACTAGCTTCACGCCGAGGGTGTAGCCCTCTTGGCGGGCGATCTCGAGATGCTTGGCTAGGGTGGCCGGGGTGGAGCGCAGGTAGCCCTGGTAGGTGTTGTAGAAGACGGCACGGCCGGGAGTGCGCGAGTTGCAGTATTTCTGGTAGGTCGTGGCCCACTCCTCGATGCCGGGCTGGACAGCCTGCTCCTCGGCGTCGACCAACAGGCGCACGTTGCGCGAGATGGCCAGGTCGCACACCTGCCGGATGGACTGGTCCATGAATGGGGAGGGGGCGCTCTTGTTTTGGAGATATTGCAGGGCTTGGGTTCCCATGCCGGTGAATCTGAGATAATTAGCGGGGTTCAACAGTAAGGAGAGAAGAAATGAAAACATACTTGAGAGCGATGAAATCCCCCTCGTGTGCCATATCGACGGTCTGCAAGGTCCCATCCAACCACATTTGGATCTCCTCGCTGGCCGCCTTGGGATCGGCGGGATCAGCGTGGCTCTCTCCGACCAACACCTCCTTGGCGTATCCCAGCAGGACACCGCGGTAACCCAACTGCTTGATCTCCTGGATGGAGCGCTGGACCTCGCGCTTGTTTTCGCCCGCGTTGAACTGCTTGTAAATGGTGTGCTTGACCAGCATGTTCAACAGGGGGTTCTTGGCTACGTCGAGCAGCGGCGTCTTGGGGTTCGCCAACATCGACAGGGTGTAGATGCACGGCTTCAACAGGAGGGTGGACGAGGAGACCGACAGGATCAACAACGATCGCAAGACGGTGGACAAGGGCATCTTGGCCAGCGGGGAGGTGGAGTGCTTCTGGGAGGAGGGCGAACTCTGGTGGAAGACATGGTTGGTGGGGGTGGTTGCGGTCGCGGTCAAGGAGGACTTTGCGTTGCTGGTCCGGCTGACATGGCGGGCGGAGGGGATGCCCGACAGCGCCTTGAGCGGACGGTGAGACTTGATCATCTTATGGATGGGGGATGGAGGCTGGGGACTGAAGACTGAAGACTGGATGACGGAGGAAAGCCAACAAGGTAGGAAGGATCAATAGAAGTCAGGTCTTAACAGCACTCTGGGGGAAAGGATACGATGAGGGTGGCGGCGGGGGATTAAGTACTTGATCTGATACGACTTATGACTACGGTCAGATTAAGAATAAGAATCAAGAGAGGGGTCCGCGGTGGCATCAGGTCTGCTGTTCTCCAGAAGGACGGAGTCCCGCTGTCTATAGCCGGTGGAAACCGCTGGTGACCCGGGACGGTGCTTGGCCACATAACAAAGGGAGACTCTAGTGGAGACACGAATATTATTATTATTATTCCTATTTGATTTATTATTATTTATATACTTTATATATTTTATGGATCGTGTCAGATGACTAACAGATTCCACCGACCGACCAATTTGGAAGAGTCGACCAGTTAGACCAGGCTGAACCAGTGGTGGGTGGACTTCCCGATAGGACTGATAAAGTTCAGGGTTTGCGCTGGGACCAGGGAGTACAGGACGGATTCGGATCCGACCTCGGAAGCAGATACCGGAGGAAGATTAACAACCGAGATGGGATGATCTGAAGAGGGAGAAAGAGAGAGAGGAGAGATGTGGTTTTTATTCTTTCCCGATGTTGATCAAGGTGAACACCGGCTGAAGGGCCCGGTGTGGCGGGAGTCAGCGGGAAACTGGGAGTCAAGGATCTAACGAGATCTAATCTGTACCAATAAGTCTGGGATTGACCATGCAGGAGAATTTTCAAGTGGAGCTGGAAGAGAAAAGAGACCCACCCGGTTGCTGCTTGACCGGGCCGGTGATGACCCAGTTCTGATCACATCTTTGGTTTGAAGTATTGGGCCATATGGAGACCTTACGTATGGATACAATGAACAGCAGTAGAATTCTGGAATGTCCCATATATCTGTTCCTATCTGTAACCCAATCGTCTGTATTCCATGTTCTCTCAGTAAGTACTACGATGTAAGATGTAAGAGAGTATTGTAAAGAACTCCCCAAAAAGGTGGACACTAGACGGAATAAGGTTAGAGGCTGATCGGTCATCCCCACCGGGTTTGATGCGGGGAAACAGAGATAAGAATATTGGCAACAAGGGTCTTTTGAGTTTCGAGCTTTTGGAAGATATAAGTACATGAGTAGTTGAATCGGCATATAATACACAGTAAGCATATATAGGAAGTATCTATCTTTTATCCGTTTATATATCTATACATACTTATCTTATATCTTCTATCGATTGTTCGGCCACCGACTCCGGCCCGGTCAAGGCTTGTCCCACCCGGAATTCCGTACCGGAAAGGTCTCCGCTGTACTCCGCCGTACCGAATCTTACACGTTGCAGCCGGAAGAGCCTTCCAGGCCACCAGGTCACCCGACCATGCAAGGATAATTTATCCTACAATACTACAATCTCATTCAATTCCGGTACGTTTTCCTCGGCTGGACTCGGCGTATGGTCATTTTGGTATTCCCGTACGCGGAGGAGATGCCCGGTGACTAAGGCCGGACCAACTCACAGCCAGTATATCATCAGAGTTTCCCCGCAGCCCTGGAGTTTCGTAACTTCATCTTTCTTCTCCCATTCTTCTCCTTCTTCCTGTTCCTCCCTCTTCACAGACCTGTATTTGTTGATTGAGCGGATCCTTATCACAATGCAGTCCTCTATGCTGCTCCGTACCAGAGCCCTTCCCTGGGCCAAGGCCTCTAGATGGAGCGTCCCTCGTACGGCCACTCGCGCCATGGGCTCCTTTGCCACCTTCAAGGTCCCGCGCATCGATAATGAACCCAATGTGAGTACCTCAAGAGGGAGAAAAGTGGTTGAAATACAATAATGATGAGTGCGCCTAACCTTGATTGATAGCAACACTACGCCCCAGGCACTCCCGACCGCAAAGGTCTCGAGGATGCCCTCGCCCGTCACAAGAGCAGTGCTCCCCTCAACGTCCCGCTGGTCATTGCCGGCAAGGAGGTGAGTAATTCCACAACCCGAGCTAATGTTAGATCGAGTTTCTAATAAACCCAATTCTAGATTAAACCCTCTCAAACCTTCACTCAGGCGAACCCCGCGACCCATGCCCCCTTGGCGACTTACTCGAATGCGAGTGCCGCTGACGTCCAGTCGGCCATCGACGCCGCTCTGAAGGCCCGTCAGTCCTGGGCTGAGACCTCGTTCGCTGAACGCGCCAGCGTCTTCCTCAAGGCCGCGGATCTTATCTCCACCAAGTATCGCTACGACATCATGGCCTTGACCATGCACGGCCAGGGAAAGAATGCCTGGCAGGCCGAGATTGACTCGGCCGCCGAGCTGTGCGATTTCTTCCGTTTCGGCGTGAAGTACGCCGAAGACCTCTATGCTCAGCAGCCGGTCCACAACTCCGCGGGCGTCTGGAAGTGAGTTTCCGTCTCCACGCCGCTAAAACGAATAAGAAAAGAAGAATACTAACAACGTCTAGCCGCGTGGAGTACCGTCCCCTCGAAGGTTTCGTCTACGCCATCAGCCCCTTCAACTTCACCGCTATCGGTGGTAACTTGGCGGGCGCCCCCGCCCTCATGGGCAACGTCGTCATCTGGAAGCCCTCGCCCTCCGCCATCGCCTCCAACTGGCTGGTCCACCAGATCCTGCTCGAGGCCGGTCTGCCCAAGGATGTCATCCAGTTCGTCCCCGGTGAGGCCGAGGAGGTCACCAACGTCGCGCTGAACCACCCCGAGTTCGCCGCCCTCCACTTCACCGGCAGCACCGGCGTCTTCCGCAGCCTCTACGGCCAGATCGCCGGCGGCGTCGCCGAGGGCAAGTACCGCAGCTACCCGCGCATCGTCGGCGAGACCGGCGGCAAGAACTTCCACCTCATCCACAAGTCCGCCCACCTCCGCAACGCCGCCGTCCAGACGGTCCGCGGCGCCTTTGAGTTCCAGGGCCAGAAGTGCAGCGCCACCTCGCGCGTCTACGTGGCCGACTCCATCGCCGACGAGTTCGTCGCCGAGGTCGCGGCCGAGACCAAGAAGCTCAAGGTCGGCGAGCCCACCGACTTTACCAACTTCTGCGGCCCCGTCATCCACGAGGGCTCCTTCTCCAAGCTGTCCCAGGTGATCGACGAAGCCAAGCAGGATCCCGAGCTGGAGCTCGTCGCCGGCGGCTCCTACGACGCCTCCCAGGGCTGGTATATCCAACCCACGGTCTACCGCACCTCGAACCCGGATCACCCGCTGCTGTCGCGTGAGCTCTTCGGACCCGTCCTGGTCATCCACAGCTACCCCGACGCCACCGAGGCCGATTTCTCTAAGATTTGCGAGAAGATCGACTCGACGGGCACCTATGGTCTGACTGGCGCCGTCTTCTCACAGGACCGGGTGGCCCTGCAGGCCGCTAACGACGCGCTCCGCAACACCGCCGGTAACTTCTACATCAACTGCAAGAGCACCGGTGCTGTCGTCGGTCAGCAGCCCTTCGGCGGTGCCCGCGCAAGCGGCACCAACGACAAGGCCGGTAGCGGCAACCTGCTCTCCCGCTTTGTGAGCCTGCGTTCCATCAAGGAGGAGTTTGTCCCGACCACCAAGGTTGAATACCCCAGCAACGCATAGACGTGTCATGTTGTCTAGCTTTTGATTTTTTTTTTCTGTGTTTTGGTCTTCTCTATTCCCCACCAGTTTATCTGGTTTGTGTATGGGCATTGCATCTCTGGCGTTGGATCATGATTTCTACGGCTGGCTCGCAGCGACGAAAAGTACAATTCAATAACCTATCTTACTTTCTTACATACCTTACCTATAGTCCTCTACATCGTACATTATGCGTCAACCCAACTTCACATTGACGAGGGTCCAAATCAGTAGATAAGACGGCTGCCTCAGGAACCAGGCACCCACAGCGGGGCCGATAAGCGGGATTACCCAATGGGGCAATCGACCCCTCCCGTGCCTCAAGTTTTTTAGGTTAGTTGGATGTAACCATCATCAAGGAATTGTCTTGGTTTACCCCGACTTTCTCTGTTCGCTTGATTCTTGGTGTGCTTTTTAAGAAATCTCTTTCGCGGTTTTTGCATGTTCAGATTCCCCTCGGTTTTTCACCGTCGTCTCGCTACTACCACTTCTAAACCCCTCCGACGTATCGAGTCGCCTAAGCAACTTGCGAAAAGAATGGCTGCCCTTCCTGATACCTACAAGGGTGAGTGAACAGGACACCGTAGACATTGTCTCTCCTCGCCTGCCAATAGATACTGACTGTTACTCTGTCCAGACCCCGTCCGCATCGCCGTCATCGGCGGAACAGGCCTGCGTGAACTTCCCGGCTTCACCCAGGTTGCCTCTCTGAACGTCGACACCCCCTGGGGCAAGCCGTCCTCCCCGATCACCATCCTCCACCACCAATGCCACCACAATAACCAGACCGTCGCGGTGGCCTTCCTCAGCCGCCACGGCATGCACCACCAGATTGCGCCGCATGAGGTCCCCGCGCGCGCCAACATCGCGGCCCTGCGCTCCATCGGCGTGCGCTCCATCGTGGCCTTCTCCGCTGTCGGAAGTCTGCAGGAGGAGATTAAGCCCCGTGATTTCGTCGTCCCGACGCAGGTTATTGACCGCACGAAGGGTATTCGCCCGTTTACCTTCTTTGAGGGCGGTGTTGTGGCCCATGTGCCGTTTGGGGATCCCTTCGATGAGGGCATGGCCAAGGTCGTGAGGGCCTGTGGGCATAGTCTTGATGGTGAGGGTGTGCGCCTGCATGACAGTGGGACTCTTGTCTGTATGGGTATGTTTTCTTCGTCCTTTTTTCCCTGGCCTAGTGCTATCTGGCAGTCTACTAATCTACTGCAGAGGGCCCTCAATTCTCCACCCGCGCGGAGAGCAAGCTCTACCGCTCCTGGGGCGGCAGCGTCATCAACATGTCCTGCCTTCCCGAGTCCAAGCTGGCTCGTGAGGCTGAGATCGCCTACCAGATGATCTGCATGTCCACCGACTACGACTGCTGGCACGAGTCGACGGCCGACGTCACCGTGGAGATGGTGATGGGCAACATGAAGTCCAACGCCGAGAACGCCCGGCGCTTCGTCACGGCCGTGCTCGACGAGCTGGCCGCGGACCACAACTCAGATCTGGTCCAGGCCAAGCACTATGCGGGTTCGGTCAAGTTCGGGCTCAGCACTGCCCAGGAGTACTGGAGCCCTGAGGCCCGGGAGAAGATGAACTGGCTCTTCCCTGGTTATTTCGAATGATTTGGTTGAGGGTCTTGCTGGGATTAGATCAGCAATTTCCACTGTATAGAGTTACTTTTCCATGACGGGATAGACATGCATAGTTTATGACGAGCTCACGAGAACAAAGACTCTACCTATTTGAATATTGGAACTGTACTTTTCTGTTCTTATTTAGAAAGCTGCATGGCTCTTGCTGTGCAGTCTGTATAGGTCTTCCCCCCGTGGATTAACCAACCAATCTGGCAAGGACGACTGGTTATATTGCAATAAACATGAAGTCAACATTTGCACACCGATCCATTGCACATATCTATGGCACCACACATTCGTTTATTGTGACCATTGCAAACACCATCCTTAGTACATGAAAGATCATTTTGATGCCTGCATACTCTCCCGCCAAACAATTACTAGATAACCTCAACCATACAGCACACTATCCAGACATGGCGTACCAAGACCACGAGATAGACCCCACTGGGGACGCTTTCATGATCGTGGAGACTCGCGCAAGCGAACTCTACCTATGGTTTGTGAAAGCCGGTGGGCGCCATCCAAATCCTATCTATCCCACAAAGCCGGCACCTACTAATGGCTCCCAATCCCAGATTCCCAGAGCAAGCTCTGGTCCGAGCTAGTGGACATCTCAGAAGGAAGACTACCAAGCCAGCACCGCATCATAAACAGCGACACCAGTTCTCCCACGACGAGCCCCTCTTCGTCTCCCAGATTGGACAGCCCAGCCTTGACCATGGGCTCCACATACTCCAGCCCCCACGACAGCAACCACGAGCTGAACCCCGGCCCCGAACAGCTCAGAGTGCGCGTTTCGTCGAAACCCCTGGCCCTCGCGTCCAGCTACTTTGGCAGACTTCTCGCCAATTCCAGAACGGTACTTCTCCCCGACGTGTGGGAAGAATTCCGCGGCGACATCACGCAGCCCCTGCTGCTCATCCTGCGCGCCATCCACGGCCAGAATAGGAAGGTTCCCCGGTCCCTAGGCTTCCAGATGATGTACAAGGTCGCCTTCCTGGCAGACTACTTTGGCTGCAGTGAAGCCGTTGAGATATTTGCTGATACCTGGATCCGTAATGCGGAGGGCCTGCTGCCGAAGAGTTATACTGTTGACGTGCCGCGCTGGCTCTGTATCGCCTGGGTGCTTCGTCATCACGACCTCTTTACTGCCGTTACGTGTCTGGCTATTCGTGAGACCAAGGCGCCTATAGTTCGCTATGATAATAGTCCTGTTCCGGAGGAGGTTTTTTGTAGGTCTCAAATTCAACCTATCTATATACCCCCAATAGGTTTTCTTTATCAAAGCAGAGGGAGGGAGTAAACTAACGCAAGGAAGACACCATCGCCAAAACCCGAGAGGAATATATGGAAGAGATCCTCACCTCCGTCTTCGACTACGTCGACACCCTCTCGCTCGACGACTCCACCACCTGCTGTCCAGACTGCGCGTCGTTGATCCTCGGCTTGTTACTCCGCCAGCTCACGTCCCTCAAACTCTACCCCCAGCCTCTCCCGCCGTACTTCACGCACAACGTGGATGAGCTGCTCAAGTCGCTCCCGACGTTGGAGCCACCGCGCTGCAGTGCCCACGTCCATAAGCTAAACGGCTGTCACGGTCGCTGTGCCGTGTTGTTGCCTCGGACGGGGGAAGTGTTGCAGAAGATTGAGGCGAAGATGAAGGGCTTGGATTTGGCGGATTATGTGGATATTGATTGGGTGCCTCATGCTGCTTGATTTGATTGATTGGTTGATTGGTTGATTTATTGATCTTGCGGGGTCTTGATATAATAATGGTTTGGAGTGGGTGGGTCTATTTTTATGGCTTGTTTATGACTTTCTTCTTTGACTGGCACTTTGGCATTCTTTTTCTGTCATTCTTTGATATGTGTTTTGGTGCAGAGGGATTATGACTGATGGATTTCTATTAGTAGTGAAGAGCATCAAGAGTATCAAAGTATCAAGAGTATCAAGAGTATCAAGAGTATCAAGAGTATCAAGAGTATCAAGAGTATCAAGAGTATCAAGAGTATCAAGAGTATCAAGAGTATCAAGAGTATCAAGAGTATCAAAGTATCAAGAGCACCGTTATAGAAGGATAGATAGATCACATGTCACTCTTCCCCTTCGGCTCTTCTTCTTCAACTCACCAACTCAAGTCAATTAACCAAATCAACAATCCAACCCCCCAGATCTGTGGAACCCTCTTCCTTGGTATCTACGTTACTCGACCTCATGCTGCATCAAGTCCCCATGACCTGTCATCCAGTCTAGATTTAGGATAAACTCTGGTCACGGCTCCTGCTGATTCGCCGTCTTGAACCCAATCCAGTCCAATCCCCAGAATACACCGATGATGATCGGATCATAAATGGTCTGTCCACATTGTCGTATTCATTCGAAAAATGTCACTAGGTATCCACGCCACGGGGTAGTGGTCGGCGGTCTCCATCCCCTGACGATCTTGACTGGAGAGGTGTCTAATGTCCGATGCGCCTCCGTATTCGCGGTAGGGATCGTCGTGGACTTGCTTCGAACCGACCTCGCTATAATTGATGGGTTGGTTTTTATCATAATCGCATCTGAACTCCATTGATGCCTTTGGGGTTGTGAATAAAAACCCAGCTCATAGTCACCAGTGAGGGTTGGAACAAGGCCATCCATGATAGCGACAGCGACATTGGCATTCTGGCGTCTGCGCATGACTACCCATCATACTATCCCTACCTGCGGGGTATTGGGGGTAGGACCGTTGCATTCAGCTCAGATCCACTAACAACACACTAACCGATGATCGACACGTTCGTCTTCCCCTCCTGGCCGTCTAGTCTCTGCAGATTCCTCGACTCCTCCCCATAGCTCCTCCACTAACAGACCAAGGTCAACCCCTTACCATGCCGAACACTTCCTAGCATTTGGGTAATTGATCCTCGCCAACTCTGTCCATGCCATGGCAGCATCCGGTTTCCTAGCTATGATCGGCCTCGCTCTGGGACCGGCTCGCTTGGCACGCGACTGGCCGCTACTATACTTCCCTGTATTCATTTCGTCTACTATCCTAGTATCCTTGGCATGGTTAGTGCTACAGGACGGGTACATGCGTGGCTGACCCTTCGCAAGGCCTCCTGATCGGGCTTCAGGCGAATTGTCGTCCAGTCCGGATCGCAATTCCATGCCCCACCGGCCCCTGCAGCGGACTACAGGCTAAACTTCTGTCATCCCCGGAACCCAGCTAGCTGTATATCTAGCTCGGGTCACCCCACAACTGGGGTGGGAAGATTATTCTTCTTGCAAGATTTCTTTGCACTCTTGCACGAACTATCGCCATGGTGGCTCTTTCGCTATCACTGGCGCTTGCGGCGTCGCTGGCCCCTTGGGCGCAAGCCTCGCCCGCCACGAAGCATCTGGAGGTCCGCGCTGACGACAAAGCCTACTCACCTCCGTACTATCCCGCCCCTAAGGGAGGATGGCTCTCCGACTGGGAAGATTCCTACGAGAAGGCGCACAAGCTGGTCAGCCAGATGACCCTGGCGGAGAAGGTGAACCTGACGACGGGTACGGGGATCTTCATGGGCCGCTGCAGCGGACACACCGGGAGCGTATCACGGCTGGGCGTGCCTCAACTTTGCATCAACGATGGCCCGCTGGGCGTGCGCAACACCGATCTCGCCACGGCCTTCCCCGCCGGCATCACTGTCGGGGCGACCTTCGACAAGGATCTCATGCACGAGCGGGGTGTCGCCATGGGAGAGGAGTCGCGCGGGAAGGGCGTCAACGTGCTGCTGGGCCCGTCGGTTGGGCCTATCGGCCGCAAGCCTCGAGGAGGCCGCAACTGGGAGGGCTTCGGCGCTGACCCGGTCCTTCAGGGTATTGCTGCCGCGGAGACCGTCAAGGGCATGCAGAGCACTGGCGCCATCGCGTGTATCAAGCACTATATCGGTAACGAGCAGGAGATGCACCGCATGAGCAGCGTGGTCACCCAGGGCTACTCGTCCAACATCGACGACCGCACTCTGCACGAACTTTACCTGTGGCCGTTTGCCGAGAGCGTGAGAGCGGGCGTTGGCTCTCTTATGACCGCCTATAACGATGTAGGCTGACCCAACTCTTGACTCATTCAGATACGAGATCCAATGCTAAACGTACTAGGTGAACCGGTCATCCTGCAGCCAAAACAGCAAGCTCCTTAACGATATCCTGAAAGACGAACTGGGCTTCCAGGGCTTCGTCATGACCGATTGGCTGGGTCACTACGGCGGTGTCTCCTCCGCCCTGGCGGGTCTGGATATGAGCATGCCCGGCGATGGGTCGCTCCCGCTGTTCGGTACCAGCTACTGGGGTTCCGACCTGTCTCGCTCTGTCTTGAATGGAACGGTCCCGCTCGATCGTCTGAACGACATGGTATGCTTCGACCGCTAGGGATCTTGAAACCGGTATGGTGCTAACGTACTGCATAGGTCACTCGCATTGTGGCGACGTGGTATCAGATGGGCCAGGATAAGGACTACCCGTTGCCCAACTTCTCCACCAACACCGCTGCCGATAAGGCTCTTCTCTACCCCGGGGCGGTCCTCTCCCCCATCGGCGTGGTCAACGAGCATGTCAATGTGCAGGGCAACCACAACAAGACCGCGAGGGCCGTAGCGCGTGATGCCATCACCCTGCTGAAGAACGAGGGCGAGACGCTGCCGCTGAAGAAGAACGACTCCCTGTACGTCTTCGGCACCGATGCGGGGGCCGACCCGCAAGGGCTGAACTCGTGTGCCGACAAGGGCTGCAACCGCGGTGTCCTGACCATGGGCTGGGGCAGCGGGACCGCCAAGCTGCCGTACCTCGTCACTCCCCAGGAGGCCATCGCCAACATCTCGTCCAAGGCCGAGTTCCACATCACCGACTCCTTCCCGAAGGACGTCTCCCCCGGCCCCGATGACGTTGCCGTCGTTTTCATCAGCGCCGATGCGGGTGAGAACTTCATCATCGTCGACGGCAACCCCGGAGACCGCACCAAGGCGGACCTGAAGGCGTGGCACAAAGGTGACGACCTCGTCAAGGACGCCGCGGAGAAGTTCTCCAAGGTCGTCGTCGTGGTCCACACCGTCGGCCCCATCCTCATGGAGGAGTGGATCGAGCTGCCATCCGTCAAGGCCGTCCTCGTCGCCCACCTGCCCGGCCAAGAAGCCGGATGGTCGCTGACGGACGTCCTCTTCGGCGACTACAGCCCCAGCGGCCACATGCCTTACACCATCCCGCGCAGCGAGGACGACTACCCGGAGAGCGTGTCGCTGATCCAGCAGCCCTTCGGCCAGATCCAAGACGACTACACCGAGCGCCTGTACATCGACTACCGCCACTTCATGAAAGCCGACGTCACCCCGCGCTACCCCTTCGGCCACGGCCTCTCCTACACCACCTTCGACTACTCCAAGCCGAGCCTCTCCGTCGTGACCCCGCTCGACAGCGCCTACCCGCCAGCCCGGGGCCCCAAGGGCTCCACGCCCACCTACCCCGACACCAAGCCGGCACCCTCCGAGGTCGCCTGGCCCAAGGGCTTCCACCGCATCACGCGCTACCTCTACCCCTACCTCGACAACCCCGAAGGCGCCGCCGCCAACTCCAGCAAGAAATACCCCTACCCCGAGGGTTACACGACGAAGCCCAAGCCGGGTCCCCGCGCGGGCGGCGGCGCAGGCGGCAACCCCGCCCTGTGGGACGTGGCCTACTCCGTGAAGGTGACGGTCACCAACTCGGGGCAGCGCCCGGGCCGCGCCGTGGCTCAGCTCTACGTCGAACTGCCCACGGACCTCGGCGTCGACACGCCCTCCCGCCAGCTGCGCCAGTTCGAGAAGACCAAGACGCTGGCTCCTGGGGAGAGTGCGGTCGTGACGCTTGATGTCACCCGCAAGGACGTCAGCGTGTGGAATGCTATCGTGCAGGACTGGCAGGTGCCGGTTAACGGCGAGGGCGTTAAAATCTACGTGGGCGAGAGCGTTGCCGATGAGCGCGTTGTGTGTAAGGTGGGGGATAAGTGCTCGGTTTTGTAACTTCATTCCGATTCTGATACCTAGTATGGACATGGCTATATAATTTCATAATTGCATTTGAACAACATCGTATGCTTACGCTGATCTCACTTTTGCTGCCTATACTCCCCAGACCGTACTATGATATCAGAAAATCAATCAGGCAGGCGGTGGCAGAATCCCCACCCTCCACTCGCCGAAGCGCATCGCATCGCATCCCGCCCGTCAGCAATAATCCTCGCATCTCCTCAACTTCCGATCTCATCTAGCTTGCTTCTCGACCAGCACGGCTGGCTCGGTGCCATCCAGGGAGCCGGCCTGACGAACAAAGTCTAGGAATTAGCCAGATTAGCACGTTGGTATAGACCAACTCGTTGCCCAACATGCAAGGCTTTAGTGAGTCCTCGCCCACGATAACATCCACTATGGAACGAACGGGGTACTAATATGCGATTCATTGCTTTAGATATGGGACGGTACGCAGCCCCCCTACATTTCAACCAAGTCCCCAAGGAAAAGAAGGAAATAAAACAGAAAAGCAAATGAGAAAGGAACTGACAATCTGATGTTTTCAAAAAATAGATATGTCCCCCCAGACCAAGAAGGCCTCACAAGCGGCAACAAGCTCCACAACAAGCACGCGCTCGGCGCCCGCGCACGCAATCTGCACAAAACGGGCTCCCTCACCGTACGCTTCGAGATGCCCTTCGCGGTATGGTGCACGACGTGCAAACCGCACGAGACGCTCATCGGGCAGGGCGTGCGGTTCAACGCGGAGAAGAAAAAGATCGGCAGTTACCACAGCACTCCCATCTACAGTTTCCGGATGCGGCACCCGCAGTGTGGCGGGTGGATTGAGATCCGCACGGATCCGCAGAATACGGCGTATGTTGTTGTTGAGGGGGGGCGGAAGAGGGAGACTGGTGATGAGGGTGGTGAGGGGGTGGTGAGGGGGTTGGCGGAGATGGGGGAGAGGTTGAGGGCTGGGACTGGGGCTGATAATCGGGATCCGTTTGAGAGGGTGCAGGGGAAGGTGGATGATAAAAAGGCTGGGGAGGCGGAGAGGGGGAGGGTTGAGGAGCTTTATTGGGGGCGGGAGAGGGATTGGGCGGATCCTTATGCTGTGTCGAGGAGGGTGAGGAGGGGTTTTCGCGCGGAGAGGAAGAGTCTGGAGGTTAGGGCTAGGGAGAGGAGCGCGTTGGCGGAGAAGATGAGTTTGGGGTTTGAGGTTGTTGATGAGAGTGAGGGGGATCGGGTGCGTGCTGGGTTGGTGGATTTTGCGCCGTCCTCCTCCTCCGCTGGTGGGGTGCGGTCGAAACCGCTGTTTGAACAGCGGCCTGCGTCGTCGTCGTCGTCGTCTGGGGCGAATTCGCCGCGTCTTGGAAGATCCAAGGATAAGCGCGCCAGGAGCAAGACACAGCTGCAGAGCGAGCTGACGGGGAATACGCGCGCCGCGGTGGATCCATTCCTGGCGGCAGATGACAGCGAGTGGCGGCCGGAGGTTAAACGACGGAAACCGAATCATACGAGTCGACTAGCTGCGACGAATACCGCTACGAGTCCTGGTGCGCAGGCAGAGGCAGAGGCAGAACAGCCCGCGTCAGGGTCCGATAATACGGACAAGGATGCGTCTGGGGAGAAACAGGCGGGTCCTGTGGCGTTGGTGGATTATGCGTCTGATTCGCAGTGACTTTTCTTTTTTGCACTGTTGTATCTTTTTGGGTTGCATTTGGTGTGCTATTACTGCGGCGTTTATATCATGATACCCCCGTTTCTGTTAGACCCATCCACATATCCAGTTGCCGCTTCTATCGCATGTGAAGGCTGTATTACTTAGGGCTCTTGTTCGTGTTATATGACGTAGCTAGTAGGTAGGTAGGTAGTAGGTGGTCGGTATATACAATGCGCCTCGGAGCCCCCTTTCGTGATATCTCACCAAGGAGCCTTGGTCACCACATCCGGTCTATCATCAGGGCTTGGACCCGGCGACGGGGAGCTAGACCAGGGAGCGCGCGTGGGCGCCATCGGCCCAGGCGGTAATCGAGACGTATCCGTTAGCGAGGTCGGCATTTGCACTCTGGACGGAGGGGCGGCTGGCCCTCGAGCGGCGGCCCAGGGCGCGGCGGTTCCGCCTGGAGGCGGCGCTGTTGTTGGTTGCCCTGTTGCCGTCGCCCATGGTGCTTTGGTGCCTGGTCCTGCGGCGGCGGGGGCGCTCGGTCGAGGCTGGGACGTGGACGAGGTGTGTGCAGTTTGCGGTGGGGGGATGGCGCTGGGATCGCGGTCCCAGCTGAAGAGGGAGCCGAAGGGGAAGTGTTGCACGACGGGGAATTTGGAGAGGACTTCGGCGTTGTACATTTTGATCATGCCCTAAGATTATTTATTGATTAATTAACCATCTATAGTAAAATAAAAAAATAAGATAAAAAAGGACGGGGGAAAAGGAAGGGGGGGATATACTTTGTTGATTTTGGCCCAGCCGGTGCGGATGCCTGATATATCGAAGAGCATGGGGCTGTGTTCCCAGAAGGGCCCTTTTTTCACGTCATAGATGAATCCCACGGCGGAGAAGTATAGGTTTGTGATGCGTTCTCTCGCGACGATGTTCGCTTTGGCGACGCCGCTAGGATCGGGCGCATCTGGTAAGGAGCCCTCCTCTGGGACACGATCGGACTCGGAGATGGCGGGGGCGAGCTGGGCGGAGCCGAAGATGTATGGGATGAAGGAGTGGTCGTCAAGACCCCAGACGCCGTGGGAGCCTGCTGGTTCGAGGGTGTAGGATTTGATGATGGTGCGCACCAGCTCAAAGTATCTAGATAGTTAGTACTTTCTTTACCGGGGGGGATATATTAGAAGGGACGAACGGCTGCATCACTCCCAGGACAATCTCCCTCTCTTCGACCCCAGGACCACTCTTCGGAAACCCATTCAGCTTCCAGATGCAACCCAGAAACGCCAGGAAGCTCAACTCGTGCCCCGTCCCATAGTCCAAGCGTTGCGGGCTACCCCAGCTACCCAGAAAGTACGCCTTCAGCTCCTCCTCCGCGGTAGGACCCTCGGGATCTAACGGAGATCGCATATGCAGCATCTCCGCCGACAGGCATTCCTCCAGTAGGTCTGTCGCTCGGCTCTCCACAATCTGGTACCACTTTCGAAAGCTCACATTTCCGAAACGACGCGGGCCGGTGTCGGGTGGGACCTCAGACAGGATCCCCTCCAGCTTGGATAGTAGCAGCTGCAGCTGTCGGACGGGAGCGGAGAACCCCACGGCGTCCGAGTTCAGCGGCCACGCCTGGACGCTGCCGTCTGGAAGCTTGCGAGGGAGCATCGATCGATTCAATTGCAGTAAAAACGTCATGAGATCGACGTAGGCGCGCGAGCAGAGAAAGTCGGACACGTCGGGGTGTTCGTGGATCCTCTTGGTGGGCTTAATGAACCGGTGCCCCTCGGCGTCGGAGGGGGCGAGGGGGAGGAGAACGCGGACTGGATTGTCCGTGGCCATTTTTTATCGTAGTATTCCAGTTATTAGAATTCAGTACAGAAGAATGAATAATCCTGAGCTGTGAAGAAGTTGTGGAATTGAGAAAGAGACTGGATGAAAAGGATCGAGTATAGAACGATGACGCTGCTATCGATAAGCCCGATCACGGGAGCGGATCTTCTCCGCTTTAGCCTGAGCTCGTTCTTTCTTTCTCTCTTTCTCTCTGTTTATTTATGTGAATCCCACCCCATTGACCGGCTGGTGCCCGGGTCTGGCTATTCAGTCTTTTATACTGTCTACGTGGGTATCAAATTCTCAATCTAATTCAGCATGGCTCGCAGAAACCGCAGCTTCAGAGCTTCCGGACGCGCGCTCGACATCCTCAACAGCATCAACAGTTCCAGCACCAGCCGCAAACAACGCGATCGACCTGTCCGAAATTCCCGCCGCGCGACGCATGGGGGAGAGAGTCAAGGCGTCCCTGAAAATCGGGACGATATCTGGCAGATTCCTGTGTCGCCGGAAAATCGCACGCCTTCCCCTCCGGCCCCCGGGCACACACCACCGCAGACTCTACACATACCCGAAGCAGAACCTACACCGCGACGGTCGCGGCGACTACAACACGAGGCACCGGAGAACTCGTCCCCCCTGCGAGATTCGTTGCGGCAAGAAGAGCAGACGTCCGAAGTGGAAGAACCAGAGCCAGAGGCGGAGGAGGAGGAATGGGTATCAGATGGACAGGGCTCCGAAGGAAGTGAGCAAGTGAGTCAGGAGCCGTTGGAGGAATACAATGAGAGCGATGAGGGACCGGATGGGCAACAAGCGGTGGCGCACGAGACCGCGACGAAGAAAAGGAAGACCGCTACGGTGGATGGCCTGGGGGACGAACAAGAACAGCAGAATACGCACGATCGGGATCAGACTGCGCCCCATCGCGACAATCCTGATCATCTTTCTAGTCCCACATACCGTCGTCAGCGGCGCCGGGCCCGGTCTCCGTCACGAGTACGGATAGAGGTCCCTCCGCGCGCGTCGTCGCCTGCGCGATCCGAAGCATCTCCGGATTCCCATGACCAGACCCAAACGACCGATCGGGCCCTGGTGGTTGCGCCTGAGTCGGTTCAGGAGACCTGGTTTGACCAAGCGCAGCATTTGGGGGGCCAAGAGGATAACTGGAGGACGCTGATCGCCGTGGTGGGCGTGCTCCGGAAAATCAAGGTGCCATCCGTGGAGCACTACCTGGGAGACGTCAAGGGTGCCGTCGACTTCTTCCGAGACAGTTACAAGCGCGCTGTCATTACGCCGCTCCGGGCAGGCGACACGCCCGGGTCCGAGAGCGCGGCGCAGTTCGACGACCTCCTCGCCGTGATCCAACAGGAAGGGGACCAGGTCATGGACGTCATCTACGAGCTGACGAATCCGGCAAAGCGTCGGGACCTTCTTGATGGGTTTGGAGCCCGAGCGATCGACTGGGCCTACAAGGTGGTGAAGCAATGCTTCCGAGCCTACTATATTGCCGGGGGACGGTATCCGGCGGCGCGACGACATTTCCGTCGGGCGTTGGCCCTGCTCTCCTGGTTCTGTCGACGGCTGGGCTCGTTGGCGGGTCGGAGGCAGATGGAGGGGCGGCAGAAGGAGCTGCGATGGTTGGAAAAGTCGCTGGCCAAACTCCAAGCGGCCTTGGAGTCGCGGGCGTTGGAACCGGAGGCCCGGGAGGCCCCCGAGGGCCCCGGGGGCCCCATCGGAGGGGGCACACTCCGCGATCTGGCTTTCCCTTATGGTCGCAAGCCGTGGACGAACGACGAAGGGCAGGCTTTACTGGATGGTCTACAGCGATACCAAGGTATGCTTTCCCGCTCCGCCTTTCTTCCCTCACGGCACCCAACTGACAGATGTCAGGCCCGGATCGATACTATCGGATCCTCACCCAGTCGGGTCGACGACTCCTCGGTCGTACCGCGTTGGAACTGCGGGAACAAGCGTGCCAGTTACGGGATCGCATCCTGACGCAGCACGGCCATGAGCTCCACGACAGGGAGGGACAACGGAAATGGCGATGGTTATCGAGTGTGCGCGAGAATTGAGATGATGATCGAGATACCCAGTTCTATTTTTGTATAATTTCTACTATCTTATTCCAACCACTGCAGTACCACTACGACCACTACAGCTCAACGAACCATGGGTCGAGCAGGTGGAGCCCCTGGAACGAGGGTTTCAGGAGACCACAACAAACAATGACAGAGATTCGGGGTTTCAGTGGTTTCAGGTGAGACTATAGAATCAAGAAATAAAAAAATATATAATCGGGAGTATATAGAGGTACCATAGACAGAAGTAATCGATAGATCACCCGGTGTGCCTGAGGTGTCCCCATCCACTAGTCTCTCCTCTTTCTCTCCCTCTCGACTTTCCACTCTTTCTTCCCTTCTCTCTTCTCTTCTCTTCTCTTTCTTCTTCTTCTCTCACTTCATCTCTTCTTCTCTTTCTTCATCCATCTACTTCTCTCTTCTCTTTCTTCTGTTCTCTACTTCTCTCTCTATTACTGTATTTAATATTTCATCCCTCTTTTCTCTTTCTTCTGAATTGCCCCTCCATCGCCCTCCTGATCTGCATTCCCCCGGAATCACACTACACTACCCCTGCAGGTACCTATCACCCTCCACTCTAGTACCCCCTCCCCCCTTCTCCATACACAGCGTCGCATTCAGTTCGTGTCGTGAGACGGACAGGTCATCTTCAACGGCAGACATAATCCTTCCAGACACAAGACACAAGACAATCGTGAGAGAGGAAGCGTGTGTTGACAACCCGGTGGATCTCGGCCGTCCCGAAAAGGAGAACAGTCTCCATCGCAGCTGCCTCTGGCGGCCGATCGTCATTCTGCTTTCCGACTCCAGGCCAGCTCAGCGTCTTCTCCGGTTCCCTTCTCTCTCGCTCGCTCTCGCTCCGATTCTCTCGTCTCCTTCTCTGCCAATGACCTGATTGTCCGTCCGCACGCCGACACTTGGAATATCGCGGCATTGAACCGAACGCGACGTTGTCTATTTTTCTCTGTCTCGTTTCTTTTTCTTTTTTGGGTTCCCCCAGACTAACGGGAACCTCCTTTTCGCTAGATTCCTGCTGAAGAGTCCCTCCCCCGATTCGTCAGTCCCTGACTTTTCTGACTCTCTCCCTCTCTCTCTCTCCCTTCGACAAATACAAGATGGCTTCGACGGAAGAGCCCATCCCAACCGCCGCCCCTGCGGAGGTCCCTGCGGAGGTCCCTGCCGCGGAAGCCCCCCCCGCGGAGGCGCCTGCCCCGACCGAGGCTCCCGCCGAGGTCGACTCGGACACCGCTCCCCCGGCCACCCCCGTCGACTCGACCGTCCTCTCCGGCAGTGAAGAGCCCGTCACCAGCCCGGACGCCACCAAGGACAAGGAAAATGTCAAGACCTCCCCCGCCAAATCCACCACGGCCACCAAGCGTCCCGTGTCCGGTACGACGGCGGCGAAGCGGCCCAGCTCCATCTCGAGCACCTCCAAGACCACCACGGCCCGCACCTCCACCACCGGCGGCACCCTGAGCCGCCCTCCCACCCGGCCGTCCACCACCTCCACCACCAGCTCGACTCGCCGCCCGCTCAGCACCTCGACCACCGCCTCCCACCGGTCGCGCGCTTCGGTCAGCAGCTCCGCCGATGAGAAGGCCCGCTCCATTGCCAGCTCCGGCGACGAGAAGCGGGGCATCGCCGGCACCGCCAAACGCATGTCGCTCGCCGGCACCGCCAGCACCCGCCCGTCCACCCGGCCCAGCACCAGCACCGTCGATCGCCGGTCCAGTGTCGCCGCCTCCTCCACCGCCGAGAAGCGGTCGTCCGTCGCCCGGGCCCCGTCCACCGCGACCCGCCCCGCCGCGCGCACGTCCACCGCCGGTACCACCGCCCGCCCCGCGACCTCCACCACGGCTCCGCGGACGAGCACCACCACCACCCGGCCAACCACCACGGCCACCCGGCGACCCGCCACCGCGGCCCGGAGTGCCGAGGACGAGGAGAAACTGCAGACACTCCAGGCGAAACTCACCGAGAGCGAGGCCACCGTGTCCGGTCTCAAGACCGAGTTGGACGAGGTGAACCAGCGCCTCACGCAACTGTCGCTCTCCGGCGAGTCCGCCGACGCCAAGGGCGGCGAGTCCGCCGACGCCAAGGGCGGCGAGGCGGCGACCCAGGAACTTCAGGAGCAGCATGCCGCGGCCCTCCAGGAATTGACGGCCCGTCACACCGAGCAGCTGCAGGCCATCGAGGCCCAGCTCGAGGCCGCCGAGGCGGCGCGCAAGGACGTCGAGGAGAAGGCCGCCCGGGACTTGGACGAGGCGGCGAAGGCGGCCGCTGCCCAGGGCGACGACCAGGCCGCGGCGGCCCTCGAGGAGCTGAAGCAGACGCACCAGACGCAGCTCGAATCCCTCCAGCAGCAACTGGCCGGGCTCGCGGAGGAATTGGAGTCCCAGAAGCAGCGCAACGAGGCCGCCGCCAAGGGATTCGAGGAGGACAAGGCGCAGGCGCTGGATGACCTGGAGAGCGAGCTCAAGGGTCGAGACCAGGTGATCAAGGACCTCAACGTCGAGATGGATAAGCTCCACCACGCCAAGGAGCAGGAATCCGAGGCCGCCCAGCAGGCCGCCCAGCAGTCCGTGGCCGCCCTCGAGGAGAAGGTCGCCGGACTCGAGTCGCAGCTGGCGGCGGCTCACGCGGCGTCCACAGGCACCGAGGACTCGGCCGCGCTCCTGGCCGGCAAGGAGCAGGAAGTCGCCGACCTGAAGCAGGCGGCCGAGAAGGCGCAGGCCGAGCTCCAGGAGGCCCGCGACGCGGCCGGCAAGGAGCTCGACCAGAAGATCCAGGAACTGAACGCCGCCCACGACGCCGCCGTCGCCACGCTGAAGGCGGAGCAGGAGGCGGCGGTCGCGGCCGCGGCCGCGTCCCACGCCGAGGAACTGGCCACGGCCAAGGACGCGGCGGCCTCGGCGGAGTCGGCCGGAACCTCGCACGCGCAGCAGCTGCAGGAACTCCGGGACGCGCTGGATGCGGCCGAAGCCCACGCTGCCAAGGGCCGCGACGACGCCCTCGCCGAGCTGCAGGCGACGCACCGCGCGGAGCTGGAGTCGCTGCAGCAGAAGCTGGACGCGTCCGAGCAGTCCGCGCAGCAGGTTGGGGAGGACCGGGCCCACGAGGCCGAGGCCGTGGCCGTGCAGGAGATCGAGTCGCTCAAGGAGAAGGTGGGCGCCTTGGAGTCACAGCTGTCGGCCGATCGGACTGAGATGAAGACCCTCGAGTCGGAGATCCAGAGCAAGCAGGCCGAGGCCGAGGCCCTCCAGCAGAGCCTCATCGCCTTCGAGGCCCAGACCCAGGCCAAGGATGCCGAGCAGGCCAGCCAGCACAAGACCCTGGAGGACCGGGTCGCCGCCGCGGAGCAGGCCCTCGAGGCTCAGCGGGCGGACGCCGCGACCGCGGCGGAGCAACACGCCCAGGCGCTCGACACGCTCAAGGCCGAGCATGCCTCGGCGCTGGCGCAGGCACAGACGGCGGCCGCGGGCGCCGATGACGCCCACGCCCTGCAGGAATTCCAGGCCAAGTACGATGAGCTGCTGGCGACGAACAAGCGCCTGGAGTCGAGCCACGCGGAGGTGGTCCAGGCCCTCGAGGCGGAGCTCCAGTCGACCCGCGAGCGCCACGCTGCGGAGATCGCCACCCACACCGAGTCCCGGGACCAGGCCGTCGCCGATCTTCACAAGGAGTTCGCGGAGACCAAGGCTCAGCTGGAGGCGGAGCTGACCACGTCCCGCACCTCCCGCACCTCCGAGGCCGACGCCGAGCACAGCCAGGCGATCGAGGCGATCCTCAGCACCCAGGACGCGAAGCTCTCGGGCCTGCGGGCGGAGCTGGAGGAGGCCCACACAGCCAAGCTCGACGAACTGCGGCAGTCGCACGAGGCGGCCCTGGCGGCGGTCCACAGCCAGCTGGCGGAAGCACAGACGACGGCCGTGCCGGATAACTCGGCCGTGGACGGACTGACGTCCACCGTGGCGGAGCTGGAGCAGAAGCTCGCCGCAGCGGAGCAGGCGGCGGTCGCGGCGCGGGAGGAGCAGGCCAGCCAGCACCACACGGCCCTGAGCCAGCTGGAGGCCGAGAAGGCCGAGTGGGCGCAGAAGCACGAGGCGGCCGCCGCGCGGGTGGCGGAGCTGGAGCAGTCGGTGGCGGCGTCGGCGGACCGGCCGTCGGACCTGGCGGCGCTCCAGCAGCAGCTCAGCGCGTCGCAGGAGCAACTGGACCAGGTGAAGGGCAAGCACGAGCAGGCGACGGGGGCGCTGGACCAGCTCCAAGCGCAGAACAAGACGCTGAGCGACAAGCTGTCGGAAGGCGAGCGGGATCTCAACGACCAGATCGACAAGAACATGTCGCTGCTGAACCAGCTGGGCGAGGTGGACTCGGCGATCGCCAGCAGCCGCAAGCGTGTGCGGGAGCTGGAAGCGGACCTCGAGGCGCTGCGGGCGGTGCAGGGCGAGGGTAAAGATCCGTCGGTGGGGTTGGAGGGCAGCCGATGGGCGTCCGAGGACGAGAAGAAGGCGGCGGCGGGCGGAGAGGCGGGCAGTCCGGCCGGAGAAGGTGAGGATCTTGGTTCATCCATCGAGGGAACGGTGGGCACTCCCCGTCAATCCAATCCTGGCTTTTTTTCCTTTTCCTCGATCTGGGACCGTTCTCTTGACCAGCGAGCCCATGGCTGACCGGAGTTTTCCTCTTTCTCTCTCCCTATCAGATGGCCAGCATTCAGGAGCAGCTTAAGCATATTCGCTCGGCCAACGATGATTGGTATGATGAGCACCGACGGTACGGCTTTTTCTCTTTTCTCTTCTTTTTCCTTTGATTTGTTTTAATTGAGTCCGATGGCTGACGGATGGAAACAGGTTGATTGGCGAGCTCACGCAGCTGTCCCAACGCGGGACTCCCCACATGCGGAGTCAGACGTCGACGCCAGGGCTCGAGCGGGTGCTCTCCAGCGCGGAAGTGAAGACGCGACCGGAGTAAGAAGGGTGATGAAACCGGTGGGGCTGGAGGAGTCACTCATTTTCCTTTGTTCAAGGTGGACAGGATGGTATTCGGATAATGTTGTATTGGCTAGGAAGAATTGTATGTATAATCAGATAATCAGGATACCCCTGTTTTTTATTCTTTCTTTTTCTTCTTTTTTTTTTTTTTCTTTCTCTTCACCTTTCATTTTGGGTTCTCTTCCCCATGCTTTTTCGGGCTTGAGCGGATGACTGCTGTGCTGTCGGTGGCGTCAAGTTTAGGGTTGGCTGTACGCCCCGAGAAGGGGCATGTGCGTATGACCCGGGCCTTTGCGGGTACTGGCCCTGCCTGGGTCACGGACGGGCGCACACCCACCTCCCCGCCGTGGACCACCAGGGCCGAACGGGAGGGTCCTCGGTGGGGTGTTTGCGCTGTTGCGCTTGCGCTTGCGTTTGGACGTAGAGGGCGGGAGTGAGAATGCGCGGGGGTGGTTGTAACTGGGGATGCGATTCATCGAGATTATCCAAGTATGGACTGGGCACGCCGTACTCCTCTTCTCCTCTTTCTGCAGTTGCTGCTGGTGCTGGTGCTGGTGATAGTACCGGAGATGACGACCCTGATACTATCCCTGGGTGATGGGAAGCCTCCATCGTCCAGCGCGCCCGGGGGGGTGAACGATGATCAGGACACCCGGACCCGGTAAAGGCGCGACAGTAGGCGGCGTATTCTTCTTTGAGGCGTTCTTCGTCGGAGTCTTCTGCTTCTGATTCTTCATCTTCACCGTTGTCGTGAGGGTCGTTATCTTCGTTGGTTTCTTCTTTGAGGGCTAAGGCGCGATGGGGTCGTCTTCGTCGATTGTATCCATGGTGAGGGTTGGCTTGTGGGTTATTGTCGTGATTGGTATCGTTATTGTCATTGAGATGATCGAAATGAGAAAGATCTGGTCTATCTGACCCAGTATATTCCTCTCGTAAGGAACGGCGAGAGAGGCGATTGACGACCCAGCGGGAGAGGTTGGCGATGGAGGGAGAGTGACGGAGACGGGGTGGATGAGAGTGGGGAGTGAAGGAGGGGACGGAGGAGACGAAGGAGAGGTGGTCGGAGTCGTTGATGATGTTGATTGTGGGCATTTCTTATATATTATATTATATATCGTAGTATATATTGTATTAGGGATTAGGGATTAGATGTTGGATATTAAGGAGGGAGTATATCCAGGATATATAGTGGGATATCGACCATGACGGGATTTAATAGACAGAGAATCAAAGAATAGAAGGAGCAAATGCGCCGGACATCCGACGATATATATATCTATCTATTAAACTATGTATGTAGAGAGTGTAAGTTATTGTATAATGAATGGTTAAGACAGTCTCAAACCAGTCCAATAGCAGGATTGATGCAGACGCCACCAGCACTTGTCTCGGTCGGTACCCTGTCTTGTTTTTGACGGATGGAATGATTGAATCTTGTTAGTTACGGGATGTATTTCTTGCTTTTTCCTGTTTTCTTAAGTTATCTTTTCGTTATTTCTGAGGAGTGCAGGTGTAACTTATATATGTTGCACTGAGTATTTGTCGGGTGACGTGAAGTCGAAGTGTATGATCATGATATTGATTCTTCATGTCTATCTTATTCACCAACTGTCTACAATATTTTTCTAATTATGTATTTTATCATATGGAATATGTTGATATCTACATCTCGATCACACATAAGATAACAATAATCAATATTATATAGATGGGTACCATAGAATATATAGAAGACAATACATAAGAAGCTAGAAATCGAATTGTCTTGGCACCGGTCATTCCCGTGACCCGCAACTCGCACGCTTTCTTTCTCTCTCTTCTCCTTCACGACCTCACCTTCTTCACCCACCATCCACCCACCATGTCTTTCCGTCCGGTCTTCTCTCAGGTATGTGATCAATTCCTCTCACTAAAAAACATTGCAACTGACCTCCAGGCTACCCCCCTCGCCGCCACCCTTCTGGCCGGTGGTGTCGCCCTCTATCCCCGGCGCACCGCGTTTGCCGAAGAGCCCCGGGACCAGGTATGTAGCTCCTCCAACTCCAACGTGAGTGCATCCGGCTCATACAACTAGCGGAAACCCATCTACGATGATCTCTCCGATGTTGTCTCCCCCGTCGCCCCCCCCGTCGCCGCCCCCGTCGACACCCCCAAGGAGCCTACCCTCCCCGTCGAGCTCCCGACCAAGTCCGCCGCTCCCGCTCCCGCGTCCTCCGCTCCGACCCCCACCGACATCCTGACCGCCCAGGTCCGCCAGGCCCGTGTCTTCCTCTACAAGAACTCCCTCGCCGCCGAGACCTGCTTCAACGACATCCTCGCCCGCGCCCTCAACGTCGAGAACGCCTTCACCAACACCATCGCCGCCCTGGCTCCCTCCCCGGAGTCCGGCGAGCGTCTCCTCCCCGGCGGCGCCTACGTCGTCGTCGCCGCCATGGCCGGCTCCATCGTCGCCCGTAACCGCGGCATCATCCTGCGCTCGGCCTCCCCGCTGGCCTTTGGCACCGTCGCCGCCTGGTCTTTGCTCCCCGTCACCATGCGCAACGTCTCCGACCTCGTCTGGGAGTACGAGAAGCAGGTCCCTGCCGTCGCTGAGCAGCATCTCGCCCTGCGGAACAATGCCCAGCACATCTGGTCCACTGGTCTGGCCCACAGCGCCATGACCCGTGCCATGATGGAGGAGAAGATCGGGGACGTCCGCAAGAAGCTGGAGGAGGTTGTCAGCAAGGGTCATTAACTTGACCAACTACCTTCTTCTTCCGCCTTCCTCTCCCATTTCTCCCACTCCCTCTCTGTCTACCTGTCTATCTATCTCTCCTCGCTCTGCTCCCGATCTGTGGATTTCCTCTGTTAAAACAACCCCTCGGTTGACATTTTCCCTTCCCTGTTTAGCGGACGTGCGGGTCGTTGTATCCCGTTGTTTCTATCTGGTTCCTTTGGCATTATCTGTACTCTACATTTAGATCGGAAGGATTTCCTAGATTTTCCTCTCCCTCTTGTCCCAGTATTACTTTACGAAAAAAAAAAGTAATAAGCCGCTTGTAGAATGCGTTCATTGTAATCTGAATATCATAGGTCTATCCGGGCCAGCTCAACACATCACGCGGATCCACCCTCCGCCTCAGCCGGCGGCGGAGACTGCACCCCGGCCTTGGGAGGCGGGGGAGGAGGAGATTGCACTCCAACCTTAGGCGGCGGCGGCGCCAGCGGCGTCCCCCGCCGTGAAGGCGCATAATCCTGCTCCTTACTCTTCTGCTCCCCCTCCGCAAAGTACTCATCAAATGCCCGACTGGGCGAGACACCCCCCGCGCCCGCACGTCTCCCTCCACCACGCCGCGTCCCAGACGGCGACTGGCTCGCTGCCGGTGACACTGACCCCGCCAACGGCGGCGGCGAGGCCATCGTCGCTGGCATCAGGAATTGACTTCCGCTTCCGCTTGCGCTTCCGGTGTCTGCCTGCTGCTGCTGCTGCTGCTGCTGTTGGAAGAGGCGATTCGCAAGAGGCTCCGACGACCCATCCTCGCGCGTCTCAAAGACAACCTCACCGGGTCCCTCGACCTCCTCGCCCAGCCCAACTGGAAGCCTATGCAGCGCCCCGAAGCCGAGTTCAGCGCCCAGGGCGCCCTCCCCGCCCCAGCCGCGTGTAGGCACCAGCTCGACTTCGCGCACGACGTCGAATTCACTGTTGTAGACCCAGAGGACGAGCGTGCGGTTGAGGTGCTCTTCGACGAGCTCGCCGAGGGCGGATTCGCCGCGGAGGGTGCCGCTCGGGGTGCCGATTATGTAGTCTGAGTGGGGGAGGAGGCCTGCGCGGTAGGCCGGGCTGAGCGGGGATGGGATGGAGAGGACGTGCCAGATGTTTTGGGTGGAGGAGAGGGGTGCGAGTTGGAGGGCGAGGTTGAGGGTTGGGTTGGTTGGGGGGATGGGGAGGGTTACGGTGTGGGTGCGTTGGCCCTGTTGGTTGGGTGTTAGTGTACCGTTATGGCTGGTCTCTGTCTGTTTGTCGCTTTGTATATTCGTCTGGTGAAAGGTAGTGGCGTACCTTTGCGCTCCATATCTCAAAGCTCACGTTTCCTCCTGCGCAGTTGCGCACTTCGGTCGCGAATAGGGAGGGGTCTGGGTCGTCCTGGATAACACCGTCAGTTTCTCGCCCTTTTCTTTTGTCTCCTGTTTGCTTCTTCCTATCAAACTCACAATCAACCGTCCGTTGATCCCCACGATGAAATCAAACCACGGCTCCAGAGGGAGCTCCGCGTCTTTGTTGCGGAGAACCTGGAACCCAAAGGCGTTGTCGTGGGGGGACTGCGCGTGCTGGACGGGCTCCGCGTCCAGCCGGCCGATAAAGCGGTTTAAGGCTCCAAACATGCTGGATCGAGTTCAGTGTGGGATCGTGTCGTCTGGACAGGTTGTTGGGAGACTTCACGAGGCGCAGTTGGACTCGGTGGTCTGTTGGATGGATAGATCGGGTGCAAACCGGACAAACACGCTATCGACCGCGTTATCGGGATCGATCCTGACTTTCATCATCTTCGTCCTCTTCTTCTGCGCGGCGTTGAAAAGGGTGTAAAGCGAGAAAAAAATAAGAGAGTACTATGAGCGATGGGCGATTCTGATGGAGAGGCACCCTCTGAGGTCCACCATTACAACCATATCAGTGAAGTCCCATGGGACATTCAAAAGTGCGATCGTTCCCTCTTCCGCACCGGTCGTTCAAATGGAAGCTAACCGATTACCCAGCTACTGGCGACAACGCCATAACATCTTCTCCAAATATGACCAGGGGATCTGGTTGACCGATGATGCCTGGTTTGGGGTGACTCCGGAGCCAGTGGCAACGTAAGGAGTCCTCTATCCACACGACGCCATTCGCTTACGGATTACTTTTTTACTTTTTCTAGTAAAATCGCAGATCATATAGCCAGCTCCGTCCCCCCCGGACGTAGCGTCCTGGTCGACGCCTTTGCCGGCGCGGGGGGCAACTCGATCGCATTTGCGCTGTCTGGGAAGTGGAAGCGCGTCTACGCCATCGAGAAGAACCCGGCTGTCTTGCGGTGCGCGAAGCACAACGCCAAGATCTATGGGGTGGCTGACCAGATCACCTGGTTTGAGGGCGACTGCTTCCACATTCTGAAGAATCAGCTCAAAGATCTGGCGCCGTATAGTATTATCTTTGCGAGTCCGCCGTGGGGAGGTATGTCGAGATCCTCAACCCTTCCTTCAGTTCGATTCCTCCTGAGACGGTGGCTGACTTGAGATGTGCCCTGTGTAGGTCCCGGATACCGATCGGATCAGGTCTTCAACCTCAAGACTATGGAGCCCTACTCACTGGAAACGCTGTATACGGAGTTTTCGGCCTTCTCGGAGCACCTGGTTCTGTTTCTCCCGCGCACGTCGGATATGAAACAGCTGGCTAAGTTTGTTCCCGCTGGGCGCCCTGCGATGGTGATGCACTACTGTATGGAAGGGGCTAGCAAGGCGCTGTGTGTGTACTACGGGGGGTTCAATCTTGAGTGATGTTTCTCTCTCTTTCTCTTTTTTAACTCTTGTATGATAGTGATACCCTGGCTGGCGGTTTAATCACGTGTTTGACAATATGTAGATTGTATGTCATTGTTGTGTAGTATACATTGCAGATATTGTCTTGTTGGAGACAAGACCTATATCTGAATTACAGTAAGGTACCTCTGAGATACCGCGCTAACCTAGCAGTAGCCCCCCAAATTGAGGTACTTCGGAGGTACCTGCCAGTGACCGCAGAGCTTATTTCCCCAACGGGACTAGCGACACCGCAGTCTTGGCAACGACTCCATCTTCTCATCCGCTTCTCTCTCTCTCTTCCTCCTTCACTTCACTCTTCACTCTCTTCACCTGTTCCATTCTCTCTATTCATGGGCTATTGGAGTCTGGGTATGCTCCCCACCGGCTCTCCATGCACCCTCTCTCTTAACTCTCACTCCTCCCTCCCGGTTTGCTCATTCCACTTTCTGTGAACCGGTGATTAAACTCTTACAACGCGATCAACTTTCGCCTCTATTTATCAACCTCTCCACCCCCACTACCAAACCACACACTCTCTCAACCACCACCATGCCGCACGCTACAGAGACTACGGCTCCCGAGCCGGAGGATACCGAGTTTGAAAATGTCATGCGACAGATGAACGGCCCCTCCTTCGGCTCAGGCGGCCCGTCCTTCGACTTCCTGCAACGCGACCTCGACCCGGGCGAAAAGGCCGACGACGCCGTCGATTACGAAGATTTCAGCGACGACGAACTTCCCGAAGAAGAGGAGAGAGCCCGGGTGCCCGCAGGAAATGGAATTTCGATGTTAGCGCCGGAGGAGGCCGCCGACGATGATGACGAAAAGGGCCTGTTTGGCGCGGAGGAGGAAGATCTCTTTGGTGGCCAGGAGGGACAGCAGGAGGACCAACACGCCCCCGATGATGAACTCGACGATCTTTTCGGCGATGGGCCGGCCTCTCCTGAGCCGGAACATATGGACTCGACCCGCGACCTGTTTTTCGAGGAGGAAGAGAAGCCTTCGGCTGTGCCGGAACCGATGCAGATACCCCCCCTCGAGACGCAACCGATCCCCATGTCGATGCCGATGTCTATGCCGATGCCGATGTCGATGCCTATGCCTATGTCGATGCCGACGCCCATGCAGATGCCCACGCCCACCCCGATGCCGGAAGTTCCACCGGAAACCCCCCAGGAAGAAGAAGAGGAGGAGGACGAGGGTATCTTGAGTCCCACCGGGGAAGACATGGACCCCGCTGCTCTGCGCGCCTGGAAGCTCCAGCAAGCCCTGTTCGCCATGTCCTCGATTGGCCCCGACAACCCCCCCGCGCCACCGGAGAACGTCGAAGAGCTCTTGCACTCCTTGTTCCCCAAGTTCGACCGCAACACGTTGCCGCGATTCCTCGAACTGATCCCCCATAAGAAAGCCTTTTTCCTCGGCAAACAATTGCCCAAGCCGCCGAAACCCACCATCCCGAGCAAAGTCAACCTTGAGCTGGCCCAGGACCAGGAGAGAATTTTCAAAGCCGGGGGTCAAGCCCACAAGCGCTCTCTAGAAACGGAACACCTGGGCGTCGTGGCGGTGGGTGAAATTTCCGAGGATGAAGAAGAAGCGGAGGAGGGTCACGGGGACGAAATCCGGGAGGAGCTCGACCACGACACAGACGCAGAGGAGACGTTGCCCGGCGGGGTTACGTTGGATGATCTTCGCGTCGTGTGTATGGACTGGGATGTGAAAGATGAGGTCGAAGAGCCGTCGGCCATGGACATTGACGTCCCGCCCAGTGGGGAGCCGAACGGCGATGCTGAGGATGAAGACGACTGGATGGCCGAGACCACACGTCCGGCTAAGAAGCGCAAGACGGGCCGAGATCCCATGGACATGGTGGCTCTGTCCCATATCGACTTCCCCTTCGTCGATGACCCCGAGCAGGCCACGTCGCGCATCGCTCAAAAGGTCACCATGGATATGAACGACCCCTACCTGCTGCTGGATGAGCGCGGTGTGGACTCGACGGCCCAGAAGCCCAAGGCCTTGGGCGCACGGAATCGGGACGAGATGGATGCCAACGTCACCCGGCGTCTGCTGTCGCGCTACAACATCTCCAACGACTCGGCCTACGAGATGCTCAAGCAAAACCACCAGAACAAGGTCCGGAGCACGCTGGGCAACATCACCCTTGAACACGGCATGCCGGCCCTGCGCTTGCAGTGGCCCTACTACCGGACCGAACTCACCAAGGCCGAGGCGCGCTCATTCCACCGTCCGGCGCTGTCCTTCCGACCGGGTCAGACCTCGTGGTTCAAGAACACGGCGTACATCAAGCGCAAGCACCAGCGGGGCAAGGAAGTCAAGGCGCTCTACGATTCGACCCGGGCCCTGTCGGCGGCCGACAACTCCAACGTCCTCCTGGTCGAATACTCCGAGGAGGTTCCGCTAATGATGTCCAACTTCGGCATGTCCAATCGCTTCATCAATTATTATCGCCGAAAGAACCCGGACGACCCCACGCGCCCCAAGGCTGAGATCGGCGAGACGGCGGTTCTGTTGCCCCAAGACAAGAGCCCTTTCTCCATTTTCGGTCATGTCGACCCCGGCGAGGTCGCCCCCGCCATTTCGAACTCCATGTACCGCGCCCCCGTGTTCCAACACCACGCGAAATCCACCGACTTTTTGGTCGTCCGGAGCAGCACGGTCTCCGGGGGTAGCGACTACTACCTGCGGAACATCGACAATCTGTACGTGGCGGGACAACAGCTCCCGTCGGTGGATGTGCCCGGCCCTCATTCCCGAAAGGTGACCACCGTCGCGAAGAACCGCATGAAGATGCTAGTATACCGTCTCCTGAAGAAGAGCGGCGACATGCGCCTCTCCATTAGCGATGTCACCGCTCACATTCCCGGCACGAGCGATATGCAGAACCGGCAAAAGGTCAAGGATTTCTTGCAGCACGACAAGGACTCGAAGTACTGGGTGCCCCTGGAGCCGGTTCCGGAGCAAGACACCATTCGGTCGTGGGTCCAACCCGAGGACGTGTGTCTCCTCGAGTCGATGCAGGTTGGCCAACAGCACCTGCACGACACCGGCTTTGGGAACGACGCCGAGACCGGCGGCGAGAACAACAACGAAGACGACGAGGAGAGCGAGAGCTTTGAGCAGCAAATGGCGCCGTGGAAGGCAACCCGCAATTTCCTTCTCGCGTCGCAAGGCAAGGCGATGCTCAAGCTTCATGGGGAGGGAGATCCGACGCGCCGCGGCGAAGGGTTCAGCTTCCTCAAGACCTCCATGAAGGGCGGGTTTAAGGCCGTTGGCGAGAGTGTGGAGGACAAGCTAGACGCTCAGCGTCTCAAAGAGCTCGGCGGCCACAGCTACAACGTGGCACGGCAGCAGCGGTCTTACGAAACGTCGATCAGACGCATCTGGGATGCGCAGAAGGCGAGCTTGTCCTCCACCGTTGAGCATTCGGACGGCGGCGAGAGCGACATGGACCAGGACGACGAGGACGATTTCAACAAGCCCACCCCGCGATCGGAAGCCCCTACGCCTGCGCCCGGCCGCCGCGACGATGAGACCACCAGTCAGTTCAGTAAGATGAGTATGCCAGACCAAAAGGGTAAAGTCCTTCGCATCATGCGATCGTTCCGAGACGACAAGGGCGAGATTTATCAGAAGGAGACGATGGTGTGGGACCCTCGTGTTATCCGCCATTATATCCAGCACCGCCATCGGGTCGAGTCGTTGACCACGAAGTAGGTGTTTTTTCTTTCGTTATAATCGTCCTCGCAAACTGACATTATTATCAGATTGGATGCTCTGCAACCTACCGGCGATCCGGAAGTGGATGCCCGCAACAAGAAACTGTATGCTCCCATGTACCTGTATCCCCCCGTTCCCCACCTAATTCCATCCCAGCATCGAAGCAGAACTCAGCCGTTTGAACCGCAACAAGGAGCGCCGTTTCGCGCGCGAGAAGCAAAAAGGCGCCACCAGGGCCTCCGCAGGCGACTCCCCGGCCGAAGGAGGCGTCGGCAGCGGCCGAGGAGCCGGTACACAGCGCAAGTGTGCCAACTGCGGCCAGGTCGGCCACATCAAGACCAACAAAAAGTGCGTTCGCCGTGATGAACTGGGTCCCAATCCAGAAATCCCTCCCCTTCTTTCCCCCCAGGACCCTCCCCCGTTCTTTGCTTCGTCGTTCCCCGTCCCTTCTGCTGCGAAGCCTAGCGTTACCCGAGCTCGGCGCTTGCGCAGTAGTACTACACCTGGTCCCAAATCTGCATCCCCGCAGCCGTGACATGGCATTGAAGCGGATGAGCATCGCGCGGACGGACAGAGTCCCGTCCAGCCATGCCTCCGTCTTCTTGTCCACTCCCCTATTCCCTGACATATGGGTACCGATCTTTCCATTCCCTGGACCCACATACGAAGCCAAAGAAAAGGCGTCGACGACCATCGCGTCGCATCGCATTCTAATTCCACTGGACCCATGGCATTCTTTACCAAAAGCCTCCCCAACAAAAAGAAGAAAAAGAAGAAACACACCAGAACAAAACAGGATAAGATATGCTAACGTATTGGCCGCATTGCCGCGCAAAACTACAGACTCTGCCCCCTCCTCAACGGAACCATGAAACCCGAAGATCGAGTCAGCGATTCTGCCTTCGCTATGGGCGCTCCTCCTGCCATATAGGCCCCTCTTCTCTACAGACATGTCTATCCGGAACAAAGACCGGAACGAAACGAAAGGAACCTATAACTTTTCCTAAAGACGCACAAACCAAAACCACAGTCTTGATGATAGTGTTGTTGTTGTCGTTGTTGCAAAATATTCGCTAACGAATGAATGATACCCTCCATGCGATTGATTGATTGATTGATTCATTGGCTGATTTAATTGTTTACTTTTTACTTACATTTATATTTCCTCCTCTTCTCACCTTTTCTTCCATATTCCTCCCATCCTCTCATCCTTTCATGATACTTACTCCCTTCTTTCACTCTATTATGTTCCCTGACATCCCCGGACGGTTACGGTTACGGTTTGGTTGGCGGGTTGGCGGGTTGGTTAGCTGGCGGATTGGTCGTTTCCACAATTCATTGCATTTCTTCTTCTTCATCTTCATACTCCTCCTATCAAATCATTTTGAGTTTTTCCCCCTCGACATATCCTATCATGATCCATCCCATTCATCCCCAATCTTCTCGTTAACCGAGCTGAACCTCGGACCTGGACCCTGGACCCTGGACCCATGGTAATGATCATGATCATGCCGAACAAAGGTTCAACCACAACGACGGTATTTGAAAGGATGGAGGAATAAGCCAATACGAAGAAGCACTTGGCGTTGGCGCATATATGTTCTTCCATTTCGATTTCTTATCTACCATCTATCTTTTATTTTTATCCCCTTTATTGGGTTGATTGTTCGCATCATTTTGTTATCATTCGATTTCATTTTGCAGGTTTTACATTCTCTTTTTGCCTTGCTTCTGCTGCCTGCCGTCTTTGAGATTTTTCTCGCGCTGCAGCCGTTTGAACGGTTACGTGGCATACTTTTGAGATTGGGTCGTGGGATTCTCTACTCTCTATTGAGGTACTTGATGAGCGTTTTTGAAAGCTATGGATGGATGGACAGAATGGAATATGTATTATATTAGCGATGCTGATGCACTGCAGAATCAATCAAGTGCGAACGAATTGCCTTGCCAAGCAGTGGTATTAAACATCTATTGCTCTTGAACAAGTGCTATGCTATAGTGTATGCGGTATGATTAAGAATACATCAAGATCCAAACGACAGACTGGTTGGCGCAGTTTAAGCGTGCGCCGTGCTTGACCCAACGATATGTGTGGAAGCTGACTGATTGTGAATGAAGGATAAATGCAACCATGCCCGAAACTGTTTTATGACTGGTATGGCCATCACCCGTATAGCTCAGACAGATGACCTTGAGAGAAGTAAGGCCGGCCTCGATCGGGAGTGAAAGCCATGGCGACGGCCTTGGGACGGCGGTATGTGTACCCCATAAAGACGCCGTTCTTGCGCATTTCGAGAACCCTCCGGCCCACGGCCTTATCCCGTAACAGTTTGTCTCGTGGCCGTTTCTTTTCCTCTTTCTTTTTGGGGTTTGGCAACTCCACACCCCCTTCAGAACCCTGTTCACACTGAACATCGTCTTCATTGGCTTCGTCTTCGGGTTCATCGAGGTCAGAGACGGCTGACATAGCATCGTCTTCAACCAACAGACTACAATCGTCAAAATATCGGGTATCGTCCCATCCCCTCACCTTGGGCACAAACGGGGGTATTGAACGGTGTATTTCGTCCCATCGAGTTCCACGAAAGAAAGGGTGTGCCTTGATATCTGTGGCATCGTCTGAGTATACGAAGGAGACCCTTTGGTCGCGGTTACGGGGGTCGATGTTGTAGAAGAAGGGCCTGGGGTTGAATCCCGTCTTCAAGACGTCATTCTCTCTGTATTTGCTCGACGATAGGCGATACTCCTTTTCCTGGAGTAGGCGTGTGATGAGATCGATTGCTTCCGGAGAGATTCGTTTGTCTGATGTCTTCTTTTGCAGAGGGAAATGCAACGTTTCATAGTGTTTCTTTCCAATTGTCAGCCACTACTCAGTTCACTCGTAGATGTACATTCACAACTAACATGAATCTTTATCTTAGTCTTCTGCCGGTCTTCCGACGCAAAGGGCGTGAATCCGTACAGACACTAATGGACTTGGTCAGACACCTGCTGTCAAGGTCACTGGGAGGGAGAGGAGGTCCTACCTCGTAGAGGATGATACCCACACTCCACCAGTCACATCGTCCGTCGTACAAATCAGCTCGGACTACCTCAGGAGCCATGTACTGGCTGGTTCCCACGACACTTCTGGCTAGCCTTCGTCTCTGATTGCGATCACGCCATCCCAAGAGACCAGCAGCCGGTGGTGGACATGTTATCTCATCATTGGAGTAGCTCTGTCGTGATTTAGAAGCTGTCTTGGCTGCCTTTTTGGCTTCTTTTCGATCTTGCGTGTCCCCCTCAACTTGGATCCCCAGCCTCTTCACCAATGAGTAACGATGCTCAGTGAAATACGCTTGGTCGTGCGCCCAATGTCCATCGAACGCCAATCCGAAATCCGAGATCTTCAGGTGCCCCGAGGCTGAGATGAGGAAGTTATCCGGCTTGACGTCGCGGTGAATCCATCGAAGGCGATGGGCTTCTTCCACGCAGAGAATCATCTCCGCGATGTACCAGCGCGCGACAGTTTCTGGAAGTGTACATCGGCGCATCAACAAGCCGAGGAAGTCTCCGCCAACCATATAGTCCATGATGAGGTACAGATAATTGTGGTCCTGGAAACTGGCGATCAAGGGCACAATCCAGCGAGATTTCGCGGACGCAACCAGGAAATCTCTCTCGGCCCTCAGATGCCCTTCTTGACAATTGCGGATCATCGCCGACTTTCGAATCGCTTTCATAGCGAAAACGTCCTTTTTCACTCCTACCATGACCTTTCTTCGTTCTTTGTGGGAGATACCTTCACTGGAAGGCTCGGGGCTCGAGACCCGCACCTCGTTCGTGGCAGAGACACAATTATCGTAAGAATATAAGCCCTTTTCCCTCACTAGACGGACGACCCCGAAACTTCCTCTCCCCAAGACTTTGATGACTTCGAACTCAGCCACCGCCGCAGCTTGGTTATGGGGAACTGATTGAGAACGGGCCTTAAGGACCCGACATTGCCGAAGATATTCTCGCTCTTGCGCAATCCAGTTCCTCCAAATCCTCCCTCGTTCTTCCGTTGTGAGGGGGAATGAGTAGATATAATGTTCCAACTCATACCTCCGTTGCAAACGTGGATCCCCGTCGGACCAAAGGGTATGGAAGTACGTCTCCAGAAACACCTTTGCGTTAGCAGCAGCTTCAACGGTGAGAACGGATGGCGATGCTCGGGATGTTTCCCGAATGGGGTCAAGTGTGGTTCCAACACCTAGGCTGGACGGAAATGATCTCTGTTTGTTGCTCGACCTATCTGAAGGCTCCGTAGACGTTGGTGGTGTCGACTTCGAGCTCACCGGAGATGTGCTATCTTCGAGGCAAGTCGAGGGCACAGAACTATCATTGGCACTATCCCCCTGGCGGAGTGGGTCATCTCGTGTTTCCCCAAAGTGAACGGTGCGAAGGCTGGGGCGTGAGCGTAGACGCGATCGACGGATCACGGTGGGATTTCCGAATTTGGTGGACAAAGTACGTGAAATGATACCAGTCAGACCCGCTGGGGAGGATTGGCTTCGCCCAAGTCCGGTATCACCGGAGTTCTCGTTCTCTGGAATATCTGTCTTCCGTAGACGAGATCGATCTTCCACCCTTGAGAGCCGTGGAAATTCGAAGGAGACACGCGGTGTCCCTGAACAGCACCGCCTGTCCCCTGGTGGAGCGTTCTCCGCGCCATCGGTTGATCCAGTGTGTGGGTGGGTGTGAAGTGGATGCGGAGGGCCAGCGAGGTGCCCTGGCTTTGGACTCTCGGGCGCCGCAATGGTTGTTTTGGTAGCTACCAAGTTGCATCAGCCCATCTGACCCATGGATTATCCCAACTCGCTTACCCTGAGCGGAACTGCGAAGACCAAGCAGCGATAGAATCCTGGAGCTTCTTTGCTTGATCCGAGCCCGTATCTTGGCCCTCTGGATGCGTAGGGCCCTGGACGAGTCCGAGGCCGTGGTGTCCGACATGGAAGTTCTCTCCCAACCAGTAAATATAGTCTGAGAAGTCTATGTCGATAATGGGAAGCATAACAGATCTGAAGACCCTCAACTTTCTTCACGGCAAATGGTGACAGGTTGCCGTGGAGCCACAGAAAGATAGGCACTATACTGGGCTTACCACATGCTTAATTATAGTAGAGCCAGAGTGACGAAGCCCTCAATCGGATAGAATGGCCAGTACTGTGCATGGGGAGGATGAAGGAGATGGAAATTCTAAGTCGGCCAGGTAAAGGTGAGGTTTGTTATTCTTCATCAAACGGAAACCGCGACCTGGATCGCCACGGAGGGAAAGAGCGGTCGTTTACATAACCCAACAACCAAAACTTGGGACGTACACGATGGTCGAGGCAATAAATAGGTAATATTTAAATGATACTCTTTCCATTATTCAACAACAGGACGTGGATTGCTTGCGATATCCTCATCCCTACTGCATGCACATCGGGGACTCTGCAAGAAGATAACAAGTCGGATATCACAGAACAGAACCTAACTATACTCAAAACCCCTATAACACCATTCCTTTTGGGAAAAAAAAAAACACAAAACATTGATATGAAAGAGAGCGAATTCCTCCTCACTGACGGCCATGAGGCGTGTCAGGGGCGGTGCGCCGACGCACATCGTACAGGTTCAAAAAACAGGCAATTATTTGATCTCCAGCAGCTTGACATCGAAGATCAACTTCGAGTTGCCGGGGATGCCGGGGAGAGCCTTCTTGCCGTACGCAAGGTTGGGGGGGATGGAGATGCGGCGCTCACCACCGACAGCCATGCCGGCGACACCGATATCCCAACCCTTGATGACCTCACCCTTACCCAGCTTGAAGGTGAAAGGCTTGCCCTTCTTGTTGGCTGTGGGGAATAAGCGTTAGCGAGAACTCCTCATAAACGACATAAGGGGTGAGGGGACCGAGAACATACAGTCAAAGACCTTGCCATCCTCGAGCTTGCCGATGTAACGCATGGCAATGGTGTTACCGCTCTTGGCAGCGGCACCGCTTCCCAGCTTCTTGTCATCGATCTTGACACCCTTGATCTCCTTGACACCCAGGGTGCCGGTGGACTTCTCGGCGGGCTTCTTGTCCTGGGCGGACGGGGTGGGGCCCTGCTCCAGGTTCTTGGCGAACTGGACCTTCTTGGCCTCCTTGCCCTCCTTCTTTTGCTCGACGGGGGCGGCGTCACCGTTGTTCTTCTTCACCTTCTTCTGCTGCTTCTTGCTCGACGCCTCGGCCTCCTTGGCCATGAGATCGTCGAGGCTCTCGGCCTCGGCGGCGGCGCGCTTGCCCTTGCCCTTGCCCTTAGCCTCAACCAGCTTCGGGGCATCCTCCTCACTGTCGACCTCGGTGATTCTCGGGTTCTCCAGGTCATCCAGGTCGTCGCTCTCCTCGTCCTCGTCCATGAGGTCCATGTCGAGCTCATCCTCATCGGGGGAGAGGTCGTAGTCATCCTCGTCCTCCTCATCGGACTCGTCCTGGGGCTCATCCATGGGCATGACGTAGTTACCGGTCAGGTAGATGGTGTGGGTACCGGTCACCTTGAAGAACACGCGCTCGTCCTCGGACACGGTGATGTCGAGGGGCTGTTGGAAGTTCTGCAGCAAGACGTGTTAGCCGAATCCCATAACTCGAACAACTCTGGCGGACTTACTCTCTCGGGATCCAGAGTGCAGATGACCATCTCGTCCAGGTCCAGGCCCTCATCCGACTCGTCATCTTCATCATCCTCCATGGCAGGGCCCTTGCCCTTGACAAGCTTCGAGATAGCCGCCTTCAGGTCAAAGTCGTCGTCATCCTCATCCTCATCCGACTCTTCGTCATCCTCCGCCATCGCCTCCTCCAAAGCCTTCTGGGCGGCAGCCTTCTTGAGCTGACGGGCGCGCTCCTTGTCGCTAGGACCGCCGTTGACCTCGTCATCATCCTCGGAATCCTCATCGGACTCATCATCCTCATCCGACTCGTCATAGTCCAAGCCGGGGGGAGGACGGACCAGCTTCAGAGTAGCCCGGGGACGCTGGTTCTCGGCGCCATCTTCGAACTCGGGGGTCTCATCGGGGTCAATGGCCGCCATGTTGACTCGGAACTAGCGGATTGGTGTGAGAATTTCATCTTGCGACATGAGGGCCGAGTGGACGGAAAGAAATCCAGGACTTACCATAGCAGCGACCTCAGGGAGAGCCGGGATCAGCGCACCTCCAGGAGGCACGCGCAGGGCGTAGAGAGCCACGGGTTGAGTTCCAGACATGATGAGATATAGCTCTAACGATGGTCTATAAAAGGGGAAAGGAAAGAGGAATTGAGGGGAATGGGGACAAAGAAAGTAAGGAATAGAGAGAATAGAATATGTAGAGATAAAATCAGACAGGCGAAGGTTCCAAAGGAGAGAAGAATCGCAAGTGTCCCAAGAGAAGCAGAAGAAGAAGAAGAAGAAGAAGAAGAAGAGAAAAAAGTTTTGAGACGGCGAGAATCAACGGCAGAACCCAAAGCGGTTTAGTCGCCGCCGACTTTGATTTTTTTTTTTTCTTCCCCTCTTCTGCCCATAACTACCTCACCGCCTGCCTCATCCGACACCGCCTAAGATCTTCCCACGTGATATGCCTCGGTCACGCGTTTCCGCCACCGCGTATCTTTCTATCATCTTAGAATAGCTTCATCTTCCTCTGTCATTATCGACATCTTCAACTATCTCTAGTACGTGGGGTTCAAACCATGCCCCTGTACATCGCCCACCATGGGCTCCCTCCTTGACGAAAAATCGAACTCGGTGCGCAAACGTATCGAAAACCGTATGTTCAACTACATTCTTATGACGTAGTACCACGCGACGGACAGACTAACAACGGTACGCTCACTTTTAGATGTCTTTGAAGATGAGGTAGGTGAAGAATATGAGGCGTCTGCTTTTGGTGGCTTCGGCGACTACATGCGCCGCAAGAAAATCAAATTGCAGAACCTCGACGCCGAGATCCGTTCCTCATCTGGAGATTGTCTGCCGATATTTCGTGGCGTCGTGGTGCACGTCAACGGGTATACGCAGCCGTCCTTGCAGGATCTCCACCGCATGGTAGTCAGCCATGGGGGGGGTTTTCTTCAGTATCTAGACGGGAAAACTTCGGCAACCCACATTGTTGCCAGTTCATTGACCCCGAAGAAGCGGGAGGAATTTCGTCGGTATCGCATCGTGAAGCCGGCGTGGGTGGTGGAGAGCATCAAAGCCAAGCGTTTACTACCTTGGGACGCCTTTCGCGTAGTAGATGAAGGGCAAACCCAAAAGGTGCTGAAATTTGACAACGGGCGTGTCCTGAACGAGTCAAACACTCCACAGTCCAGTTACCGCGATCAGACGAACTCTAGTTGGTACACATCACAACTAAGGGAATCTGCTCAGGTTCAATATGGGCAACCGAGCTCCGGCGTCTCTGATATGAGTCCTACCGCCGATCAACCGGTGAATCCGCCGACCCAGTCTGATTACGGGGATTTCCCCAGTTTTACCTCGCTGGACGAACCAAACGAAAGTAACAAGGTAGCTCGGTCCGGTGCTGAGTCTGTTGAAGAGCGGGCGACGACCCCAGTCCCCATTAGTCACGCGCCAGAAGCGACTCATAGCCCTTTGAAGTCGCCCCCGGCTGTAACCAATGTGTCCTCACCTTCTCGGCGGCATGCTCCAGCGCCAGAAGTGACTTCGGAGGAGTACAACGCCCAACTGCTCTCGGATCCCCGCATGCGGAACAACAGCGTTGTTAATCCAGAGTTCATCCAACAGTACTATAGAGAGTCTCGTCTTCACCACCTCTCAACGTGGAAGGCAGAATTGAAGGCCCAGCTCCAGCTAGCGGCAAAAGAGAAATCCCAGTCGCCCCTAAGTCGAAGGCGGCAGATCCCTGGGGCGCGGCGGTACATCATGCACGTTGACTTCGATTGCTTCTTCGCCGCAGTTGCCGTTCTCAAGCACCCCGATCTCGAGGGGAAGCCGGTCGCCGTAGCCCACGGTACGGGCAGCGGCTCAGAGATCGCCAGTTGCAATTATACCGCGCGTGCAAAAGGCGTCAAGAATGGTATGTGGATGAAGGGGGCTCTGCAATCGTGTCCAGATCTGAACGTCTTGCCCTATGACTTTCCGGCATATGAGGATGCTAGTCGGAAATTTTACAGCGCCATCCTTTCAGTGGACGGCATCGTGCAGAGTGTCAGTATTGACGAAGCGTTGGTCGATATCACCGGCCAGTGTCTGGAGGCCGGGGGCTCCGATGGGAGAGGCGTGTCCGAAGGCTCCATCTACAGAGAGCAAGCCAAGGCGGATGAAATCGCCGACAGTCTTAGACACGCTGTCAAATTGGAGGCCGGGTGCTCCGTCTCTATGGGTATTGGAGGCAACATCCTTCAGGCAAAGGTTGCATTGCGAAAAGCCAAACCGGCTGGCCAATTTCAACTCAAGCCGGATATGGTGCTCGACTTTATTGGAAACCTCACAGTCCAGGATTTGCCAGGCGTGGGCTACAGTCTCGGGGCAAAGTTGGAAGAGCTTGGTATAAAATTCGTCAAAGACGTCAGGGACCAGTCAAAAGAAAGACTCACTTCTGCCCTGGGACCCAAAACAGGGGCTAAGATCTGGGAATATGCCCGTGGGATTGATAGAACTGAAGTTGGCAACGAAGTGATGAGGAAATCCGTCTCGGCGGAGGTCAACTGGGGCATCCGTTTCGTCAATCAGACCCAGGCCGAAGATTTTGTGCGCTCCTTATGTGAAGAGCTACACCGACGACTCGTCGAAAACCTGGTCAAAGGGAAGCAGCTCACTCTCAAAGTCATGCGACGGTCAGCGGATGCGCCATTAGAACCCGTCAAACATCTAGGGCACGGAAAGTGTGATACATTCAACAAGAGTGTCCTGCTGGGAGTGCCATCTAATTCCACCGATGTCCTTGGGAAAGAGGCCGTCTCGATGCTCAAGAGTTTCGCAATCTCACCGGGCGACTTGAGAGGCATCGGAGTACAGATGACCAAGCTAGAGCCTCTGAAACCTGCAACGGGGGGAAGCATTGAGGCCAGCCAGAAACAGCTCAATTTCAAGGCCTCCCCTGCGCGTAAAAGGGCCCAGCAAGCCCATGACCCGGACGACCTGGAGAGCCCACGCAAGGAGGAAACGGATACGGTCAACTACGGGCCGTCGCTCAACGATAGCAACCAGAAGCCTTTGAATATATCAGGCACCCAATTCATCATGCCATCTCAAACCGATCCGCAGGTCGTAGCGGAGCTCCCGAACGATATACGGTCCAAGCTCGTTGCACAAGGAAAGCAGGCTTCTCGGAGAGGCCGGTCGACTTCACCCTGCCCTCCGCCTCGTCGAAATCAACCGCCAGTTGCAGCTGAGCTTCCACCCCAGTCTCAGCTCGATCCAGAAACCCTCGCTGCCCTACCCGAAGACGTGAGGGCCGAAGTTCTAGGCTACTACAACCAGCAAGGCCCCTCAGACCCTCAGGCTGCACCTGCACCCGCAGCACCTACATCACCCGCAACGGTCCCCGCACCTCCCAACCCACTCCGCTTCAAAAAGCCCACAAGTCCACCAAAGAAGAAACGCGGTCGACCCAGCACCAAATCAACCGGCTCCACGACCCTCCGACAAGCGAACTTCCTCTTCCCACGCCCCACAACCCCCACCCTCAGCGAAGAGCGAGGCGAACCATCTCCCCTCCCCGACCCAGCCGACGAAGTATCGCCCGAATTCCTCGCCGCCCTCCCAGAAGACATCCGGCGCGAGGTCCTCGAAGAACATAGACGAGCGCGCACACGATCACGCCCAGGCAGCGCTACGCAGCGCACCACGGGCCAACAAACTCGCCCTTTTGGCGCACCGCCTGCACCCGCCCAAGAAAGACGACTCCGACTTCCTCCCCTACCGGAACGGCCAACGTTCACATCGCAGAAGTTATCCAGGCTGTCTGATCTGCGCGACGCAATCGGGTCTTGGCACGCTGCGTTTGCGGAAGAAGGGCCCTTCGAAGAAGATGTCGAGGCCCTTGCGTACTATGTGAAGCGTGTGGTGGTGGACGAGAGAGATCTGGACAAGGCGGTGTCCGTCACGAAGTGGCTTATGTGGCTTGTTGAGGATAGTCGTCCGACGGGGGCTGGTGGAGAGCGCGGGTCTCCGAATGGTCTTTCGTGGGACGAGGCGGTGCGGTCTTTGCAGCGGAGTGTTGCGGAGGGGGTGGAAGAACGGGGGTTACCTCCTGTAGACTTCTCTTGATATATCTTTTCTCTTATATATCATGATGGTTATGGCATAGCGTGTACATGGTATTTAATCCAGACAGTCATTATGACCTATATCACATAGAATTCATGAATATAGTGATCCATTACTATCAAGATCATGGCACGCAAAAGAATAACACTCAATAGCATAGATGGTGCTCTTCCCTCAGAAAGCCTCTCTTCCGCTAGAATGCTACATCCTCGCATGTTAGATTGTGATATATATCAAATAGTAGGACATGCAATCAGGCAACATGTCAACTGACTTGCGATGAAAATCTCCCACATAAATTGTTGTTTTGACTCTCTATGTTTTGCAACTATTCGCACCTTTTCATAACTTTAAGAACCATCAAACTTATTAATATTCTTAACCGTTTTCATCGATCCTCCCACAATGCACAGCCGGTTCGTTTCGTCGCTAGTTTCTTCCCAGCAAAGCTAGGTTGTTAATATATATCCATAACAATCCTAGATGTATGATCTTCGACATGTATATACATATGGTGAGCTTACTCGATACTATCATCTACGAGGTGAAATATGTTCTCAACACATCGGTACGTCTTGATCGAACCCTTTCTTATAGACATATGTGCAGACGATAGTACGTTGAAAACCAATAATATTAACCTCAAAACCTAGAAGCCCGATTACACCGTAGCAAAAATGGTAGATACTACCCGGCGTCCAAGTCTCCTAGAAACTTCGATATCACTATAGTATTAAATTGATACTGTGATACGCATGCAGCGTACAGTTCTGCGGTTAGCCTCGACCCTAGAAATCATGGAAAATGATATAATTTTGGTCCAGGTACTGTGATAAGCCATATCAGACAGGGCATGTATATCACTTTCGCGGACCTAGATAATCCCTAGTCAAACTCTCGCACATGAATTGACAGGGTATACTGCACTCTCTCCCTACCACCTAAACACCCATTACGGCCTGGAGACTCTCAGCAAGACGCCAGCGAGATGCTGATCCCCAGATATCCAAACACATCGGCTGACAATGCAATCAGGGACGGGATATGGCCAATGCGAGAGATAGGCATGCGGCCGCTAGTCCTGTATCGTGAGGGGTATACCGGTCATGATTTCAGACCGGACCAAGTCTGCATCAGCATGTAGCCTAGTCCAAAGACACACCAGTGAGTGAGATATACACCAATAACGCGCGAGATTGTGCAGCGCATGTACACAAGACATATGTGATATCCCGCATCTGCTTGAGCCCCAGGTGCGTCTGAGAGAGAATTCATCATTATAAGTCAGGCAAGCCTTGCGCATCGCTGCCTGACTGCAGGCGTCATGTATCAAATTCAGTTCAGGTTGATCACCTAGGGTTAGTGGATGGTCTTGCCAAGATGGTCCAAAAGATGATAGTCGATCAACCGTTGGCAGCTGCAGAATACCTACTTTACCTAAGACTGCGGGTCAGTACGTTGCGGCTAACCACAGTGTTGGTGACCTTATGTAGAGGTCGAATCGGATGTCTTGGAGGGGTAGTTGTGGTAGTTGTGTTCCTGAAAGCGCAGTCTTCTGAATTACCATCATCATATTGGCTTCTCCCGTAGCACCGGAAAAATGGAAGTCATATCAGTACATTCTTGATAAGAGTTGTTTTATACTGTCTAGTATATCCTCCTTAGACCAGGGTTTAATAATGTAAGCATATCGAGTCGCCTCTCCTTCTATAGAGGGACATATACAAGTCTTCAACACAACGATCGCTCCAGGGGACATAGTGAGATAATCCGACGATCTGTACCTACCCGGATGTAACAGTGCAAATGAACAGGTCTGAGAGGCTGATTCTTACCAAGTAACCACAGTTCAAGAGACTGATCATGCAAACGGAATATGAGCCGAATCGGACCACCTATATTCCACCACAGACACGATTCCAATCCCGCCATGTGAATCCTGACCTTCTGATTCAGTATATCCATGGACATGCCGGATATTTCTTTGACGCGGACAATGGCCCCAAGCCCGCGCTATACCAAATCACAGAATAATGCCCCGTCTGTTCTTCACAAACTGCCTGCCTTGAACAATGAGCGGCTAGAAAGTGTCACTTCGACAACTTTACACACAGCCAAGCCTCATAATCACCTGTAGCAGCCACAACCCGACACTCACTCAGCGCTGTATCACCATGCTCAGGTAGCTTTCAAAATCGCGAGACCTGCTTTACTGTCTAGAGAAGTCATTATTGGTGACGAGGTGACAGCGATAGCAGAGCCTCATCGTGCGGGTCAATGATTCAGGTTTCGTCCACATGATGCTGTAGAACGAGCTGAAGAAGAGGATAGGAACCGAAAAAAAAGGCTCAACCGGAGAGTATCGACAGGAAAGCCCCATCTCACAGTGTCGATTCACACAGCTAGGATGCATACCATCAGACATGGCCTCCTGTAAGTTCTTCTCGATATAGATGACAAGAGTGTATGTTGGCCAGCGAGAGACCTATAAGAACCCTCTTTTCCCCTTCCGATCTGGTTGGGATCCAAGCCGCACTTGACTCTTCTCCATCAAAACAACCAGCTCTTGAAACTCCAATTTCAAATCATCTTTAGAACAAACCTCCATTCTCTTGCAAAATGCAACTCACCAACATCCTCCTCGCTTTCATGGCCAGCGCAGTCGTCGTAATGGCAGCCCCGGCCGCTGAAGTTAACGAGAACAACGCTGCAGCGTGGAAGTGCCCAAAAGGATGGTTAGTATGCGGCGTAAGTCATCATTTCCATCAATCAAGCTCAATGTCCCAAAGTTTTCCACGCATCTAACCATCGTGTGCAGACGTGTAATGGAGGTGACTGCAAGGTGGCAGGCACAAACCGGTAAGTTTTAGTGAGAACTCAATCATTCAAGAGCCACCGGCTAATACTGTACCCTGTAGCCATTGCAGAACCGGAAGCGTAATTTTGATGACTTTTGCTTATGTCTATATCCAAGGCAGATTGTACTGACTTAACCTGCTTTCAGTGCACGAAACAAAGCGGCGCTGGAGATGGAACAATCTGCGGGAGCCCTCGTCTTTTTGACATTACCATGGATTGCCCTGGCCGCCGGGGATGAGAAGAGCTTTTTTCTTGGAAATCCACTGTAATTTCCTATTGTGATTGAGAAGTAGGACAGGGAGTTTCAACAACTACCCCTGTTCAGATGAAGACCGGAGAATATCGATAGTGACTTCAACCTCGTCTTTGGATTTGCACCTGCTATGAAATTGATGAATGCATTCTTCTATTATATGTCTGTTCTCTGCTCAAAATTGCGTAGTCATGATATGACCATGTGCAGAAAGCACTCCTGGGATGTGCCTCGATTAGTCTCGAACTTGAGACGGAATATGAACCTGTATCGATAACGGTTAAAACAATCACCATTATAAGAATAAAAAAAGAACACAGGGGAAAGAGCCAAAGCGGGAAGGGGGAAGGAAGGAAAGAAGGAAAAGAAATGGATGCTATTCCTTACACAGAGTATTTTCATCCCAACAAGAGCTCAAATCATCACAAGGAGTGAGATTTGTTAGCTATTTCGAAAAGTAATTCTAAGTTCTAAAGGGTATTATAAAATCCAAAATGTAGCCTTGAATGAGAGGTGGGAGACTACATATCAAAACGGCATCATGGAAGGGTCATTTTGCAGATTCATGAAAGCCTTACAACCAGGTAATTAGCATATATCCAGCACACTCTGTCAAAATGGGAATGAGATATCTCACCCAAGAGTCCAACTGAGTCCACCAGATCGACCCGTCCAGATTTTCAAGAAACCCCGGGTCTTCTAATGGCTCGAACAAGCTCCCCTCGAGGCCCGGCGGCTGCAAGCTGTCTGCGTAGTCCAAAGAGCCTGGGTCCAGCAAAAATGTCGGATCCGTACGAGGTAGAGCAGCTGTTTCCTGCGTGACAGTGGACTTCTGGCGGGTGTCAGAAGGTCCCGAAGTCACTCCAGAGTGCGGTGGTAGTAGCCCGGGCCCCAGTTGCCTGTGTACTTCGAGCCGCAGCTCTTCCAGGATAATGCTGTAGCGACGACTAGGACAGTTCTCCCTGGTGGCTTCTGCAAGGTGCTGCTGGCAGGTTTCACCGACGGCGAATAGGGACAGTGACCGACTGGTCACTTCGGTGTTTCCTGGGGAGGAGTCGCCTAGGGCAGAAAACAGCCGATGCTGCTGGATGGTGTATATGTACACTACGGTAATGGCGCAGAAACAGACATAATGAGTGAACCAGAATGACTGGATGAAGGCACCTTGCTTCGCCAGGCTGTCAACCAAGCTCAGGACATTTTCAGCCGCATCGATACATTTGCGAACGTGGGTCGCTACCATGGGGTCTGGAACGGATGGCCGCCGCGTGAGATCGGTGAAATTGTTCAACAGGAATGATCGGGTGACGTGGATCATCGCGTGAAAGTATGCCATCTGAAGGACTTGACTTTGTCGGCAAAGAGGCGGGATGAGACTCGTGGGGCATACGCTGTTGAACAGAGGCGGTGTTGTCTCTTTCCACTTCTCGAGTTCAGCGGTGAGTCGGGCTGCCATTTCTAAAGGCGGGTCGCGACAGTGCGGACTGAGCGAGTAGACTTGTCGAGAAATATCACCTAAAATCCGGCCTAGTCTGGTTTCAAATAGCTCAGTATCGACCACAGAGGGAGGGGGGAAGACAGAGAGTGCAGTGGAGACCAACCGGAAATGAAGCACAGAGGCGATCATCATACAATCCGGCGACCCTGTTCTTCTTTCAAAATTCTCTTGCAGCAAGTCATCATCGCTCACCTCATCCGGTAGCTTCTGGTCGATGTCCTCGTCATGTAGCAATCGAGGTCTTCCGAACATGACGCTCAGGTACTTATCTAATGTGTATGCACTCCAGAAAATACGTTTGCGAAGCTCCTGCTCCAGGTAAGTAGTCCCTCTCTTCGAAGACCTGGCCAGACACTTTCGATGCAGACCCAATGCTGTCACCAGCTGCAGCGCCGTACCAAAGACATACCAGCATTCGTTGGCACGGGACGAGCCCAGGAGATAGAGACATTGGCCTAATCGTGCCTGAACCGTTTCCAATCTCGGAGGACCAGACTCCATGGCAGACATGTGCTTGGACGCTGCATACCATCGTTCGCTAGGACGTTTGGTCAATTGCTATGGTAAAAGGTGAGGGTGGAGTCGTAGAAAGCACCCTTACCTCCGGTCCCAAGGGTCCCTCCGACTTCCCGGTTCTAGCTCCTCGTACATCGTACTGACCGCAAAGACCATGAGAACGATTGCCGTCCGAGCCAGCATCGGACCCGTTGGTAGATTCGTGGAGGAGATATTGAGTTCGTAGACCTGTCTGAGCCAGTCTTCCACGCTTCCTCGATGCAGGAAGCGGTATGTGACGATAGAATAGTCGAAATAGACCTCTACAAGATTCAGCGCCTTTTCGTAAGAGGGCAGAGTAAACCCCGTCTCGTGATAGGCATCATAGGGTTTGTCACCAAACATGAACACAGACGTATTCTTCGAGCTAGCCTCAGTGTCGCACTGGTTGGGAAACGCGCGCATTTCGTCCTGACGCAACCGACGCCATACCCGGTTGAGAAACGACACTCCCGACGCCGGCCCCAGATAGTTGCCCTCGAAATCGGTAGCGATGGGATCCGGAGAGTTTCGCGTGACAGCGCCAAGATCTTTCTTTTGACGATCTTGGCGCGAGCTCACGGCGCCCCCACGAGGTCTCCGAGGAGATTGCTGGGAAACAGGGTTCCGACTAGCTTGGCCCGTTAAAGGAGCATGCTTGCTGCTCGGATGTGATACGTCTGTTTCAGAGGGGGGCAGTGGCAAGGGCACCGGGGGGAGACCCCGTGAATAAGCAGCATTGTATTTGCAGGAGAGCGACAACCTGGTACATCTCACGCAGGGCAGTGTCCCGGTACACCGGGTCTTTTTCTCCTTACATTGGTCACAGGCCCGTGTGATCTTCTGCCGTGGGCCATTAGATCTGTTGTAGTTGCTGTCCGTGGTCGTGGGCGAGGACGACTCGGATGCCTTCCTCTTCCTTGTCCGCTGGCTTCCACCCGATTGATTGTCATATGCTGGTGACCGCCGTGTCTCCACATTGGTCACCAGCGTTGCAGTTTCCATGAGATCAGCGCCGAGATGGGCTGTATCGAGGCCTGATTGCTGCCAGAGGTAGTGCCCCTGACTTCCCTCGTATTGGCAAAGGGTCCCGTAATCAACAGCAAGGGATGATAGATTTTCGAACTTTCCGCGGAGATGGGTTGAGTCGCGCAGTGCGGGGTTGATGACTCCACCTTGACCCAGAGGGGGAGAAACTTGGGGCGAAGCGAGTATATGAGACTTCCCGCCGTCAGTCGCAAGGAACAGGAAGGGATCCTGCAGGGTCGAGGACCGTCATGCAATTAGGACTAAGGGACACGGTTATCACGACAGACTAGTTGAGGGGTACAAGTGAAGATCAATGGAAACAAGGCTGCGAGAGAGGTGGAGTTTGATGGATTGAAGTCTTGAAGTGGAATTTCTACATGGAGGATTGACGTCAATGCATAAATTAGTCATCAGATCCGTAATGCACTTTATACATGCTTTATACAATGTGCTTGGTTCATGTTTTGCAACTTCAACCTTGCACAGTGACAAGAGATGACAAGTTGTTCCCTCCCTTGCCCGTCTTGGTCATTGATAGAGTTTCTTTAGCAACCCCTAAAGATACGACGATCGCCGAGAGGCATCAATTTTATTCTCCGGCTTGTTTATAAGACATCCAAGGTACTCGGAGGCATTTAACGGTCAGATATCCCGGTGAATCCTAAGCCAACCCAACGCACCGACAAGAGAATGTCTCCAAAGCTGTAATCACAGGATCACTCCGTTGCCACTGATGGGATATCGGATCCACAAAGTACGCTGACGGAACCGTAATGTAAGGCAGGGTGGGCTAAATGAGGTGATCTGAACATTCCGGCAGTTGACCCTGGTCTTCTATGGGGATTGCGAGTCGAGCATGGACCTCCGGTATTTAAATGTCTCCCATATTGGATGATTGACCGTGTCAAACGACGAAACACAACGAAGAGACGTAGGACGGGGTCGACCGGATATGACTACTGGCCAGTTGATATTATAAGCACATGGCAAGAAAAGACAGGAGTCCACTTGGCCGTCAACCGCCTGAGTTAGTCGAGCAATCATCTGGCGCAGAAGCCCTTCATCATCCAGAATTGTACCGGTAGATAGGATACCGGCTACCGCGAACAGGGAGGAACGGTCTTGTAGTAAAGTAAAGTAATTTGGCCAGTCTCGTCGGCTTTCAATCAGGCTGCTCTATCAACCGGACGATTGCCAGTCTCCAGGACCTGGTATCGATGTTGTTCATCATCACTTAGAGGATGACGACAACTAGAGCATTGCATTGTAGGAGAAGATAAGAAAACGGCAGGGTACAAAAGAATAATGATGATGTTGAAGGCGTGGTGACTTGTTCTCTCTCTCTCTCTCTCTCTCTCCCTCTCTTTTTCGTTTCTTTTTTGGGGGGTGAGGGGGCTTTTTCAATAACTTTTCCTGTCTCCTGCCACTCGCACATTGTTTGCAGTCTACCAGTGACCAAGGCATGTCATGTGATGTTTAGATAGCTATGCCTCGCTCATGACGGAGCCCCTCTGCCAAAGTACTTCGTCTGACCTGTTACCACCAACCCCACAAGCCCGGCTCGATTACGGCATGGTGTGAATCGGTCGCTCATTTGTATGATAGAAGGGGCCCAAGGTTGCATTCAATAGCTAGGCTGCGCTCCCTCAAGGCAGCCAAGAAACATCCAATCAGATGCCGTCCGGCGTCAATGAGGACGCATCACCATCAACCCTGGTCGGATGGGAAGCGGGCAACTGATCTGGCTCCTTGAGACGTTCACCAGCGAATTGGCTGACCGTGGCATGGATCTCCTCCTGAGATGCCCCCGACCGGATAACATCGACGATCGAATCAACCGTCGACAAATTGCCGTATCGAATCGCGGCGAGTAGTTGTTCCAAAAACCCACGGTAATATTTGAGATCTTCGTGGGCCCGCCGGGCCGCGACCTTGCGTCGTTTGTCGGCAAACTCGTCAATGATACACTCCCGGTTGTGTAGGGCACATTCTGTGCATGGAGTGCCGGTAGTGTCAGCGCTGCACTATAATGCCAGAATAATATGGTCAGAAAAGGATATGGTGTTTCCTCAAGGTATCTCTCTGCGTGGGTGGGTATCTCTGCGCTCTTGGCTCAACGACAGGTGGAGGGGAGGGGAAGCAGGTGCCTACGCGGGGCACACTCCGGCACGGGAATTGAGGGTATCCGCAGGTCTCGCTAAGGCCACTTCCCGAAGCGAGATGTCCCCGGGACAAGAAGACGTACCTTCGTCCGACGACGTTTACATTCGGTACATGCAGTCGACGCCCTCTTTATTTTGTTGTTAGGTTCATCAATGGGGGGTCCTGGGACCGGGCTCTCTGCTAGTGCCCGGGGGGCAATGGGGCGAAATGATCGGGATGACCCTTGCTGGGCCATGGTCTAGGGAGAGTATGTTAGGGTGATGGGTCGAGGGAGAGGATCATGTCAGGATAAGAAACCGAAGGAATTCAGAGACTAGTGCGAAGCACGAGAACCAGTTCCAAGGGGATTCCGGGTCGGTATTTTTAAGAGCATACTTCGTAGGAGGAGTCGCATCTACCCTAGAGGATCCAAACAGACCATGCCTGGGAGGGAAGAATCTGGACGATGACAGACCGCGTGCACTTACACTAACACGAGCCGGCCAGACTTTCGGGTGACAGCTGGTTCGCGCGCGACTGATGTTGGGTTTGCCATCGAACCCCAGAAAGCCAAAGGAAGGGGGGAGGGGGAAGTAAGCGTCAGAAGTGGGTGGGTAGGCAGATTGGCGCCAGCAAGGAAAACTGTGGCGAGAAGGGTCGTCTAAAAATCGCGAACGGAAGATGACAGCAAAAAAAAAGTTAAAGTATGCTCTTTCTTAGCCAAAAAAGTGGGAAAAAAAAGAGAAAAGAAAATTGAAATTACAATAAAAATGGAAATGATAAGAGAAAAATGGGGATAGGCAGTGTACAGTAAAAATAAAAGCAAAATGAGACAGTTCAAACTAAAAAAACGAAACAAGGAAGGGGAAAAAAAGACTATTACAAGCAGAAAAGTGCAAAAACGACACCTACGGTCCGTTCCAAAGATAAGCTAAATGATCGGACGGTTTCCAGGGACGACTAGAAAAGCGCGTGGTAGAAAGAGAAAGAGTGAAAGTAAAGAGAAAGTAAAGTAGCTTTGAGCGTCCTGGAGAAATGGATTCGGGTCCAAAAATCTCGACCTCGCTATTTGGTCAAGGGAAATCCGTGCAAGCGTGGGAGTGGCGAACGCAAGAATTTAGAGCAGCCCAAAGTGGATTTGCCCTCTTTTGCTGGCCCAATGTAAATCACTGTAAATGACCGACCCTGTAAGCTGTACGGAATAGTCCTGGTTGCTTTTAACTTCATCCCAGCAATGCCAAACCATTCTTCCTGGTGCCCACATGACAGCTTTTGAGCCCGTGGCGATATGTATGTATGCCAGTACAAGATGGGAGTTATGAGAGTTTGGCGCCTGTCGTACCAGTGTTGGATCGAAGGTACCATAGTTTAGATCCGTGGACAACTATAGCTATGGAGGCTGCTTGCGTCAGATCATAAACCTTCTTTTTCCCACGTGTCGACTCATTGACGTGGTTGCTGTTCATCATCAGTTTGAACGATTGCTGTGCACCCTGAGCCCTGGGAAGAGGCAGGCCTTCCAAGGGTTTCGTTTCATCCTATCTGTCTGTACCAGAATTTCCACGTCTATCATGCCGAGCTTCTCCTTCTTTCATCTTCTTTTCCCCTTGTTTTTTCTCTCTTTTTTTCCTGGTTTCCCTTTTTTCTTATCTTCTTTCTTTTGTCTTTCTTGTTTTCCCCTGTTATTCGACTATATTATAGTATATATTCCTTCTAACCCACCCGTTTAGTGAAACTCCGTTGGCCTCGAGTAGCCAGCCCAACTTTTTGAAGTTGACCCGTGTTACCCGCCAGAGGGAAGAGAGAGAGAGAGACCACCTTGCGTGCCATCTCTTGTCTGGTTCTGCCTTGATTAGTTCCCTGTTTTTGCTCTTGCTAAATTAATACCGAGCTGGCGGTTGGTTGATTCGGCCACAAGATCCCCCTCAGTGTCCACTGGCGAAATGGCTGCCCTGGGCGAATATAAAGCCAGGGTCGCTGCGGATATAGCTTCCGGGGTTTTTGATAGGTTGTGAAAACGCCCCCCATTGCGGAATGACCGATGGCGCGTCACCCTTAGCTTGATGGGTCCGGCAGGTGGATTCCCTTGCATTCCTCAATTGCTGTCAGACATTCCGTTAGCATTCATCTCCCTTGATGATAACAAACACTCGAGGAAAGACTTTGAGCTGGAACCAGAGAGGATCTAGCCTGTTTGACACTGGGACAAGCTTTGATTGACAGCGGTACCAACCAATCTCATTCAGTGGAAATCGACGTCAAAACACGATCTGGACCAAGGGAGGGCATGATCTGGGTGCCCATTCTGAGGGAAAGCCAATTGCAGATCGAACCAGATCTGATCGGGTTTTCATCAAGTGTTAGCTTAATATCTTAACGTCTTCCAAAGAATGTGTTATCCGTACGGAGTAAATGGTCGCCTGACTGACAGCCGACTGGCGCCAAGAGATATCTCTCACGTGGGGATCCGCTAAACCCCTTTGGGCCATCATCCCCAATCACCTCACGCTCTCGCTCTCCCCATCTTTCTTCTTCATACTCTCAACCTTGGCCTGGTCAAGGAAATCCACATCTGTTTCATCCTTTTTACGCAATGCTTTGATTATGATTGTCAGCCACAGTTGTCAGCACTATCGTACGTGCCCAATCACCATCATCACCCCGTCTGATATCCCTTAGAGCGGTACTTGGATGAGAGATGCGATGAACCATCGGGTCGACTCAACCAGGTGTTGCCAATCTCCTACTAGTAGTAGGACCCAGGCTGTTGAATCATGAAGCCATGGTAAATGATCATCGACGAGAACACGGGAGAGTCTTCAAAGTAGCTTAGCCAGCTCTGGTATAGTTCCGTGTGTTGTTCCAATCCCCGTTGAACTATGGACACGTTCTTCGACTAAACATCATTTTCGGGGACCATGTTGCATGAAAGAGACGGTCTCGATAACAGCCGAAGCGACGACAATCACCGTCTTAACTTTTCACATGCGCGAAAGACCCTTAGAACTATATATCTGTTCTAGGGTAAGCAGAGCACTAGTGGTGTCGCTAAGACAATGACCAACATGGACTCTATCAACTGCGCAAAGTACCGGAAATGAAAAATGACAGGCTACACATCAAAGAGGGAAGGGGGTTAGGGGCAGGTAAACTAACATACGACACATGCTGCAGGCTAAAAAGAACTAAGCACACAAGGAAAAAAACGAAAACGGGAAGAGAACAAACCAATCAAATCGAAATTCATTCCGGATCAAGTGGGGAAGCGCCCATTGGTATGAAGGACTTTAAAAGGCCGAGCAAAGACGACGTCAAAAAAATTTGCCACTGTGGGAGCCCAATCAGGGACGATCAAGAAGCAGGTGCATTTGAACCAATGAGCGGACTCAAATGCGGCAATCATTCAGACTACTCTGGAGTTATGCCGAACGGGATCCAAATCGTGGGCGTGCCACTATGCGCCTAGGTGAGGTGCCCAATGGTGCCGCGTCCGCTGGAGAGCAAATGGTGCCTGGCTCCCTGTCAGGCTCATACCCAAGCTCCGTCGGTCCCATTAACTACTTATCTTACCGAGGGTCCGACACCTAATCATCGGACGATCGGGCAAATCATCGTGCAACAACGCAGCCACCGACGTAAGTTCCACCTGGGCATACTTGCTTACCATTAAAATGGGGTGTCGGAGGGGTGTCGGACGGAGTCGACCGATTGCCGGCCAGGAAAACATTCGCCGAAGATGGTTATAGGCCGCCTAAAAACAAGGGACATCAATGACCATGTACTTTTTCACAGGGGAGAATGGGGAAGGTTTGAATCACGGAAATGAATAGTGAAGCAAGAGAGATCATCATTCTTCCAATAAAGGATCGGCAATTTAACAGGCTGTGGATATTTACATACAACACATGGTTTGCGGAAAATAAAAACAGCGAAACTGGAAGGATCCGAGCTATCTACGCACAATAAAAGCCAATAACCGACTTGGGAATCTCATACATGAAGGCGGGAAAAAAATGGGATGCAGGCAGCACAAATCTAAAGGGGCTATAGTGAAGAAAGTCCCCTCAAGAAGGAGATAGCGGGGCTCCGGAAACACGAGAGAATGATCATCAGTAAATGGGCCGGCCCTCATCCCACTTGCGTGGCATTTCCATGCGCTGCACAGCGGTGTCGTCAGGCGGGAGATGGTGATCCCGGGTGCTTGACGCGGGTGACAGATGGCTCAGGCTCCCCTGGCGCTGTCGCGAGGCACTGCGATCCACATCGACACCGCCGATCCCACCAATCCATTCCCACACGCGTGCCACATCTCCACCGCGGCCCTCTCGTACGGCAGCGCGGACGTTGGCATTTCCTTCCACAACTCCGCGAACCCGTCGCCATAATCCTTCGCGCCGACTACCCTGCAGTTCAGAGCGGAGGACATCGTCGCGCAGCTGCCCAATGGGGATATACGCTTCCCGGGCTTCTCCGCGCGCATGCAAGGCCGCCTGCGTTGCGAGGCGGTCTAGGGTAGTAGCGACCAATTCGGGGACGCGGCCCAAGTCGGAGCGGCGAGCAAGGTACCTGGACCGAGCGTAGGTGGCCAGGCCTATGCATAGAGCTAAAATTGAAAGAGGGAGTCGATACGCGAGGATAGAGAGTCGGACGTAGCGGCGGAAGGCGCATGTGAGGGGTAGGCGGCTGACGGAAGTGGATGTGAGGATGAGGACAGAAGATGGTCTGCAATAGTGTTGTGGCTTCTGTTAGTGTCGGTGGAAGCGTCAGAACCAGACAAGAAACAATTCTCTTGATGCGGACACCGTGCGGGATGGCGCGAGTGATTTATTGAGGGATTCAAGAAGACGGAGGTAAGGGAACTTACTCCGATTTGGTGACGACCTCTTCTTTGCCGACGATTTCGCCTAGAGCGCCTTTCCAGAGGTCGTCGAACTCGGCATCACTCATGCCCTTGCGGCGTTTTTGGCCAACTTCCTGTTTCAAATCTGGTTCGGTAATCTCCGGGCCTTTGGCTGCCTTGTCGCCCTCTGATAGTTCTCCACACTCATACTTAGCCCGGCGGTCTCGGAGTTTCTCAACAGCTTTGTCGGCGACGGCCTTGACGCGACGTGCCTTCTCGCTGTCGGGTTCACAGGTGGGAGGCAGCGGGACCAATCCCCCAAGCGACAGCGGATGAGGTTTGAGAATGAAATCGTGCTCGCAGCGGGCCTCGAAGTCGGGATAGCAGAAAGCATGCGGCGGGCAGGGCTCACATTGCGGCTCCAAGACGCTGGCCCATTCGGGGACCTTGGTTTCGGCTAACGACCACGTCGGTTTGCCAATGCCACAGAAGCCGATCTCGATCTTCTCCTGCCGCCACCAGGCCGCGAAGCCTCCAAACAGCATTAGTATCACTACCCACGGGGCCGCCTTGCTGACTGGTCCCTGTTTCCGAGGCCGTCGGGTCTGGATGCGTCGTGGATAAAGCCGGTCGGCCTGTTCCCGCTCCAGCGCTAGTTGTTCATCGGGAGTGAACTCTTCTCCCGCGCTCAGTCCACTTTCTTCCTCCTCTTCATCCTCTACTTCGTCGTTTACTTCGTCCTCCTCTTCGATCGGCTGGGACAGTTTCGGAGATGTCCATTTGGAGACGGGCGATGCGAGCGACGCCCGCGCGGAAGCTCTCCCGCTGTCGTTGGGGGCAGGGAAAACGGGGGTCTCAGACCTCCGGGCACGGGGCCCCTGACTCAGGGCCGGGCTCTGCGTCGAACGTCGCGAACTGCTCCTGCGTTTTTGGTCACGGGTCGGATCCCGTGCCGGACTTCCACTCTGGAAGGGGTTATCTGTGCTGAAATGGCCGTCCTCGAGTGGCTCGGCCTTGATCGCCGATACGGGGGGCTCTGGCTCGGTTGAGGGAGCCATCTCGCTTCTCCGTAACTTTCTGGCGGTTGACTTGCGGGGGCTGGCCGTGCGTGGCTCGCGCGGGGTGACCGGGACCTCATGATAGTCCTGCAGGTCGGATAGATCGTAGCGTTTAGATTCCGATTTGGGCGCGGTTTTCCTCGATGTCGTCGCGGGCGTCGCGGGTGCCACAGGCGTCTGTCTGTCGTCTGTCTCCACGGTCGATTGCCTCGTGCTGACGCGGGAGCGGCCCCGTCGGCCGACGGTTGAGGGAGTCGGCGGCGGTTGCGAATCACGGACGGAACGCGCTCGCGCGGGGGGTGCATCAAATTCGCTCGCGACAGAGGTCGCGCGACTCGGCATATCCGTAATGCCCTCGCTTGTCCTCTTCACACGCTCGCGCTCGCGCAGCAGCTTCTTCGCCTGGGGTAAGACCTCATCTTCCAAGATACGGATCAACTGCGCCTTCTTGGCGGAGGCCGGGTAGGGGACGTCATGGTTGACGAGGATAGAGCGCAGGCGGGGGACGGTGAGAGAATTGAGATCGAAATCGACCGCCAGGTAATCGTAGGCGTCTTCCATGGTGGGCAGTTCCCAAGAACAATCACCGGCGGATATAGTCTAACCGGGAACAAACCGGTAGGCAGGGACAGGAGGCAGTACGCAGGAGGTAAAGGTGAGGATGCAAGGTCACCAGAAAGGAATGGAGCAGTGGAAAATGCAAAAAGGAAAAAAAAAAGTGTCCAGATAGTGAAGGAAGAGAAAGAGGAAAAAAGACCCCACGAGTGCTGCCAGAGTTAGGTTGATTCGTCACGATAACAGTTTGCAGGCGTTGAAAACACGGTATCCACGGCAACAGGGTGGGGCTACAGCCAAGAGATGTAGCAGGCTGGACAGGATGGGTTGCAGGTAGTTGGCCGTAGGTTCTCTTCTAGTGCCTTGTAGCGGGCATATTAACTCCACGTCAACAGAATAGATGATGAGATGGATCTGATGAGGGGAGTGAAGATGAAGCCAGAACAGGAGGAGTGAAGTGGAGGGTGAAGTGGACGAGCAAAGATGACGACGGGACGCAAACAACACACTCACGTGATGGCTTAGTCAATCATCATGTAATCTGATATACATCACTGACTTGCGATGGCCATTCTCTATCTCTTCATTTTCAGCTCCAATCTGGATATACTCTATCCAGCTGTATATCTTGACATCAAGAGCTGGAAAATACAGCTATATCTGTCTTGTCGAATTGGAAGTCTGCAGCTACTAGACTCTCGAATCTCACTCCCGAGCTAGCTGACGTTGATAGGAGTACCTGTTAACGACGAAATCACTACAGATCAGATCAACTCATCACCCAGTGTCTATAGTCTGAGGACATCCCTGCTGGATCTGTGGGCGCTGGTGGGAAGCGATATTCCGAGTTCAACCGGGATACGTGCAATTTTAGTGACATTTGATATGGTCATGCACTAGCAAGTCAACTATGCCACGACGAACGGTCGACACATGTAAACCACAATATCTCTCGATGAATCATGAGACACAGATGAAAGCTCTCCAGAAGCCGTCGTGGTTGGTGCTAGTGCTTAGAGCAAAGGCAACTTATATCGTGTCGAGAAGCAGTTTACCAAGTCCCACCATCGCTCATGAACCATTTATGTATCGGCTTTATAACATGTCCGTTAACCATAATAGATCAACAACCTGACCGTTGAGGCGATGGGGAAGAGCCAACTGAACAGACCAAAACCAGAGTGCCACTCTTGATTGATCCCTTTAGACATCTTATGGCGACTACAGCCTTGTCTGAACGCCGGCATGAAACAGCTACTATTGATCCAGCAGGAAAAACATAAAGACAGCTTATATCTGTCATTTAGCAGATCCAACGTTTCTATAAGCGCAACAAACCATCTGATATACAGCTAATCCACCGAATAACTCACCTTCGACACCCCCGACTTCCTCACAATCTTCTTAACCAACACCTCCCCACACAAATCAGTGGTTTCCACATGCGTACCTCCACACGGATACGCCTCTACACCATCAATAACCACCACCCTCAATTTCTTCCCCTTACCTTCCTCCTCCTCCCCTCCATTCCCACCCTCATCCGGATCCCCAGCAATACCAATCCCCCCCAATAACCTCCCCAACCCCCTCTCCTTAAACTCCCCCACCCCCCACCACTCAACCCTAACCTCCACCCCTCCCCCCACAATCTCCCTCACCCGCTCCTGAATCCCTCCCTTCCACTCCCCCGGAATCAACCCGCGGAACTCGCACGCCGCGGACCCCGGAAAGTGCGACGCCTTGAGCTCGTCAAACCCCTCGATCTTATCCTCCAGTAGCTGGCGCACGGCCCCGCCGAGGACGTGCCCTGCTGTGTGGAGGCGCGAGTGGAGGAGGCGTTTGGCGGGGTCGATTTGCTGCGTGATTACTTCCCCTGGAGCGAAGGGTTGCGAAGGGGGGTCGAAGGTACCGAGGTGGAGGACTTGGTTGTTGGTTTTGCGGGCTGTGTGGACTGTGAATCGCGTTGGTGTGCTAGAAGGAGGAGAGGAGAGGGACTCCATGGTTCCCGTGTCAGAGGGTTGGCCACCCCCTTGAGGGTGGAAGATTGTGCCCGCGGTTATAACGACATAGTACTGGTCAGTCCTCTCTTGGAAGAGAGCGCGTGTTGGTTCGGGCAGGTTGGAGAAGGAGGTTATGCTTGTTGCGGTTGTTTGGTAGGTGTGGAGGCTGCTATCGTGGTGGTAGGCAAGGTGTGTGTTGGACATATTCAATTGATTCTCGCAGGGTATGTGTTTATAGATATAAATACATAAAACATAGAAAGATAAGCTGGAGGGTGTATGGTGTATACAGCGTAGGAATGGATGAAGTCAAGCCCAGGAACGTAGGTGATACCTCGGTAGTTGTGGCCAGTAGGTGTAGCAGTGGAGAACCCCACTTGTTGTGTTTTGACCCACAGCTTATGTCCCCACCAGGCAGACCAACTGTTTACGAACACATCAGTCTGTGTACATCATCTGGTGGAACCAGGATCGAGTGGTATCCTAATACAATGTCATACGAAAGAATCACATTCCTATGCAAGTACCATTATTCAACCCCGTAAACCAAGAGCATAGACAGCAGACAAAATCAAGACAAAATCCCAAACATTCAGAGAGATCAGTTCCACCCGGGCTCCGATCCATGCTTCTGAACACAAAACCAAGAGCAGACCATATAAATGAAGAGAGGAAAGAAAAACAAAAGACATGGGGAAAACCCGACACATCATGAAAAAAAGAAAAACCACCACCACAACGCCCAAGCATGACTGAATCTCAATGAGAAAATTAGACTATATAATCTGTCAATATACAGAATGGCATTGAGAGCCGAATAAGAACCGAGAACAAAGAAGGTTTCCTCATGGCGGTATAGAGCTCACGTCGGAATTGGAGCGTAGGTTGAGATAGGAGGATGACGGCGACGTCGAGAGAGTGCTGTCCTCCAGGTACTGGTCGGGCGCCATGTTGATGGGTCCTCGGTGGATGTCTGCCGCGTTGTCTGCTACCTGCTTCTTGAGGAGTCGATACTCTGCTAGCTGCGTCTGGAGTTGCTGCATCACCTCCCCGATGGGGATTGCGTGGTCGTTGAGGTTGTCGCCTGGTCGGAAGGGGTGCATCATGTTGCGGATTGCAAGTGTGTTGATCGTCACCTGGACAGTTAGCACGAATTTAGAATGAGAGGGAAGGGGGAAGACTTACCTCGATGCGCGTCACCTGTTGCTCCACCAGGCTGAGCACGGTGGAATCCGCCAATTCCCCACCATGGTTCTTGACCACATTGAACAACGCCACGTTGGGCTCCTTCAACCGCGCCTCCCCAGAGTACTCCAACGCCCCACACAGTCGTTCCAGCCGAAGCGTGATCTCCCACAGTCGCCAGATGAGATCGGTCTGGATCTCCAGCTGCGAGTGCTTGCTGATGGTCGTCCGCGTCTGGTCCGGGTCGATCTCCTGCTCCAGCGTCGTCAAGCGTCCGGACAGCGAATGCGGGTAGATGAGGTACAGTGGCTCCGGGTTCTCTAGCCCCTTGAGCTTGCGCTCCCCCTGGTCCTTGATCACAAATCCTTGGCTGTTCAACTGCTGCAGCTCCCGCCGGATGTTGTATCCCAGGCTGGAGTAGCTCTCGCTGGATCCCGTCGAGGCCGCTCGCTCCGTGTCTGCGAACACCTCCAAGTTACGCTGGAAGTCGCTCATGAAGTCGGACGAGACGAACACCTGGCCGCCGTCGGCCTCGGCGGAAATACGCGACGCCCGGTTGACCATCGGGCCGAAGTAGTCCATGCGATTGGTGACTGGGTCCTTCTCGCAAACTGGCTCTCCCCAATGCACTCCCATCCGGACCGACAGTCCCCGGAAGATCACGTTGTTCTCGACGTCGTACTGCACCTGGCACTGCGGCTGCTCGAGGACCTCCGTCGGCCACTCGGCGTCCAGCAGCTGCGTCTGGCAGTTGAAGCACCACAGCAATGCCGCCGTCGTGGTTGCAAATGCCACCATGAACGCGTCGCCCTCGGTCTTCACCTCGTAGCCGCCGATGATCCCCAGCTGCCGCCGCAGGATGTCGTTGTGGATCTGGATGGCCGAGCGCATTGCATCGGGGCATGTCTCCCACAGGCTGGTGGATTTCTTAATGTCCGTGAAGATGATGGCCAGCTCCCCAGTGGGCGCGTCCACGTAGTCAAACCGCGCAAGCCGGGAGTCCGAGGGCGTGTCACGCGCCTTTTTGGGTCGTTTCGCGCTCGGGATGATGTGTTCGTCCGGCGGTCCCATGGACATGCTGGCGTTCTTGAGCGTGTATCGGCCCCGCTTCTTCAGCTCGCTCACTCCGATAATCATGACCATGAGCTTGTTGGTCGCCCCGTAGGCCAGCGCGAGATCCCGGATCTTCTGCGCCGCCGTCATCAGGTCCGACCGCTCGGCCCGCGTCACGTCGACCACCAGGTCCGGGGTCACGAAGTCCCAGAGTTCCCGCGACGCGAGAATGATCATCTCGTCCTGCTCGGTCAGATTGACGTGCATGGTATGCGGCGCGGCAATGACCGCCGGCATCAGCTGGAAATGGCCAAACGACCGGGACACGTAGAGCTCGTCGTTGAGTTTCCCGTTGCGCGACACGTAGCCGCCCGCCGCCCGGATGCGCGCCCGTTCTTGTGGTTCGGCGGGATTGTGCAGCCGCGTCAGATGCCGCAGCGAGCCGTCCGCCTTCACCAGGATCGCCTGGGCGTCGCCCACGTTGGCCACGTACAGGTCCATGTTGTTGAGGTACATCACCGTCGCCACGCCACCGGACTGGATGTCGTCCTTGGTGAGCCGCACGCGCTTCTGGTCCGTGGAGTCCTCGCGATACTGTCGGATGTCCTGGTCAATGGACTTGTAGCAAGCGAAAGCCATGTTCTTGTTCATGCCCAGGAACGTCCGGCGGAGGGCGTCCAACGGCGTCTCCTGCTCGTCCGGGCGCAGTCGCTTCAGCTCCGAGGAGAACACCTGGATGAAGTTCTCGTGGAGGTACTTGGCGATCCGCGACCCGCCCGTCGGCGGCACCTGTCCGTCAAACATGCCTACCAGGGTCTCCATGTTGTCCGGCTTCAGGCGGGGCACGATCATGTCGATGATGGAGAGATGCTCGGTGCGGCCGAGGGTGTCGGCCATCCCGTAGGCGAGGGACCCGGCCAACGAGGCCGACGTGCGCACCCGGCGATCCTCCGTTTCCTCCGGGATGGTCGACGTGGTCAGGGTCACGTCCATCAACCCCAAGACTCGGAGATGGGTCAGCGAGTTAAAGTCGGTCAGGTCGGTCTCGCGGCTCGCGGCCGGCCCCATGGTGATGTTCGGCTTGATCTCGAGCCGCTTGTTCCCCGAAAAGTTCAGGTACTTTAGGTTGCGGTTCCAGTTCCAATTCCAGTCGTATGGCCAGTTGGAGACGTTGTACTTGAGTCCGTTGCTGCCGACGTCGAGGACCACCAGCCGGCTTACCTTGCACAATTCGGCGGGCAGGACCTGGAACCGGTTCCCGTTGAGGTGGAGGACCTTGAGCAGATATTGATCATCCAGGTCGTCCGAGGGGAGCGAGGTCAGGACGTTCCCCGACAGGTACAGCTCGGTCAGGACGTGCCAGCGCTTCAGCAGGCCCTGCGGTAACTCCGTGATCTCGTTGTACGACAGGTTGACGACCCGCAGGTCCGGGATGAGGGACAGTTCGCGGAAGACGTCATCTTCCAGGCTGTTGTCGGCCAAGTAGAGGTTCCGCAGCGAGCCCCCAAACGTCGTGGCGATGTGCTGGGAAAAATTGGAATCCTTCCGGGCGGACGGGCTCCCATCCATGAGGGACCGGGACGCCGTCGACACCTTCCGCCCTCCCTGGGTGACAGAGGCGACGGAGGGTTTCCGACGCCCCGTGCCATTGGGCGAGCTGCCCACGCTCAGCGCGCCGGTCGACGCCTGGCTCGGGCGCCGGGCCTCCCGCTCATCTAGGGACATCATGTCGTCGTAGGGGACCGCGGTCGACCCCGACGGCGTGGGGGGCGGAAGAGCGCCGCCGCCGAGATCGCTGGGCAGTTGCGGAGCCGGACTGCCGTGGGCCGGGAAGCCGTCCAGCACATTGGACGACACGTTGAGCGTCTCCAGCTTGAAACAGTGCCAGATCTCCGGGGGCAGCCGCCGCAGATTACACTCGCGCAGGTTGAGGTATTTGAGTTCCACCAGGCATCCGATGGTGGGAGGCAGGGAGGATAGGGGGTTCTTGATCATGCTGAAGTGCTCCAGCTTGCGTAGCTTGCCGATATACGGCGACATGGACACAAAGTGGTTCTTGTCGAGCACGAGCCGCGCCAGGTTGGGCACATTGTCGAACAAGGAGTCCCGGAGTTGGACCAGCTTCGCCGACGCGATGTTCAGGGAGGTCAGCGTCGGGATTGGCGCGTCGATGTCGAACTGGGTCATGGGGCAGTGATCGAGCACCAGGGTCCGCATCTTAATGAACGAGCCGCGGAACCGCGACACGGCGTTGTGGCCGACGAACAGCTGCTCGAGGCGGGGGAGGTGCGACAGGACGTCGATGTTGGTGATCTCGTTGAAGCGGGCGTCGATCTCGCGCAGATTGACGAGGTCCCGGAAGGAGTCGTCGAGCGGGCCCCGGATCACGTTGTTCGTCATCCAGAGCCGCTCCAGCGCGGTCAGGCTGCCGATGTTGGGCAGCTCGGCGATACTGTTGAAGCTGATATCCAGGTCGACCAAGCTCTTGAGGTTGCAGAAGAAGTCGGGGAACACGTGGAAGTTATTGGACGAGAGGTTGAGGGTGCGCAGGTACTGGAAGTTGCCGAAGTAGCTGGGGAGCTTGGACAGCTTGTTGTTGGCCATCTTGATGCTCACGAGGCCGTGAAGCCGGTCCAAGTGGGCGTGGTCGAGCGACTCGAGCAGGTTGTTGGAGACATCCAGGTACGTCAGCCGGCTGGCTAGGCTGAGGCTGGCCGGCAGGCGGGTGGCCTCGCAGCCGATGAACTTGATCTCGCGCAGATTGATGCAGCCGTTGATGAAGTCGGTGGGCACGTCGAGGGCCAGGTTCCGCGACAGGTTCAGCGAGATGATCTCGGCGTTCCGCTTGTAGAGGGCGATGGGGATGGTGACCAGGCTGCGACCCTGCAAGTCGACCTGGCTGAACTTCTGGGCGGGGTTGAAGCCGGGCTCGCCCTGGAGGCTGCTGTAGCCGCTGAGCTTGGTGGGGAGGAAGGTGAAGCGCAGGATGTAGCTGTGGTCCTCGCGGCCGATCTCCTCGATGCGGTCCTTTTGGGTGTAACCCACCTGCTCGAGCATGCGCTTCTGCATGAGAATCGGCTTCTCGCTCGGGTCCAGCTGGCGGGAGAGGTCGTTCTTCTGCATGACGATCTCATAGTTGTTCAGGTGGTCGGTAAGAAAGGACTTGCGGCCCAGGATGAGGAGGATGTCGGCCACGGTGGCGTACACGCCGGTGGACAGGGTGGCGAAGGTCGAGTCGATGCGGAAGACCCGGATGAAGTAGGAGACGCCGTCGGCGTCGGGGCTGTTCCGCACGGCGGCCTGGGCGCGCGAGGGCAGCCGCGCGGTGTTCTCATCCAGCGGCCGTTTGACGTGCCAGCTGTCCGGCGCGTCCCAGTTGCCCGTGGCCGAGGGCCCGTCGGCCTTGGGGGTGACTTCCTCGCGGGGCGGGGCGGGGCCGTCCGGCGGCACCGCCCGGGGGCGGCCCTCGACGGGGCGGGCGGGGGAGTTCCGCCGGACGATGCCCTCCATTTGGGACAGGTCCGTGTCGAGCGCCCAGACCCCGGGCTCGTCCGGCCGCAGCTCCTTCCCACCGACGCTGGCAGCGCCGGCGGCGGCGGCGGTACCACCACGGCCCCGGAAGCCGATCAGACCGCGGCCATCCTTCTTGCGGTCGCCATCGGCCGGGTCGCTGGCGGTCTCCAGGCTCCCTTGGCGGCCCCGGCGGGCGGGCGACGCGTCGCGGCGCGACAGCTTCGACGGGGCGCGGGCGGACGGCTCCTGGGTCGACGCCTTGGCGCCGAGGTTCTTGAGGGGCCCGTGCGCCTTGGGGCGACGGATCTTATCGAGAATGGACCGCTTGCCGGGCACGGGGCTGGGGGAAGCCCCCGGGCCGTACTCCCGGCCGTACGCGCTCTGGACGCTCGGGGTCGGGCTCGTCGAGCGGACGGCGGCCAGGGTTGCGGAGGAGCTCGCCGGGGTGGGGAAGTCCAACGCCTCGCGCGAGGGTCGCAGCCCCAGAGCGAGATCGTCCCGTCCGGTGGCCGGGCGCGCCGGGTAACCCGCCAGGTCCCCCGCCACGGTGGGTTTCTCCTCCTTGCTCCGGGAGTGGCGGTGGCCGCCAAAGTGGCGCCGGCCGGGGTCCCGTGCGCCCGCGGCGGCGGACTGGCCCGGGGCGCGGTGGCCGTCCGGGCCGGTCGGGGCGGGGCGCACAGGGGCCTCGCCGAACTGGGGGATGTCGTTGAAGCTCTGATAGAGCCAGGGGGTGATCTCACTCGACGGCAGCGGGGTGCCGGGCTGCTGGGGGGGTCGCTGGGCGGGTCCGTGGCCGGCAGGGCCCCGGGAGCCCCCGTCGGAGTTGGCTCGCTCGCGGGCCCTTACTTGGTCAGCGGCAGCGGGTCTCGCGTGCAGACTGGCGGTCTCCGAGTCGGGCTTCGAGTCGGACTTCGAATCGCCGTACTCGTCGCCGAAGAAGCCCTGCAGTCGTTTTCGGAAGCGGCTGCTGGTCTTGGAGCCCTGGCTGCTGACGGTCGTGGCGCTGGCAACGGACGGCCGTCGGTTGCCGTCCTCCTCGTCGTCGGCCAGGCGGGACGCGGCGTTGGCCGGGGGGGCCTCCGGCTCGGAGAGGTCGTGGAGGAAGGAGGTGGCCCCGTCGGAGGGCCCCCCGCTGGGGGACGGTGCATACGGGGGGGGGATATTCGGGTCGTAATTAAAGTAGTCGGGATAGGTGTGTTTGCGATAGGGCCGGGTGGGCAGACCGGCGTTGGCAGGAGGGGGGAGGTCATCTGTCCCTAAGACGGCCAGGGCCTTGCGGGGGCCATTGGCGTGTGGGTTGACGTCGGGGGGGTCCCAGGAGAAGTTGGACGCGTACAAGTCTGTGGAGGAGTTTGGGACCGGCGGCGGCGGCGGATCCGGTCTAGAGGGGGGGAGGGGGGGTCAGTGGGGGACGAAAGGAGAGGGCCTAGAAGCAAAGACGGTTCCTACCTGTCCTGTCTCTCGGCGAGAGAATGGGGAGAGATGCCGCGATCATGCGACAGGCGATGTGGATGACGGGCGCGATGGTTTTGGTTATCTCTGATGGTGTCTTGGGACAGCCAGCTGTACGAATCAGAGCTCTCGGAGCCATTCCGTCCATTGGACTGGTCGTGGCCGCGGGCAGCCATGGTGTCGACGGGATCGCGGGTCGGGTGGCAGCCGCGGGCGGCACAATGGAGGGGGGGTCAAGATGAGGACAGATGAGAGAGGACTTCCAGCGGCATTAATTGCGATCGGACTGGAGACCGAGAAGCAAGTCGTGTTCAACGGGGAGAGGAGGTAGAGAGAGAGCTAGAGAAGGGGAGGGTCTGTGTCGTCACGGGTCGTCTGCGGTTGAGAAGAGAGGGGATTCAAGAGAAGATGACGGTTCGCGATGGAATCACGGAAGCGAGCCAGAAAGGATGAAAAACGACGGGATCACCGGTGGATCGAAGGAGCGATGGCGATCGAGTAGGGATCACTGACGGCGAAAAATTGCAGGCGAGAAATGAGGCGACAGATGAGGCAGGAAGTTTAGCGTCGGGCGCGACGGGGTGGAGGCGTGCTTCATGATCTGGGGGCAAAACGACCGCGGAAAAGATGGGACATTGCAGATGGAAAGGGACAAGATCGGATCATGGTCTACCCGAAATGTACTAGAGAACTGACGCGTTAGTGAGAGATTGGGGGGGGGGTATAGAGGGGGCAGACGCGGAGAGAGCGTAGAGTGAATGTGTAGGAGATGGAAGGTTGATGGAAATGATGATGGAGATAGACAGGATAGGATCATGAACATACCAGATAGGTTCTTGACTCCACCGTGATGCCAGAGTTGACGGGTGATCAACCTGGGAAAAGTCAAAGGGGGAGAATGCAGAGAGAGATGGATGCAAAGAGAGATGGAGAGATGAGAGATGGAGAGAATGAGAGGTTGAGATGAAACTCGTGCTTGGAGCCTCATTGAGAGAGTGCGGGTGTGAGGACTAGCCGGGTTGGGCAGGCGGTGAGAAGTAATGAGGGGAAGACATCGACACGTTTCTGAGATATATAATGATATAATATATTCTATGATGTATATATTCTGATAAGTATCTATTTGATTTTGTTTTCTGATCTATCATGATCTTGGCTGGTTTTGATGGTGGTCAAATACCACTGGGAATTTGGGGAGACCGTGATCGCCTGAAACACCAGGCCGGCCTCTGAAACAGGAGCTGTTGAAAAACTCATAGTATGGCAGTGAGGTGTCCGTTAGGAAATTGGAGGAGAGGAAATAATACTATATACGGAGTACTCAGTTCAAAATCAAACCCAGAGGATCAATCCTGGTTTCGATAAATCAAATTGGTGCCTGAGGCTGCCTCGACGATCGATCCTATCGATTGATCGCACAGACACATGGAGTGAGAGTGACATCTCCAGTCTGAAAAGACGGTCAGATTGAAAACTGACAGATACTCACCGTGCATGTGCATCCACATGACAAGAATGTGTCATGGAAATATGCCCGGGTAGCGTCAGAGTATCGATCGATCTGTCTGGCCAGATCTGCCCAGTATACGCGATGATAAAAGGAGGTTGGGAGTGGATCAATGCTGGTGAGATCCACCGTCCCACCGTGGCGATGTCATTTGACTAGCATATCCTATATATACACATACATAATAAATAAATATATATATATATATATATACTTATATAAGTAAATACCTACGGGTGAATTCCAATCGGAGTGATCGGAGTCTCTAGCAGTATTGTATAGACCAGTAAAGATACATGCGAATACCACCGTCATCATAGAAAAGAAGAGGCAAACGAAGTAGACAAAAGTACTCTTTCTTAGTCTTCCCGCAAGGCCCCACTCCCTCCACGAGGCTCTCCACCAATCAATGGTCTTCGATCTCCCGGGTAACGTGGGTCGGCCTTAGTGCCTGATGGGGGTCGATATAATGAGGAGGTTGGTCTTTCTTGGTCTTTCTTGGTCTTTCTCGTCACTCTTTCTCTTCGTCGCTCTTACTGTTCATATATCATTCTCTCTACCCCCCATTCTTTCCCTCTCTCTCTCTTCTCCATCTAGTGGACCCTGATCGTCCCCCTTGCAGCTTTCTCTCCACGACCGGTTGATTTAGAACCGTCCTTCTTCTACATATCTTCTGGTCTCGTCTGCACATCCAACTCCCCGCTTGATCTACATTAGTTCTGCTCGGAAAATATCTCCACGGTCAAACAATAATAAATAAGAGACAAAAGAAAGAGAAAAATAAAGAGAAAGAGAAAGAGAAAGAGGAAGAGAAACCGGCCATGAAGCTCTCCCTCGCTGGGACGGCCCTGGCCCTCCTCTCCACCATCAACGCTCAGACCTTCTCCGACTGCAACCCTTTATCAGATTGTATGTCCCAGACTATTCTAATTTTGTCAATTTGAGTACGTGCTAACTTTTCCAGCATGTCCTCCCGTCCCCGCGTTGGCCAAGTCCGCCACCTTTGACTTCACCGAGGGTCATCAATCCGGTTTCAAAGAGGTCGGGAAACCCTCTTTTGACGACGATGGCATCGGTTTCTCCGTCGCCGATCAAGGCGATGCCCCCCTAATCCAGTCCGGTTGGTACATCATGTTTGGTCACGTCGAGTTCGTCATCAAGGCTGCCCCCGGAACGGGCATCGTCAGCAGTGCCGTCCTACAGTCCGACGACCTCGATGAGATTGACTGGGAGTGGCTGGGTGGGAACAATGCCCTCGTCCAGAGTAACTACTTCGGCAAGGGAAACACCGACACCTTCAACCGCGGGGCCACGCACGACAACCCGGGCAACCATGATGACTTCCACACCTACACCATCGACTGGACCGATTCCCAGATCGTCTGGCAGATTGACGGCAAGACCGTCCGCGTCGTCACCCCAGAGACCGCCGCCGAGGATCAGTATCCCCAGACCCCCATGACCGTCAAGGTCGGCGTCTGGGCGGGAGGAGATCCTGACAACCCGCAGGGCACCATTGGTGAGTTCCCCCGAGAAAGTAGATCAATCAAGAAAGATAGGCTAACCGATCCAGACTGGGCTGGAGGCTCGACTGATTATGGGGCCGGCCCATACACCATGTACCTGAAGTCCCTCAAAGTCACAGACTACTCCACCGGCTCGACCTACGCGTATGGGGACCAGAGTGGATCGTGGAAGTCCATCAAGGCCGAGGGCGGTCGGGTCAATGGTAACAGTGGTGCTGCGTCCTTTTCCAGTGTCGAGTCTGCCCCTACCGTGACAGCAACGGTTGACAGTGCCCCTCTTCCCTTCAGTGGTACGCACCGGGAGACGACGAGCTTTGTAACGCCGAACATCTGGCCCTGGGTGGCCACGGCGACGCGGCCGTCGTCTGAGGGCACGTTGCCGCCGCTGCCCAATGGCTGGACGTATTCGGGATCGGGGCTAGTCCAGCCGCCTGGAGCGGCCTCTGTGAGTGAGCATCCCTTAGTCACTAGTGATGATGTGATGGTTGCTAATAACCAAGGACAGTTTATCTCCCCATCTACATTACTTTCATCGCCTTCTGTGCCGGTCTCAGCATTCCTTTCCTGTACTGAGGGGGATTCCCACTGCAGTTCTACCATCTCGAATTCTCCTCTCGGTCCGTCGACCAGCACCACGACCGCTTCTTCTTCTTCTTCTTCTTCTTCTTCTTCTTCTGTTGTTACTACTAGAACTACTACCACACCGGACGGAACCCCCACCCAGTCTGACGGTCCGCATGCGACGAGCGTATCTCACCCGACGGACGATTCTCCTTCTCCTACGGATTCTTCGCATATCGCCCCCAGTGTGGATGGTGGCAGTGTGCTACGCCCTCCAATGGCACTGGCCCTGTGCATGCTGTTGTGGGGCGTTGGTGTGTGGTGAGCGGGTCGGATATGGCGACAGACCGGATGAGATACGAGAGCATGACGAGATGACATTATTGTACATTAATAGATAGCGTTCTGATTATGGGGGACGAGTTATGAATTCACGAGTATTGCATTGGTACAGATATTTGTGGTTTAGAGTATGTAAAGTAGGGTAGATTCTTAAGCAAGGACATCACTCCGTCTCTTCTTCTGAAAGAAACCACGCATCCATCCCCACATCCTCCCAAACGACAACGGACTCTCTGTTCCAGCATACAAAAACAAATCATAGGTCGATCCACCGATGATACACCCCACAAACGGAGCCACCATAGGAATCTACCCCCGTCAGTAATAATATAATCAGACAGGAAAACAAAAAGACGAAAGAAACACAAAAAGAGAGAAGGGGGGAAACACACCCAAAAATAGTACTCCCCAGCAGTCCACACCTCCTTCCCATACCCAACCATACAAGACACGAGTCTCGGCCCGAAATCACGCGCCAGGTTCATCGCGTAGCCCGTTTCCCAGCCGAAACTGGCGCCGATGCCGAAGACGGTGAAGAAGAGGCCTAGGGGGAGGATTAATTCTCCGCTTCTTTCTTCTTGGGAGCTATCAGGCAAAGTAGTGGCGGTAGGTGGATGGGGAGAAAAAGAAGGAGGAGGAGGAGGAGGAGGAGAGGCAACATCCTTCAAAACAAACACCATGAACATGAGGATCGCACTCGCCAAGCCCTCCGAGAAGAACGCTCCCGAACGAGTCATGAATGGCGCCGGGTAGGTGCTGAATATGCCTGCTGTTGCGTTTGACATGGCCATTGCTTCGGGGCCAGTCATTTTAGAGGATGAAGCGGGGGAGAAGTAGGTGATGGGGACAGAGCGCGCGTGAAGACGCCCCTCGTGGACGTCAATTGCGGAGTGGTAGTTGGCGTAGATGAGACCCGCGGCGATGATGGCTCCCAGTGTTTGCGCGAGGGTGTAAACCGGCAGGATGGACCATGGGTGCATGGATGGGCGCAGCAGACAGTTTGTGAATGTTATGGCTGGGTTGAGGTGCGAGCCGGAGCGGGTGGAGGTGTAGATTCCGAGGAGGATTCCTAGTCTTGGAGTAATTGGTTGGTTCTTCCTTTCTTTGGATATATGATATGTGTATATTCATGAGAAAGGACAGGAAGAAAAGATACCCCCACGCCCATGATATAGACTGATAATCCCCTTTGGATCCCCCGCTAAGAGTAACCTGGGCGATGGCGCCGTCGCCGAAGAGGACGAGGATCATTGTGCCAAGGAGTTCGGAGACGGCTGCTTGGTAGAGGGTGGGTTTCTTATGGGTGGAAGGTATGATGGTGGAAGAGGATGGTGGTATGTGAGGAGGTTGTTCGAGCATGTCGGAGAGGATATGAGGGCTTGTTTGGGAGACTTCTGGGGTTGGTTTGGAGGTTGTGGGGAAAGACATTTTGATTGGATTATTGGATATTAGATTATGTGAGTAAATTAGTATATGAAGGAGATGTGATTTAAACCTGCTGGATAGAGTCTCCTCTTATACTTCAGGAGTTAATCGGATCTGACATCGTACAGGGCTGTGTGTTACCCCGGTGGTTTATAGATGGATTTCAAAATATGCCGTCCACATTCTACTACAACCTTGGGTCTAGAGATATCTGGACTTGGTTTCAAATAGCCTTGAAGATATCCTATGCGTCAGCAAGCCATCACCATATTGGCTAGTGCCATCGTCACTAGCTGACGTCTGTCTGAAGCCATTCGAGTGCCGTCCGGAGACCCGATGGCTGTCCTACCGCACGACGGTAGACGGATGATTTTATCGCGCGAGCTGCTGAACTAGAGCAAGGATAGAGGACACCTCTATTGTCATTTGATCATGGGGACCGTCGTGACGACTATCGTGCGACCTCATGGAGTTTCTTGGGTTGAGAGTCGTCCGGATTGCACTGCCAGTTAGGGCTAGCCAACTCACTGGTCTGCCTCAGTCTGTGATATGCAACCGACATGTCGGCGATGATATTCAATAACGTCTATGTCAATGAATATATGTCAGCATTGCAAAGCTTCTAGCCCTGGACCAGATTTAAGGTGGACTCCACCCTCTCTCCACTAACCATCCGTCTTTCAGACACAATGGAGGAGTTCGTCGGGGCAGTCGATCAGGGCACCACGAGCACTCGCTTCATCATCTTCAATTACAAAAGAGAGCCTATAGCATCCCATCAAGTCGAGTTCCCTCAGCTGTATCCACATCCAGGGTGAGCCTTCTATCTACTATCACCCATCTTCCGAAAGAGACCCGCTAAGTCTACAGATGGCACTCGCACAACCCTCTCGACCTCATCTCCTCCGTCGAAACCTGCATCGATCAAGCCGTCCAGGAAATTTGAATCAGCCGGACACACACGTACCAGCATCCGCGCCATCGGCATCGCGAACCAGCGCGAGACAACCCTCGTCTGGGACAGAATCACCGGTAAACCCCTCGCCGACGCCATAGTATGGACCGACACTCGCCCACAAGCTCTCATCACCGAGCTCAAGCAAAAACACACCCCCGAGCAACTCGCTACCGTCCAGCACATATGCGGCTAACCACTCTCCATCTACTCCTCAGCCTCCAAGCTCCTCTGGATACTCGCCAACGAGCTGCGTGTATGTGACGCCTTTGAAAGAGGCACTCTCGCCTTTGGCACAGTCGACACCTCGCTCGTGTACAATCTCAATGGCAGCCAGGTCGCTGGCGTCTTCGTCATCGTCGCAACGAGCGCCTCGCGCACCATGTTCATGAATCTCGACAAATTAGAATATGACCCATTTCTCCTCGACTTCTTCGGTCTCTCCACCTCAACCATCAATACTATAACCACAACCAACCACACCATCTACATCCCCAAGATAACCCCCTCTGACCACCCAACCGCCTACGACACCCTGACCACAACCTCCCTCGCCGGAACCCTCATCACCTCCTGCCTCGGCTGGTGGTGATTCTTCATCTTGATTTTTCTATGTTGCTTCGCGGGGGAGTGCGGTTGGGGGGTGTTTGAGATAGCATTGTTTTTATGTATGAGTGGAATGTGTTGAGACGAGGATGAACTGCGGTGGTGGACGTTTCGGTGGATCTTGAAGATCGACGGAATTAGGGCATCCTTTAGTTGGTCTCTATTGGTTTACTAGAAATGAACACTTCAATTGAGTAGTAGGTAGACTGAAATCGTATTCAAACAAACGCACATTCATAATCCATCATATCGCCCCTAAGCCTTCGCCGTACTGCCATCCCTCTCAAACACACAATTCAACTCCGACCCCGGACTAAGCGTAACCTCAAACCGCAACACAGGATCCTCAACGCTGTCCTTCCCACTAACCGGCAACGCCTGAATACTCTCGAACGCCTGCAAAATCCGCACAATCGTATAACCCATCTCGATCGTCGCAAACTGCTGCCCAATACAGATACGCGGCCCCCCATTGAACGGAATGAAATGCCACGGCTTGGGTTGCCATCCCGACTGCCACCTCTCAGGAATCCAGCGGCCGGGGTCGAAGTAGTGCGGCGAGCCGGGCGGATCGTACAGCTCGGGATCGCGCTGCATGATCATCGTCGAGTAGATGACGCGCGTGTCCGCGCGCACGCCGACTGGACCGCGGCCGTCGGGTCCGCCGCCGCGCGGGAGTGTCGTGTCGTGAAGGGAGAAGCGCACGTTGAATGGCACTACGGGGTACATTCGCATCGTCTCGTTGAGTACCGCGCTGAGGTACTTCATTTCCTTGAGGTCAGTGTAGCTGGGCTTGCGTCCGGACGCTCCGACTCCCACGCGCGAGCTGATCTCCTCGCGCAGCTTGGCTACTACCGCTGGGTTGCGCGAGAGCTCGAATAAGCAGAACGATAGCGTTCCGGCGGTCGTGTCACGGCCGGCTAGGAGGATTGCTACCAGCTGGTCGCGCAGGACACGTGGGTCTCGTGTGAATCGCGCTAGGGCGTGCAGGAAGGTCTCCTTCTTCGAGAGCTTGTGGTCGAGCTCGTCGCTGGACAGAGATAGCACGTGGTCGATGTATGGTTGGATGAAGTCGTCCATTAGTTTGAGGTTGCGGCGGAATTCCTTTTTGGATACGAGGGCGTTGAAGACGCTGAGTAGGCGTGTTAGTAGGGGGGATTGTTTCGTTGACAGTGGTGGGCTCACCCAAGTCGGAACATCTCAGCTTGTTTGCTCTGCACGTATCGAAACGCCTCGGCGAACGTTGTCGTGGGGTTCTGGAGACTGTCGGTGCCATTGCCGAGGAGGTAGTCCGTGGCGGCGTCCAGCGTGTAGCGGAAGAACAGGGGTCCGACATCGACCACCTTGCTGCCGCCGGGGGAGCTGCTCCCCGCGAGAAGAGGGATCAGATGCTGGACGTGTTTCTCGAAGATTTCCGTATCGACGATCCGGTCGCGAACGAACATGGGCCGGATCAGCTGGCGCGAGCGAGACCACATCTCCCCGTCGGTCACGAAGATGCTGTCGCCCAAGAATTCTTTCCAGTCCCGGTGAAAGGGCTCGCCCTTTCCGTAGTCGGCGAACTGGCCCGTCAGAACTGCCTTGATGTTCTCCGGGTCCTTTGTCAAGATCGCCCGGTTGGAGATGCCGCCGTCGAGTTCTGCAGTCCTGACGGACTGGAGCTGCGGGGGTTTCTTGGCACTTGACATGGCTTCGGACCAGAATTGAAGGTCCATATTCTTGTTAGTGGCTTTTACCGATTCGATGATGAAGTCGATCGCTGGGTATCATGTTAGCACCTCGAGCATCTTGAGTCGGGGCAACACATACCGTAAGGAAGACGGAAGCGGATCTGAGGCGCGCGGTATCCCAGCCGTGAGATGTGCATGGACACTTGGATCTTTCGAAGGAAGCCCACCAGGACCAAGAATCCCAGAATGTAAAGGGACGCCATCCCGGGCGTCATGTCGGTGAGGATTTCTTCGATCATCGTGGCAAACATGATGAACCGCAAAACCTTACCTCTGGTCGGGTTGCAAAACCGGGGACGGCTCGAGATATATATAAGTTCGAGGGCGCTGACCGATCTACGACACCAGAGCGAATGTCGACATCACAACGTACTTCGGAGTGCTAATGAGCCAAGTCTCACTGGGCCATCTATGATTATCTATGATTCATGTGGAGGGAGAACCTAACGCTTTCAACCACTGACGGTGGTCACCATTGGACCGGACGAAGATCGCCTTGTGATATCCCCGCATTCCATTTCCCCAAGACAGCTCGATCGCGCGGATCCATTCCTGTTTGAGAAATGCTTGCGAACCCCGCGTGAGAGAAGCCGTTCGTATCCCGGCTAATCTATCGATAGCGCAGCCCGAGGCCTATCTGTGAGAACTTTTTTTGTTGTATGATCTACTGAGTAGGTTATACCCCGGAGTGCACAGTAGGTCTTGTGGGGTTGTGTTTATTCTAGGTGGAAGTGGGGCGTTGATCACCATGTGTGGAATCAATTAGCCAGCGAGGCTCGAATTCCTGTGATGCCAATAAACTTGTCCGGAGTAGCTTCGGATACACCAAGCCTGTAGTCATACTGTATAGAGTTGAGGAGCTGGCATATTGGTAGAAGTAATGCAATCCATTAATTTTATGTATTCCACAGTGCATAAACACGTGTTTGGCGATCGTTCTGGCGCCAGTTGCAACGCATCAACCTGAAGCTAGGTCTGATCTGACCTTTGTATGGGTATAATGGGTGAGAATTCATTGCTTTCTATGCTCCTTTGTTTTGTTGCTCTTCTGTTTCTTTTTTCTTTTCTTTTGACGTGCGTGGTCGCCAATGTTTCAGCCCCAGAATTTGACACAGGGGGTTGTCTTGCTTGACCTCCTGATCCAAATATAGACGTTTCACGGTAGACCATATTATATTGACAAAGAATGGCTGGCTGGCGGAGGTTGCAGACAAACGGATGGTCAGTCTATATGTAGTCATTAACTCATTGTACAAGCTAGGATCTCTAACTGCTGGGACAGACAATGCCAATGCCTTAAGTGACCGCTGCAACTGTGGTGCTTTCACAGAGCACATATAGCAAGAACGATTTTCAACTGAGAGCGAGAATCGAGGAGATACGAAGCGTCGCGAAGAAGCCATTCCACTCTATACAAAAGTCTGGTGTTTGTGACATTTGTATAGTTTGCATAATTTGCACTGCTGCCCTGTTTGTCGCACCAGCCACAGTCACGTGAGTGGCTATCACTTGGCGCTTTTCATCATCGCCAAAAGTCATCGCGAGCCATACAACAAGACAACCGAAACTGCCCCGAGATATTCTCAGCAAACCAGGACATTTTCTTAGACCAACCCTTTGATATACCCTTTCGACTTCCTCCGACCTACCGTTCGATATCGGGTTCAGTAACCACCTCCCTTTTTCTGCCCACCAGGGATTGATCAAACCTTCCCGGGATAGGTAGTCTGTCCGCTTCATTCGTCCTCACCTCTCCTCTTCGCCACTCGCGCTCTCCACCATGACTAGCATGGTCGCAGTTGGTACTCCGCTTGCGGAGGCTCTTAGCAATGTTATCCAGCCTAAGTTGATCGAGATGGGCTGGGCGTCCGACAGTGGCGATGACTCGGCCTTGATCGAATACGTGATCCTGATGCTCGTCAACGGCAAGACCCAGGAGCAAATTGCGAATGAACTGTCCAACGATCTCCTCGGACTTGGGGAAGGCGACACACAGGCACTAGGCTTTTCGCGGTGGCTGTTCGAACAGGTCGAGATCCTGAATCAACAGGTCAACGGCGGTGCCCCGGCGTCGAACGAGTCCGCCCCCACCCAGACAATCCCCTCGTTCGGCGACCCCGAGACAGCCAATTTTGAACCAGCATCCCAAACGGACGGTTTGGACGCCGACATGAATTTGGGCGATCCGGCGCATGGTAATGACGGAATGTAAGAAATTTTCCCCATGACAACTCCCTTGACGGTCCACGCTGACAGACCACACCAGTCCCACCGGACCCAAAGCGATGCGCAATGGCCGCCAGGGCGCTGGGCGGGGCCGGATCCTGAACCAGATCAACCGCGCCATGGATCGCGACTCTCCTTTACATCGCATCCGGAACCAACAGTCGGGCGGCGGGCGGATCAACACACATGGTCGTGAGCATAAGGGTCGTTTCAACCAGAACGGCGGCCGCGGACGGCAAATGGGTGGTATGGGCATGGGCATGGGATCGAACCAGATGATGAACAATATGAACCCCAACGATCAGATGCACCTTATGTCTTTGCTGGAGGAGCAGGCGAGAATGATGGCCCAGTTCATGCCGGGCTTCATGCCTCCCGCAATCAACCCCGCTTTCCAACAGAATGGTCCCCAGCAGGGCCGATCACTGTTCGACCGGGTCGAGCGTCAACAGAACTCCCGCCCTCAACGCGGTCCTCGTCGGGACCAGAATGCCGACACGGACATGGACATGCGAACCGACCAGCCGGCCGGGGATGGAGAACAGGACGAGAGCAACACCAACAGCGCCTGCCGCTTCAACTTGCGGTGTACACGCAAGGATTGCCCCTTTGCACACCAGTCGCCGGCCGCCCCGGAGGGTGCCCCCATCGACGCGTCGGATCCGTGTCCGTACGGGGCGGCGTGCAAGAACCGCAAATGTACCGGGCGTCACCCGTCACCCGCCGTCAAGAGTGCGCACCAGGCAGAAGAGATGTGCAAATTCTTCCCCAACTGTGCAAACCCTCAGTGTTCCTTCCGCCACCCATCCATGCCGCTGTGTCGCAACGGCGCGGATTGTACCACGGAAGGGTGCAAGTTCACTCATATCCAGACGGCATGCAGATTCAACCCATGTATGAATCCCAGCTGTCCTTACAAACACGCCGAGGGCCAGCGGGGAGGGTTCCACGACAAGGTCTGGACGCCCGGAGGCGAGAAATCCCATGTCAGCGAGCGGAAGTTTGTTACGGACGATAATGGCACAGAGGAGGAATTGATCAAGCCTGACATGGCTGATGACACCTCCCAGCATACCCAGGAGATTGTGACATGAACGCGGACTCCTCTCTACTAATTGAATTTCTTATTATTTTGGGCCCATGCCTGACCCTGTATCAGTTATCTTTGAACGACATGTGGCTAGTGGGAAGGCGTTTCATTTTTATAATCAAGTTGCTGGAAATGATGGAACACTGTATGACGTTGGCATGTAAATAGAAATCGAACTCACGACGAACGTTTATTTATTTATTTATTTATTTATTCTACTTTAGACATACTTGTTTCCTGACATTGCTCTAGATTGTAAAAAAATAGTGGTAAAGCAGGTGGTGTGGCTGCTTGCATGACACGGCTAGGACGAGCTGCCGCTGGCGGCACCTCGGCGCGATGGCGCGCCTCCCCTTCCATCGCCTTTCCTCTCCCCGCAACCCGCACTTGTCATGCTCCCGTGCATCTTTTAAACCTCGTCCTCCCCTCCCTACTCTGCGGATATGCAACGGTTATGTGTGGCTAGACACACTTTGAGAAGGGGGTGGACGCCATTGAGCCGCGCCCACGTCGGCCAAAGACACTATGCGCATACGCAATCGTACACTGCGGCGGTCATCGGTGCTGGCATCACCGGTCTGACGACCGCGTATCGTCTGTCCAAAGACCCCAACTGCTCCCATATCACCGTATATGAGAAGTCGCCGGGGGTCGGAGGACCCATGCATTCCCAAATAATCCCCGTGGATGGTGGGAATGTTGTCTTTGAGCAAGGTCCACGGACTTTGAGGGCGACGGTGCCCGGTAGCCTGCCGCTGATGGATCTGGTATGCAACACTTTCTTTCTTTCTTTCTTTTGCTATTGTTGCTATGGAATTGTTCTCATTCTTCGACCTCGTGCAGCTGTTTGAATTGGATCTTCTCGACGACGTCCTCTTGACGAGTAAAAACTCGCCGGCCGCCCGCAACCGTTATATATACTATCCCGATCGCCTTGTTTGCATGCCGACGATAACCCGAGAGAACCTCTTGGGTGATTTGTTCAACACTATAAAGAAACTGGTGAATGAGCCGATATTCGACAAATTCCTGATTGAATTTTTGTGGGAAAGGTGGCGCCAGGCTCCCGATGCGAACCCGTTCAAGACAGATGAGTCCGTCGAATCGTTCGTGACACGCCGGCTAGGTCCCGAGATGGCAAATAATATTGTGTCCGCCGTCTATCACGGCATCTACGCGGGCGATATCAGTCGTCTGAGTGCGCAAACCTTGATGGGGGGGATGCGGATCATGGAGCAGAGCAACAGGGGCGTCGCCAGCGCCATGTTCGAGAACATGCAGATGGGGATCTCTAATATGTCCACGGACGATTTATTGGCCCTGGAGTCCGTGGCCCCGCAGAAATCGACCGAGTACTGGAAGTTCCTAAGTTCGCTCATCAAGGATGCCAGCGTGCTGACGCTGAAGCGGGGCCTGGGCAAGCTTCCCGTCACTCTGGCGGACGCGCTGGTCCAGTCCGGCAAGGTCAGCATTATGACCAACACCGAAGCCTCGGCCATTGTCCGAAGTCCAGGCACGTCCGACATTACTGTAAGAGGCCCTGAAACTAGATTGTCCCTTATATCCAATTAACCCCCCTTGTTGCGCAGATTTGCGATGGAAACCAGCGGTTCCGAACTCACAACCGCGTCATTGCGACAATCCCAGCCCCGAGCATGGTACGGAGTCTCAGCAAGACCGTGCGACAGGGCCAAGTCATTCCACATGACACTATTCGCGCTCTTCAGGGCCACGACTACGCCGTGACCGTGATGGTGGTCAACCTGTACTACGAACAGACCGACGTGGTGCCCGTGCGCGGCTTCGGCTATCTCATCCCGCGGTCCGTCCCAGCCGAGCAGAACCCGGAGCGCGCTCTAGGGGTGATCTTCGGGTCGGAGACCAGCGAGGGGCAGGACACAGTGCAGGGCACCAAGGTGACGGTGATGCTGGGCGGCCACTGGTGGGATGGCTGGGAGAGGAGCGATCTCCCGGACCACCCCACCGGGATCACCATGGCCTGCAACCTGCTGCGACGACACCTCGGCATCACGGTCACACCGGCCGTCGCGTACACGAGCATGCAGCTTGACGCCATCCCGCAGTACACGGTGCACCACCTCACGCGCATGGGCGTGCTGTCCGAGGCATCGCGGGCGGAGTTCAACAACCGGCTGACCTTTGCGGGGGGCTGGTACACGGGCGTCGGGGTGACGAACTGCATCCGGCAGGGGTACATTGCAGGGACGTATGGCGTGGGGGCGCGCAAACTCGACCCGGGCGACGGCTCCCGGCCGTGGCGACGATACGGTGCCGAGAAGTGGCAGTTGGAGGGCGGCGTAGCCACGGCACCTATGACTCCGATCGGGGTATTCAGCTCGGAACGGAAACACTTTTAGATGTGATGCGCGGTGGGTCGCCTGGTTCACCTTTGTACTATTATAATTCCTATTGCGATGCGTTACCGCGGGGAATAGATTCGATGGTTCAGACTACAACGCTAGATGTGACCTGTAGGTGTAGGTGGACATGTAAGAAACCGAAATCAGGTGGTGTAGGCTTGGTTGGGGATAGACCGGCTATGCAGATAAAAGTACAGATATGACGCTGAATGACGAGTCCCTAACGCCAGACGATGTATGCCCATGTCCATTTACTCTTCTGACCGTCCGCCGCCGACCAAGTAACCGTAATACATTGTGCAGCCCCAGAGTGACTCGACTCGGGAAAGCAAAGAAACCGCCATAAGGATACTATGCATGTCAAGATGTATGTGCGTGGTGGTCGCAAGGCACGACGTTCATGAAATCGTCCCGCGTAGATGGATCGTATCGCATATGGTACGCCGCGGCGGGCGCACGCGTGCAGGGCGAAACAGCCAGGTAAAGCCACTGCATCTCCAGTCCATGGAAGTCTACGAGCGTGCCCCATTGCCTCCAGGATGATCAAGCAGCGGAGAGGCAGCCTTAGGTGTAGTCGGTTTCATACATCCGACGGCGCGGCCCCCTCTTCACCCTTCTTATCTCCATGCGCATCCAGTCCCAACCCATCAAGTTGCCGAATCAATTCCTGAATCTTAATGACCTTCTCCAGCTGCTCGGGAAGCAGCGCCTCGCCCTGATTCTTCTTATCGCGCAGCTCCCTCGCCTGCCGGATCTTCTTCTTGAGATTGCGGGCCTTTTTCTCCTTCTCCGCCTCGGGATCCTCCTCAACCTTGTCTTCAACAGCCTTCGACCCCGCGTCCTTCGCAGACGGAGGAGTGCGCCAGTTCTCCAAATCCCTCACGCTCTTCCCCTCCGTCTCCCCGTCAGGTCCCCCAGTAGTGGCCTTGGCCTTCTTCTTCGCCTCCCGCCGCTTGGCATTCTTATTGCTGGCCGCCCCGTCGGTGCTGTTGTCGGCGGCGGCGGTGGTGGTAGTGGCGGTAGTGGGCTTCAACCCCTCCGCGCCAGGAACGCCGCCCCCGGGCGTCTTCCCGCGGTTTTTCCACGCCGCCGCTGCGCGGTTCCGGTAGAGCTCGACGTCCTCGGGCGGCTTGTAGCCTGGACGAACGCGGATCTCGCGGCGTTTGGAGCCATCTGGGCGAACGGAGGAGGGAATGAAGCGTTCTCCGGTGACGGCGTCTGTGGTGATGCCTGCGTTGGAGGGAGGCATGATTGTTTTTTGGGTGGCTTAGATTCAAACAAGAAAAAGAAAAGGAAATGCGAGACGAAATAGAGATTGATCGCACAAAGGCAGACGGTGAGGAGAGTTGACTTTGACGAGTCAATGAGAGTGAGAGAACAGCCTTCTATCCCACAAGGGAAGAGCTGCAGGGACTGGAGTGAAAGATGGAGATGCGCATCATCATCATCATCATCATCATCATCGGGCATTTGTGAAGTGATAGTCACATGAGGATGAGGTAATCTGTCTGCCTCAGGCTAAATTATATGCCTCAGGCGAGACTCCATGCCCCAGGCCACCCGACTGCCCGACCGACCAATCAGCAGCCCGATAATTCCCGGCTTAAGCTCGCTCAGCCAACTCCGACTTCAAACTTCATCACTTCAATCTCCATATCGACGTTCAGCGCTCTACTTTCTCCCCCCCCACCCCTCAACCTCATTCTACTCCGTCACAATGGCCGGCACTGTATGTTTACAACACCCTTTTCTTACTACCTACCGGGATCCATTGAATTGGCTAACCCCCTCCAGATCGCTTCCGCCATCTACCAGTCCGTCTCCGTCTCCCCGACTTCCGACGACCCCCGACGGGTCGCGCGTCTTTCGCACTCGCTAACTGAACGTTTTCACCGATCTCTAGGGGCCTGATCCGCAGAAATGCCGTCTACCTGACCAGCATCTTCGCCGGTGCCTTTGCTTTTGAGCTGTACGCCGAATCGCCCCCTCCTCCCGTCTTCTCCCGTCTCGGGAGTCCGCGACAAGTAGTCCATGACCGCTAACCATACATCTTTCACTGCAGGGCCTTCGACACCGGCTCCAACAAGGTCTGGGACGCCATCAACCGTGGCGTACGTATCCCGACACCCCCCTTCTATCGATCAATTGAAGACATGACGTGGCTGACAATGGGTGTATACAGCGTCAATGGAAGGACATCAAGCACCAGTACCTGGTCAAGGAGGAGGAAGATGACGAATAGATTTCGCACCCTTTTCGGATCGATGGGGTGAGGGTTCGCGTGTGATTATACTCCTTTTATTATATTTTACCCATGGATAGTACTCGGAGAGGTGGATCTGTATGAAATAGAGTCGCATTGCCTGTCAGGGTGAACTGTTTTTTTTTTCTCCGTCTTCTTCTTTTTCTATTCTAGTTCCATTTCCCCTTTTTGAAATGAGCCTACATGTATTAAATGTGGTAGATATCATCATGCGATAGGCACAGTAGAGATGGTGTTGCCAAGGCGTTTGGGACGTTTGCACGGGACTCGTTATCTCAAGGCAACTCGAGTCCCCTCTTTCTCACCTCTTCTTTCCCCTCTTCTGTCCTCCAAATTTCTCTCGCCGTCTTCAACTGTGTGGTCTCCTTGTGGTGATATAAATTCGGTGGAATTCATCCGACCGATCGGTGGTCAACCCTCCCTCCTCACACAGTTATCTCATTGGCGGGTGAGGCCCAACGCGGTGTTATTCCCCCACAGTGACATCTACAGCACCTCCGTCGCTCTGTCCACCACCCGATTTTTTTCCCCTCCTCTCACTCCTTCTGAATCACCCCACCTGTCCACTTTTCTTCTTGTTCTGGGCTTGGTGTATTTATCTCCTGGCGAAATTCTTCTTGGTTGATTGGTTCTGAAGACGACCGTCGATCTGTACAGCTTCTTTCCGCCTGATCACCGCATCGTCCCGCCACACCGAACGTCCCATCCTACCAACCGCGGTTTTCTCCTTTTCACCCCCCCGATCCGGTGCATGGGTGACGCCGGTTTCGATCGTCGATTATAAATAATGCCGACGGAATGTGAGAGGATCTTGGGTGAAGGCCTTCGTCGGCTTCCGGCCCGGCATGATTTCCGCTATGGGCCTCAGGCGGAGAAGGACTTGCTTGAGCTTCTGTTTCGCTCCCTCAGCGGCCACAACGACGATCGCCTTCGTCTACTATTTCCCGAAGGTCCACCGACCGGTCCCTGGAAGTTGGCCGAGGCCCAGGGCGCCAAGGAAGGGGCCGAGTACACCGAGGCGGCGCGGGGTAAACGCTGTGGCCATATCTTCCGCGCCGGCGAGGCGACCTACCGATGCGTCACTTGTGCGGCCGACGATACCTGTGTTCTCTGCAGTCGCTGCTTCGACGCCTCCGACCACACGGGCCACCAGTATCAGATCTCCCTCTCGTCCGGAAACTGTGGCTGCTGCGACTGCGGCGACGACGAGGCCTGGCGACTGCCCCTCTTCTGCGCGATCCATACCGATAGTGGCGATCAGAAGGGGAAGCAGCGTGCCCAGGCCCAGCTGCCCCGAGACTGGGTCGACTCCATTCGCATGACCATCGCCCGTGTGCTCGACTACTTCTGCGACGTCATCTCCTGCTCCCCGGAGCAGCTGCGTCTGCCCAAGACCGAGGAGGGTATCCGGCTGGACGAGGAGGCCTCGCGACTGAGCTCCGACTGGTACGGCGAGGCCGATCAGGCGGAGGACGAGCCCGAGTTCGCCCTCGTCCTGTGGAACGACGAGAAGCACACCATTCGGGATGTCGCCAACCAGGTCACCCGCGCCTGTCGGGAGCGGGACCGTTTCGGCAACGACCGCGCCCACGAGACTAACGATATCGGCCGGAGTGTGATCCGCTACTCCAAGGACCTGCCGCGCTTGCTGGAGATCTCCCGCGTCATCGAACACATCAAGGTCACCCTGACCATCCGCTCGGCCCGCGACACCTTCCGCGAGCAGATGTGCGGCACCATCGTCGAGTGGCTGGCCGACATCGCCGGCTGCAGTGTGCTGGAGGACAACGAGATCCTGCGCCACACCATCTGTGAGGAGCTGCTGGGCCCGTGGTATACCGGTAGCCCCGCCTCCAATGCCAACATCGGTCTGAAGGGCATCGACGACCACCAGCGGTCGGAGGATCCGCCTATCCGGACGGTCATGCTCACCGTTTCGCCGCAGGGCCAATTCATCCTGGCCACCAACGACGACGACGATGAGGACGACGACGAGGACGAAGAAGAAATTGACAATGCCAATGACCCGACCATCCACGAGGAGGAGGTGGACGACGAAGATCTGATGGGGGCCCACGACGATGATGCGGATGACGAAGACGACATGGAGATCGACCTCAACCGGCTGCGGGAGGAGGTGGAGACAGGGGAGGACGAAGACGAGGATATGATCATGGGGAACACCCATGACGCCGTCAGCATCGCCGAGACGCTCATCGGATATGCCCGTGCACGGGCCGCGGACCGCGCATCGCCGCCAGCGCAGGGCCAGCCGGAGGGCCAGCCGCTGCCGCCGCCGCCTCCGCCCCCGCCACAGGAACTCCCCGAGCAGCAGCAGCAGCAGCAGCAGCCACCACCACCTCCGCCGTCGCACGCGCTGGGGGGCATCCCCGAGACCCGCGACGCGAACCAGCGACCAACCTCGTACATCGCCATCCCCGAGACCCCGTCGGGAGCCATCCGCCCGCCCCCCGGCGCGGCGCCCGCGTACTGGGAGGTTCTGCCCTCGGCCCCCAAGCCCGGGGAGAATATCCCCGCCTACGAGAATCTGTGGGAACGCACGCGCCTAGACTGGATGGTGCTCTTCGATCTACGGCTGTGGAAGAAGACTCGCACGGACCTACGCGATCTGTACATCGGGACTGTGGTCAACGTGCCGCAATTCAAGCGCGTCATGGGCCTGCGGTTGTCGGCCCTCTACACGGCGCTGGCCCAACTCTACCTGATCGCCGACCGGGAACCCGACCATTCAATTGTCAACCTGTCGCTGCAGCTGCTCACCACCCCTTCAATCACCGAGGAGATCGTGGTGCGGGGCAACTTCCTGACGAATGTCATGGCCATCCTCTACACCTTCCTGACGACACGGCAGGTCGGCGAGCCATCCCAGGTGAATCCGAACGCGACGCTGGCGTTCGAGGCCGGGTCGGTCAACAACCGCCGCCTTTACCACTTCTTCCTCGACCTGCGGTACCTGCTGCAGTCCGAGTACGTGCAGACCCGCGTGCGCACCGAGGACCAGTACCTGTCACAGTTCCTGGATCTGGTCAAGCTGTCGCAGGGTATCTGCCCCAACGTGCGGGCCGTTGGCGAGCATGTCGAATACGAGGCGGACGCGTGGATCAGCGCTTCAATCTTGATGCGGGAGATCAACCGGCTGTGCCGCCAATTCTGCGAGGCGTTCCGCAACCCGGAGCGGGACGGTGGGGATCACCTGCTGCGCGCCATCCGGAAGGCCACGGTAGCTGCCGTTGTCCACTCGTCCGGCATCGAACGCAAGCGATTCGAGCAGGCGGAGATCAAAGAATACGTGCGCTTCAAGTCGCTACCGTGTTTCGACTTCGAGGTCGACCCGTCCGGTCAGCTCCCCCGCCACCGCGTCGTGGACTTTGTCGTCGAGCGGGGATCCATCAGCTTCCACCACGCCCTGCACTACACGCTGTCGTGGCTCCTCGAGTGTGGCTGCAATGTGAGCAGCGCCCTGATGCGGGATGTCTTGCTGGAGGCGGCGCAGATCGCCAACGACCGTTATCTCCACGACCCGACGCTCAGCCCCGAGGATCTGCTGCTGTCCATGTTTGACTACCCGCTCCGCGTGTGCGCCTGGCTCGCCCAGATGAAGGCCGGCATGTGGGTGCGCAACGGTCTGAGTCTGCGCCACCAGATGCTGCAGTACCGCGGCGTGTCTTCCCGCGACTTCGCCTACTACCGCGACATTTTCCTGCTCCAGACCGCACTGGTGACGTGCGACCCCAGCCGCGTCCTCGCGTCCATCGCCGAGCGCTTCGGCATGGTAGATTGGATGACCCGCAACTACACGCCGCGACCGGGCGGCGAGGAGAGCCAGATCATTGATGTCGCGGAGGAGTTTGTCCACTTGCTGGTTATTCTGCTGACGGACCGCAACTCGCTCACGGCCATCGACGACAGCGACGGTATGACCCGCGAGAACATCCGCCGGGATGTCGCCCACGTCTTGTGCTTCAAGCCGCTGTCGTTCTCCGACCTGTCGACGCGGCTCAGCGACCGGCTCCTGGACGCCGACCAGTTCCAAGACGTGCTGGAGGAAGTCGCCAACTTCCGTGCGCCCGAGGGGCTCAACGACACGGGTACTTTTGAGCTGAAGCCGGAGTATCTCGCGTTGATCGACCCGTACAGCGCCCACTACACCAAGAACCAGCGCGACGAGGCGGAGAACATCTACAAGGAGTGGGTGGCCAAGTCGACGGGCAAGAAGGCGTCCGACATCGTCTTTGAGCCCAAGCTCCGCCCGGTCACCACGGGTGCCTTTGCGGACCTCCCCCGATTTACCGAGACGGCCTTGTTCGCCCAAATCGTCCACCAGTGCCTCGACTATGTGATGTCGTCCAAGGAGCGCACCCCGAGCATCCCGCCGACCCGTGTGGAGACCTTCCTGCAGGTCATTTTGCATCTTGTCCTGGCCGCATCGCTCGAAGATCACTCCGACGAGGATGCGGTGTCGGATGTGGGCCAAGGGTCGTTCGTCTCACAGGCGCTGACCAAGGCGCGCGCCACCCAGGCTGGGAACCTGACGATTGTCGGCCTGTTGGAGAAGATCTCCGTGATGACCGAATTCGCGGCTTGTGGCCCCAAGATCCGTCACATTCTCAAGAAGCTTTGGCAGAAGCGACCCCGGGCGTACACCTCGGCCACGGCCTCCTTACAGTTTCCCTTCGACCGGGTCGACACGAACTCTCCGGCCGTCGATCCCGACAACGAAAAAGAGAAGAAGAAGAAGGCGGCCCTGGAGCGGCAGGCGCGCGTGATGGCCCAGTTCCAGCAGCAGCAGCAGAACTTCTTGAACAGCCAGGGCGCCATCGAGTGGGGGGAGGAAGACGACGACGACGACTTCAGCGATCTCGAGGACGCGGAAGCCGAGGCCACACCCGAGACGAAGCTCTGGAAGTACCCCAGCGGTACCTGCATCCTCTGCCAAGAGGAGACCAGCGACTCGAGGCTGTTTGGCACCTTTGCGCTGATCCAGGACAGCAACATTTTCCGGCAGACCGACATCCGCGACCCCGACTGGGTCCAGGAGGCGCTGCACACGCCGGCCAGCCTGGACCGATCGGCCGAGAGCATCCGTCCGTTTGGCGTCGCGGGCGCCAACCATACCACCGTCCGACGACTCGACTCGACCGGTGGGGAGGTCATCAGCGACAAGGTCGGACTCAGCAAGGGGTTCAACGCGAAGAATACGCAGCGGGGGCCCGTCACTACAGGGTGTGGGCATATCATGCATTACTCGTGTTTCGAGGTCTACTACACAGCGACGCATCGACGCCACACCCAGCAGATTGCCCGGAACCACCCCGAGAATCTGAAGCTGAACGAATTCGTCTGTCCGCTGTGCAAGGCTTTGGGCAATGCCTTCCTGCCCATCACCTGGAAAGGCAAGGAGGAGTCGTACCCGGGTGCCCTGGCGACGACCGTGTCGTTTGACGAGTTTATGAGTGATCAGGTGCCAGGCGCGCTAGCCCAGCCGCGCCATCATCTGCTGATCCACAACAAACCGGCCGCGTCGGCGTCCTACCAGGATCTCTTTGCCGACTACCTGTCTCGCGCGCTGGTGCCGCCGCTGGCCACCAAGGTCGACCAGTTGATGACGTCGTCTCTTCCGTCGTCGACCGCATCGGCGACATCGCACTTCCTGCCGACGGCACGGATGCCGATGCCGGGGATCTTCCCGCAGGCGACGCAGCCGGAGGAGGTGCCCGTCGTGACCAGCCCGCAGCAGGGGCCCAGCGAGAGCCCAATGTCGGAACTTCTCGAGATCTACAACCGACTGAAGCGGACGCTGCGGCTGAACCACGTCCACTCGACGTTCAGCCACCCGCCCGAGACGATCAACAGCGATGACCTCGTGCACACGGACTCGCTCTTCCAGAGCTTCGGGTGCAGCATCGCGGCGGCGGAGATCCAGCAGCGGGGCGTGGAGTCAGCACCGGGAAGCACGCTACTCGACAAGATCCCGCAGCTGACCCTGACGCACCTGCGCGTGCTAGCCGAATCAGCTTTGACGTACGCAGCAGTCGGGTGTCTGCACGGCACGCGGGACCCGCACAGCCGCCCGGCGCAGGAGTTCCAGGAGATGCACCGACAGCGGCTCTGCCAGCTATTCGTGGGGCATCCGAGCTTGAGCCGGTCGGCGCTCCTCGACGACGTGCGCGATATCGAGCCGCTACTGGGCAAGGACATCTTCGTGTTCCTGTCGGAGTGCTCGCTGTCGCTGCTGCCGGTGCTGCCGATAGACATCCGGCATCTGATCCGCCTGTGCTACGTCGCAGAGATCGTCAAGGTGGCCGTGACGTACGTGCTGTGGCCGCTGGGTTTGCGCGAGGAGCTGGCGCGCCACGGCGGCGAGGCGGCCCACGCGGCGGAGCTGGACCAGACCGACCCGCGGTACGAGCACACCCGGAGCTTCTTCAGCACGATCGTGGCGGAACTCAAGTCGAACTCGGTGGGCCGGGCCGAGGGATCATCTTTCCCGGCAGAGAGCGGCTACGTCAAAGACGGCGTGGAGTCCGCAACACCGGGGGTGCTGGTGGCGCTGCGACAGCTGCTCTCGCGCTACGCACTGAGCTTCCTGCGCAAGACGGTGATCCTGCTGCATGTGCAGCACGGGGTGGAGTTCCCGCACACCGGGTTCGCGGACCTGGAGGCGTCAGAGCTAGAGCGTCTCAGCCAAGCGATGCAGCTACCCTCGCTAGACGAAATTCTCGCGTCGGTGGGACCGGCGCGCTCGACAGAGCGGGCCTTCGACGGGGTGGTGTCGGGATGGATCTTCCACTGGAACGCATCGCGGTCTGGAGTGCGGATTGGCGACCACAAGCTGTGGCCTAGCCTGGGCCACCCGGCACTGTTCGAGCTGGTGGGACTGCCCAAGTACTACGACAGCTTGATCGAAGAGGCGAACCGCCGACGGTGCCCGAACACGAAAAAGGAGCTGACGGACCCGAGCATCTGCCTGTTCTGCGGGGAGATCTTCTGCTCGCAGGCGGTTTGCTGCATGCAGAACCGGCAGGGGGGGTGTAACCAGCATTTGCAGCGGTATTTATCCCTCCCTTCCTCCCTGTCTCTCTTTCTCCCTATATATGTGTACATATGCTAATCAAAACAGATGCGGCAAAAACGTCGGCCTGTTCATCAACATCCGCAAATGCACAGTTCTCTACCTCCACCGCCGCAACGGATCATGGCACTACGCACCGTACCTGGATCGCCACGGCGAGGTCGACCCTGGCCTGCGACGCAACCGCCAGCTGATCCTCAACCAGAAGCGATACGACCGACTGCTGCGCGACGTGTGGCTATCGCATGGGATCCCAGCCACGATCAGCCGGAAGCTGGAGGCGGACATTAACAACGGGGGTTGGGAGACGATTTAAGCCACATTCCATTTTCGTTGTTGTGTTTGTTTGGGGGGGATAAAAAGCATGGTTGTTCATACTGGTATTGTTTGCACATGATGGATAGACTGGTTTGGATGGTGTATGGAATGAATGAATGCATGTGTGGTGTGATATGATATCCTGAATACTGGATGGGTATCGATATCTAGATCTTATCGAATAAGTCGTGGACTGACTGTATGTAGTGGAGATGAAATGGTATATACGCACCACGCTATCCTGGGAATTCATCTTTGTTGTTTTTGTTTTCTTGTTTGTTTGAAGATAATGAGTTGGTTGATCAGACAATGAAGGGATTTGAACAATGCTTTGCTTTGGGATATAAGTAGTCTCATCCTCGTCCGCCTGTATATCAGTATCATCACATACGGACTATCCATCCATCCCAATCAATATACGCTCTCTCTCTCTCTCTCTCTCTCTCTCTCCAACGGCATCGAAACCCCGAATTCACAATTCCTATCAGGCTTGATATAGCCAACCCCCCACTCTCCCCCCAATACAATCAACTAACAACCAACTAACCTAAGAACAGACCCACTATGCAAACCACAACCTTCACCCCCCAAACCACCCTCTACCTAACCCTCCCCAACACCGAGCCCTACGACACCAACCCCTGGTACATCTTCGTGCCCCTCCTGGGCAAATTCACCGACCCCGAGCTCCTCACCATGCTCATCCGCTTCACATCAACCATCGAGCGGCCACGATACGAGTTCAGGCTATGCGGTGACTCGTCCACTCGCGGCGGCGTGTGGATCGAGATCATGGTTGCGCCGGGCTGCTCCCCTAGCGACGTGATATTGCGGATGTTTTCGGGGCTGAGGATGCTGCAGGATTTGGTGCTCGATGGAGGGGATGGGTTTGCGCTGGTGCTTCATAAGGATCCGGTTTATGGGGTTGATGAGTTTACGGATGGGAGGTCGGGGTTGGGGTTGGAGGAGAGGTTGTTGGCTGCTGTGCCGAGACGGTGATTGATGTTGGAGTGTAGGGCTTGACTTTATTTATATTCCAGCAGAGGATGTAGGTGGGGTCTTTTCTCCTTCCTCTTCTTCTTCTTCTTCTTTTGGATTCATTATGTAGGGGTGATGAAATGGCACGTATATACCAGCTGCATTGTCCTGTTCTAGTCTTTGTTAGTTTTATTCAAGTCTTTATGAGATAATGAAGCATTCGAACAAAGCCTTGAGTGTATAGTATATATAGTGCATCTTCACCCATCAGTTACCAGACCATCACATCTGGCCCTCCTGACTATCCACCCAAAACACTAATCTACTCTCCACTGAATCTATTGATCAACCAACTAACCTAAAGCAGAACCCAAGATGTTCCGCGTCAAAGGCACCACCTTCAACTCCGGAACCCGATTCTACCTGACCATCCCCAACGATGAATCCTCCGTCGAATACGCCGCCTGGTACATCTTCGTCCCCATACACACACAAGGACGACTCAGCGACCCAGAGCTCATGGCCGAACTCGTGGAATACGCGGCAGGCATCGAGGTGCCAGAAGAGGAGCTCAAGTACCGCAGGGACGCGTTCAGCTATGGCGGCTTGTGGATCGAGATTGTGACGCCGCTGAGCTGTAACTGCAGTGATGTGATACTGCGTCTGTTTACGGGACTGAAGGCCCTTCAGGATTTTGTGGGCAATGGCCAGTTTCCGGGTAGACCGCCCCTGATGCAGCACCCGATGTATAGTGTGGAGGACTTTGCAGATGATTTTCCGGCTATGATTGTGCGGAGGAGGCAGAGGTAGGTAGGACTTTCTTGAGTATTTCTTTCTGTGTTTGGTTCTATTGTTGGGGTGGGTGGTTTCTTGGGTTGGGATAAAGTACAGATGTTGGGATGGTTTAGATATGATACAATGAATGATTCGAACAAAGCGTCTTTCTTGTGCATTATAAATAGTAGCCCTATCCCTCGTTCATAATATACAAATAATCATCCACACCTACGACTACTATACACACTCTCAACCACCACCAATCCTTATACTCAGCTTCTAATCAGGCTTGATATAACAGACCTCACAAGCCTCTCACCCAACAATTTACAACCAACTAACCCTACAAAGCAGATATAGAAAGCAAACAGACCCAATATGTCCCGCCCCCCAATGCACGCCACCACCTTCAACACCGAAACCCGGCTCTATCTCACTCTTCCTAACATTGAATCCCCCGAGAGCTGCGCCTATTACATCTTCGTTCCTATCTTTGGACGATTCACAGACGCAGAGATTCTCTCCGAGCTCATCCGCTTCGCGACGAACATCCAGACGCCGCTAGACACGCTCCAGCTGCCTGGCAATGCCTTCCGCCGTGGTGGTCTGTGGCTTGAGCTTCTGACGCCGCTGGGCTGTAATTGTAGCGACGTGGTGCTGCGTCTGTTTGCGGGGTTGAAGGAGTTCCAGGAGATGCTGGCGCAGGAGGGAGGTAAGCTGGCGCTCGTGGAGAGTCCGGTTTACGGGGTGGATGACTTTTCGGAGCGATTTCCAAATATGATTATGCCGAAGGGGGGTGGGTAATAGGTAAAGTTCTTTTTTTCTCTTTGTTAGATTGTTTAGAATGGGGTTTGGATTATATGTGCTCGGATGAGTTGGATATCTGATAGAAACATAGGGGGTTTTGCACTTACTGGATATGAATGTAGATGTAATACAGATATAATATGTTCATACTAGACCACTAGTCGAATCAGGACATAATCACTGATCGTCAGGGATATAGAGAATGGTAATCTGATACAGGACAGTCTGCTAGTTGCCTTGGGCTTTCACCTTTATATCTTCCTTTACATCTTCCTGGTATATTCGTCATTCATCATTCATCGTTGGATCAGTATCGTCCTACTTGTTTCATCTAGACTACTTAGCTAGCGCTTCAAGATTGGTTCTATACGACTGACAGCTCTCACAGGCTTTGCTTTTGGACCAGAATCTATACCGCCTGATATACAGTCTAAAACCTACAGGATCTACAGCTTGATCCAATCTGCCTCTGGCGTGCTGACTGGATGCTATCATCCAGAACACTTCATGGGGCATGCTCACCCATACCCCTGAAGACTATCGAGGTTGACTGTAACGCTTTGTTGATTGTCACGCTTCTCAAGGACACAAAGCCAGTGCATAATACCCTTTATGGTCAATACAGAATGCCCTTTATACTCGAGCCTATATCGCCTGCAATGGCTTTGTCAAGCAAAGAACAACAAAGGCCTTTGTTGCATGACAAGCAGCGACTATAAATTGACCAGCAGCCGCTTGATTCGTCTCAACATCACCATCAGCACACTCTCCTACGTCCCAAATACATCCTAGTACGCCGATCAAGCCAGCACCATGCCGCAATCTAGTCACTCCGACAAGTCAAGCTCGGGGCACACTTGCGATTGTCCAAACGGGGCCTCCAATACCCCCCGGAGGGTCTCGACCTGGACTCTCCTTTCCATGTTCGTCAATCAAAGCTCCAGCTCATCCAACTCCAGTGCCCGTCAAGGCAGTCAGTCTTCCAGGCCCAACAGCCCCCACAGCTCCAGCTCCCGTCAGTCCAGCCGCCGCAGGAGCACAGCTGGCTTCGACGAATCCAGCTCCCGTCCCCACTTCCGAACCCACCGACGCACCCCCGTATACACGTACGATAAGCCCGACTCGAAGCGCTCGAAGCGCAGCCGCTACTACGACTCGACTACCGTCTTTGAAGGGGACACGCGGTGGTACCTCAGCCTGTTCAACACCGACTCGAAGCACCGTCGGGTCTGGTACGTCTTCTTCCCGACCTCGGGCAAGCCCACCGACGCGGAGCTGGTCGCGCACCTCCAGGCCTGCGCTGCGCAGGTCACGGATCCAATCAAGGCTCTCGAAGACTCCTACGAGGCCACCGGCAGCGGCGTGTGGGTCGAGTTCGCCACGCCGTGTTTCAGCACCCCGGACGAGGCCTTGCGGAGCTTGATATCGGCGCTCGAGGGCCTGGCGCAGGGTGTGGCCAAGGGAGGTCGGCTGCCGATTGATGCGGGTCCGATGTATGTGTAGTCATGAATTTCTCGTAAGTCTTCTTATTCCTTATGTGGATTTCTTATGTGGGAGTAGTGTTTGCTATTCGATTTATTCATGCGTTATTTTATTTACTTTATTTTTTTTCTTCTCGTATAAACCTGTAGGTCATTATCTAAGAGATATATAATTGTAAGCCTACCTCTCAGGTAATGCGAATTAGAATCAGATTCCAGACCAAATCCACAGTTAATCCAGTCCACCAGGAACAAACCTCAAGTAATGACAATTACTCTACAAAAAGCAACAAAAATTAACCCCCCCACAGAAGTTTAGATGTACTGACAGATGCAGTCTCACATCCAGTAGGAAGAGACCCACCGACCCAGCAAGGCAACCAGACCCATCTATACATCCAACCATAGATTCTCAAATAACAAAACCCAAATCCACCCAATCACCACCAAAACCCATCTCCATCCGACCCAGAAACCTCCCACCCCATCATCTCATCAATGGATCAGTCAATGACATGTAAATGACAGCACCTGGACTTAGGTCTCTCATCTCCTCTCGGGCCCCGATCGGCAGGGGTTCCACCCATCTTTGGTCCGACTGTACCAATCGCTTTATTGTGTGGAGGCTACGTCCATGGTTAGGGATGGGGTGGAATGAAGATTGTCATGGCTGTGTGTCTTTTTGCTCTCCTGATTATCTCCGTTTTTCGGTCTTTTTTCTCTTTGTTTTTGGTCGGTTTCGAGTCTATCTATGCACCCCCGCTTTGTTCAAGCAGGCTCCGCTTTGTCTAATTTTCTTTAGCTCGAGGTCTGTTACACATTTGAGCTCTTTCTTTGGAGGCGAGGCGGGTCCTCGCGGTTTTTGTTAGTCTTGTGTTTTGTTCTTGTGGAGGTGGTGGATGCTGGATCGAATTCATTACATATTTCATAGAATTGCAGAGAAGTTAATGCCTCATATTAAATTTAATTAAAGTCGATGGATGTTGATGTCTTTAGCACAGGCTAATTGTTTAGTGTCTTTAGCGTACGTTAATTGTCATTGACAATACACTTAGTCTGATGAGAATGGGAGATCAACGAATGTTGTATTGAATTCTGTCTGCTTTTGATTGTTGTGTAGTATGTACCCTTCTATTCTAACCCTCAGAACGCAAATCAAGTA